AACAGTACAAGTGCCAAGAGCCATCCTGGGGCACCTGAGAGGTGGTGGCGAGCGGCCTCCTTCTCAGCCCCATGGCAGGGTGCAGTGCTGGGTGTCCCTATGTCCCTGCCATTTACAAGGCACTGCCGAGGCTCTAACAGTCTCTGTCCTCTGGAGCTTAGAGGGTGACTTAGAAGGCTCTATCTTAACCTGTTATTAAATCCTGGTTTCAGTAACAGAGGCAATGGATTTTTTACAAAGTTGATCAGCAGTTAGACCACCCGGTACACACCAGAATCTCTCAAAATAGAAGCAACCTTCACCATTCAGAGTTTTGTGGTTTGCCTCTTGGAATGTTGAGGAGTACCACTTGATCACAGCCTGAGCTGTAAAAACTACATCATGAACAACACTTCCAGTTAGTGCTGACCACACAGAGATACACCAACATATATCTCGCGACATAAGGGAGATGGGTGTTAAAAATCAAAATTGAGTGAGTAAATTTGAAGATCTGATCGGCTTTATTCAGAGATTCAAGAATCAGACAGCAGCTCCTGTAGCAACTAGAGGGGAACTCCAGAAGGTTATTAGAGGCTGGAGGAGGGTGGGACAGGGCGGTATTAGCGAAAGAAAAGAGAGGATTTGTTTCAAGCCATCTTCTGGGGGGAGGGAACTGAGAGGTCTTAACGTGCAGATTAGCTCCACAGTCTTGTTCCAAAAGTTAAGATTGACTGTTTTATGGGTCACATTTCTGGGCAGGGTTAAAACTGCAGTCAAGTCTTGCTTTGCTGTGATGGGAGTAGGGAGAAAAAAAATCAATTCATTTGGGGCTTGTCATTTTTTTTTTTTAACATATGTCTTAAAAAAAAAAAAAGTCTTGTCAGACAATGTTTTCACTGATTTGGTCTCTTTCTTCAGCCCAAACCTCCAGAACATTAAAGTATGCAAAGGCTATCCCTCTTGTGGTGATCACTAGAGCACATTCTCTGAGAGTAGCTAGAATTCTGTGACGTCCTTTCTAAGCTCTAGGTGCTGAAGAGTGGAGTTCAGGGCTTCTCTGGTGACTCGGTGGTAAAGAATCCGCCTGCCAGTGCAGGAGATGGGTTCAATCCCTGATCCACGAAGATCCCACATGCCTCAGAGCATAAACCCATAGGCCACAACTATTGAGCCTGTGCGCTATAGCCCAGGGAACTGCAGCTTCTGAAGCCTGAGCGCCCTAGAGGTGATGCTCTAGGTGATGCAAGAGAAGCCTGCAGACTGCACAGCCAAAAATAAATTTAAAAATTTTTCTTTTTTTCAAAAGAGGAGTTCGGGGGACTCATGGTCCCTTTCAGCATTTCAGACCAAAAACGATTTGTTAACAGTGGAACCATGATCAAACATACATCAAAATACAGGAGTCAGCTATGTAAAAGTGAAGTTAGTTTCAATTGCTATGTGTCTTTAAAGCCAAACCCATGTTTTCTTTCCTCTTCCTATGAGTAAGGAAAGCTTTGAGCCCTGGGGAGGAAGCTGGTGAAGGGTAGCAGAACAGACCACCCTAAATAGGCCTGTGTGACATAATCTTCTACAGAGAAACTGCAGACAGAGGAGCAGCTCAGAGCACAGTGGAGGCTCTGTGTAAAGGAAACTGGAAGGGAAATTCACGCTAGAAAGGGGGCTTGCCAGGAAGAGCGCTAGTACCAGAGATAACTCCCCCAGTCTTATCTGCAGGGCCTGTGCTTCCTCCTCTCACCTTCCGGAGAAGGGCCCCCACTCCTGGCTTCCTCACATCTTTATCTGAGATGAAGATAGTGTCTAAGGTGGTGTGTGTGTGTGTGTTAGCTGCTCAGTCACATCCGACTCTTTGTGGCCCCGTGGACTGCAGCCCGCCAGGCTCCTCCGTCCATGGGGTTCTCCAGGCAAGAACACTGGAGTGGGTTGCCATTTCCTCCTCCAGGGCATCTTCCCGACCCAGGGATCGAAACTGGTTTCCTAAATTGCAGGCAAATTCTTTACCATTTGAGCTACCAGGGAAGCCCATCTAAGGTGGTAGCTTGAGCCATTTGGGGGATTTTTATGCAGTTTTCCTGAGTATCTCCCATGTATGAGGGATATATGTTAATCAACGATTTTTCTCTTGTTAATCATTAATCACAGGGAGTCTCAGAACTCAAAGGGTATAGGGAAAATTATTTCCTCTCCCCTACACTGCCCAAGAGTCCTAGTGGCTCAGGGTTGTAAGGAACAGCTGCCCTGATGCGGGGGTGGTTCAGTCCTCCTGAGAAAGGTGCAGGCTTTGGCTCCAACAGTCTTTGCACCCATGCCTCCACTGGCTCCTTGTCCTCCGTACCTGCTTCCTTCTCGGCGTCACTCATTCATTCATGTCCCTTCAAGATCTCAAGCCAGCAGCAATTGTTAACATCTTCAACAATAACCTCATCTTGTGGGCCAAGAGGAAACATTCATAGCTTTCCTTGAGGGTGTTGCCATGATACAAAGATCTTCATCCTTACAAATAATACTCAAGCATGTCACTCAGGGCTGAAATAAGTTAAGACAAGCCCCTTTTTGAGACACTGCTAAAGGCTGGCTTTTCTCTCTAGACATCTTCCCCTAATTTTGGCTCCTGTTGTACATTTCCACTTAAAGTCTTTCCTAGAGGATGAAGAAGGAAGTTTAATTTACCACCTATTTCCTACAGGTTCCTGTTCCTCACCTAGTGCTAGTTGGAGGAGACAGGGTTTAGTCTTAAGGTGTAGTTAACTGCATGTTTAATGAATCCTTTGATTCATAAGGTAATGCATTAAAATACCCACATCTACAAACTGTTGAGACAACATTGTTTCAAGGTATTTACCTCTGTCAAAAATCCGTATAACCTGAAACCATTATTAAAGTAGCAGATTCTACTTTTTAAAATTTGAATTTTCCAAATTCTGTCTTACCTTCAAGTTCGTTTGTGCCAAATGTGTGCATGTGTGCTCAGTCGTGTCTTGACTCTTTGTGACTCCATGGACTGTAGCCTGCCAGGCTTCTCTGTCCGTGGGATTTTCCAGGCAAGAATGCTGGAGTGGGCTGCCATTTCCTTCTCTAGGGGATCTTCCCATCCAGGGATTGAAACTGTCTCTTGTGTCTCTTGCACTGGCGGTGGATTCTTTCCCACTGGTGCCATCTGGGAAGCTTATGCCAAATGAGCATAGGCTAACCCAGTTTCTCAGTATTTGGTAATCCCCATGGGACGTAAAGCCTGTTGAATGAACAGAATACAAGGTGTCGGGGTACACTGGTTGGGGTAGCCTGAGAGTCTGGATTGCTGTTGTGGTAGAGACAGCTGGTTTGTCCCCAGGTATCACCACTCCACTTCTTTACAACTAGAACCCCGGGTTTTCACTGGGCATGTGGCTGCTGAGTTACAGTTACAGACCTTACTTCCCAGCCTCTGCTGAAGCTGGTTGCGGCCATGTGTCTAAGTCTTGGCCAATGCGAAGCAAGCAGAAGCAACACATGGAACTTGGAACAAAAGGACTTGCCCTGGACTTCTTCCTCTGAATTAGTGACAAGGACAGAGCCCAGGGCCAGCCTGTGCCCCTGTAACTAGAGGACTGCTCGCTCACCAATGAGAAAACAGACTTCCACCTGTCTCAGTCACGGGGTTTGGATCTTTCGGTCGCATCAGCCACTCCTGAAAGGGAGCAGAATATGTATCTCTGGTAGAAGGAGTTCTTCAAGCTGGCTAGTTCTGAAAAACAGCAGATATGGGAGCAGCTCTGGAAACCCAGCAGTTACCCTTTTGTGAGAGACATTTCCATTTATAAGGGAAATCTCCATCTGTTCAGGGTATTTCCTTCTCTGTACCAAGATGAGAATGATGACTAAATCTCTAGAAACTCTAATCAGTGAGGAAGTCAGAGACTTACATCTGTATAACTATACCTTCATTTACAGTGATTTGCCCAATAACCTCCCGTAACTGCTTCCTCCCCCCACTGTCTTTCGTCTTTAGCTGGAGATTTAAGGGGGTGGCTTGGGCCATTTGGGGGAGTTATTCAGTTTTTCCTGTGTGTCTCACATGCATGTAGAGGTATAGGAGTTACTGAACTTCTCTTTTTCTCCTGTTAATCTTTTATTATGGGGGGCGGTCCTCAGCCAAGATCCTGAAGGATAGAGGGAAAACTGTTTTTCTCTCCCTGTAAACTGTATCCTACATAGTACAGGTGTAGGTGTATTACAGTTGACCCTTTAACCAACATGGGGGTTAAAAGCCTCACTCATCCACCCTCCACACAGTCAGAAATCTGAGTATAACTTTTGACTCCCCTGCAACTTAACTACAAATAGCCTACTGTTGACCTAAAGTCTTACCAGTAAGATGCGTGCATGCTCAGTCATGTCTGACTCTTTGTGACCCCATGGACTGTAGCCCCCCAGGCTCCTCTGTCCATGGGATTTCCCAGGCAAGAATACTGGAATCGGTTGCCATTTCCTTCTCCAGGGGATCTTCCTGACTCAGGGATTGAATGTGTGTCTCCTGGGTCTCCTGCATTGGCAGATGGATTCTTTACCATTGCATCTCCTGGGAAGCCCCTTACCAATAACATAAACACTTGATTAACACATATTGTTTATGTTATATGTGTTATACACTGTATTCTTAACATAAAGTAGCTAGAGAAAAGGTTATTAAAATCATAAGGAAAAGACATTTACAGTACTGCACTGTATTTATCAATACTGAAAGTTTGTCATGTTATAAAATAATTTCTCAGTACCTATATCAACACTGTCTTATATGTTATAAAACACTGTAGATGTTACACATCTTATTAACACTAGGTATCAAAACTAAAAAGATGTCAAAAAAAATTCATGTTTTGCTTAAATTATCTATTGAAAAAAATTCACATATAAATGGCCCCACACAGATCAAACCTCATGTTGTTCGAGGGTCAATGGTACTTCTTTCCCCCGAAAGCCCCACCAAGAAGCTTCTCCTACCCACTAAATGATCTGGATTTATTCAGACAAAAGGCAAATTAATGTAATTCAGTAACATTTATTTTACATAAAACAATTTTTCAAAGAATACATTTAAAAACCATCCAGATACTGATCTTATTGCATTACAAAAACTTGAGAGGCACAATGGAAATATTCAAATAGATTGTGAGCGGTGGAGATGGGGGCCTAGGATCACTGTTCACGGTGTTCCTTAGTCGCTTAAAGGCTCTGGGTCCAAGAGTCTTTTCCACGAGGCAGTAGTGCACTTCACTGAGTAGGAATAAATCACATAAAATATATACCTTTATACAGAAAGTGTTATTGTACTGTCACTTTCAATTACTTATAAAACTCATTTTGAATTGCACAAAAGTTCTCTTTAAAATTGATAACTCCCAGGAGGCAGGGCTTAGAACCAAGTTATCTGTCTAAATAATTCATTACAAATAATTCAGTTTCCATTTCTCCACAGATCAAAAAAAAAAAAAAGAAATCTATGAAGAGGTACATTATTCAAATGGGGCATTTAAAATTTTTTTCATAGGAAAACAGGTTTACACATTTGTCCCTAGTCAGCTAAAATTATCTCCCTACTTTAAAACAAATCCCAGAATGTCCAAAGATTTAAATCAGAGTACCCACACCAGAATATGATGTGGCAGTGTTTACAGGAATTCATTTTGTGTCTCATTCTACTGCAGTGTCAGATTATCAGAAAGGCACAAGGGTACATTCTTCAGAACAGTTTTGGTCTTGGAAAAAAAAAAAATCACACGTTTATAAGCAGTGATCTCAATCATGTTTAGAAACAAAAATACTAAACAGATACATTTCCTAATCCAGGTGATATAGAATCCGAGAGGTTTCTGCAGGCACTTCATTTCCCATAGAATTTCTTGTTCAGCAGGTATATGAGAAGGTTTACATTCACTTTAACCTTATCAAACATTTTCATCACAGCTACGCCTTCATACTGCATCTGAAGTAAATCCTGCAATTGCAAGGAACACCAATCATAGCTTCAACTTGACGTTTCCCACATTTAAAACATATTCTAGAAGAATTTGTTGACAAAAATAAGATTCAATTGATCTAAGGACCTCGGTGGAGATTCTTATACTTTAATGTGCATTGGCGTCACCTGCTTTATTAATGAAACACAGGCCAGTTAAAACAGACTGCTGGGCCCCACCCCCAGGAACCTCTGATTCTGGAACTCTGGGGGAGGGCCCAAGAACTGGCATTTTAACAAGTTCCCAAGGGGTGATGATACTGTTGGTTTGGGTGCCATAGTCTGAGAATCACTCATCTCAGTGAAAGAAAACAGATTTTCCGAATTGATAAGGACTGTATGAGAAAACCAATACCGTTAACATTAGATATATAATTAAAAGTTTAATTTTAATTGAAAAACTCAAGACACAGATGTGACAGCAAGATGAGGTATATCCTGTAGAAAAGCCAGTGTTTTCTAAAGTGAGAGTGAGACAATTCACTGAGGTGCAAAAAGAATATTAGAAATTCCTCTTTATTTCCCCCCCTCATTCTTTAAGGATTCACATTTTCTGTGTATTTTATAAAATAAATTTTGAGTCAAGTGTCAAGTGCATGCATACTTTATAAATAAATATGTAGAAATGGGGAGAAATGATCTATTTATTGATGAAAATTGTGAGACTGACATTTATTTGGAGACCAACAAAGCAAATCGTCCTGATCTAGACAGACTACTTCTGTTCCTGTATTCTGTTCCTCATTCTCAAGTATGTTTATCACTCTGTGTTTTATCACTGCTGTATAAACAAAGAAAAATTAATAAAATGCCCTTCATTTATAAATTAGTAATTGGGTCACCGCAGTCACACACATGAGACTAAGCAGTAACATTTTATAACAACGGGACGGGGGCCCTTCCCAAACAGAAGATCTCATTCCTCAACGGCCCTAGGCTCATATCCAGGTCTCGTTTTCCTGCTTCTAGTTCTGCAAACTTCTTGCTTCTTAGTGATAACACCTTGTGTCTACAACGAGCACAGCCACCTGCAGAAGTTGGAATCATCTTTAAGAGAACGTGGGCTCTGCCACTTCCTGCTCCACTTTCTCAATTATCTCCAATTGCACTCAACTAAAACCCCTCCATTATTCAGATACACTTCTGGGATGGAAAATCCACAGGGAAGTGAAGTTCTTTCATCAAGAATGCTTTTGACTATGGTGGAAATTCACTTTTGCTTTGGGACAGGCAACATCTGTTAAAGTCTTGAGGAAAAGAACGAAACCAACATGGTTCAGTTGAGAAGGAATCGTGTACAGAGGGAAATTAGCTGGGCCCCCCACGTGGGGACCGGCGGACTTTTATTCCACTTTTTGGTTGAGGCCCGGTTTTTGTTTTTGGTTCCCTTTTTTGCATTCGGTTGGCACAACATATAACCTTGCTGAAGTTCTGTTTTCTTGTGCGTAAACTGGCGTGGACATTGCCAACTCCACAGGTGTGTTACTGGGTAGATGAGATCAAGGAGTCTGCAAACCCTCTGTAAGCCACTCTGTCCGGTCAGGATCAACTGGAATCCTGAGACAGGCAGGTGAGCAGAGCGTGGCAGGGTTTGGACTCCAGGGGCCCCTCCCATAGCATGCTCTCTGAACCTCAGTTCTTCATCTGGGAAAAGAAGAGTGCCAAGGCTGCAGGCCTCCATAAACATGGGCCATTGTCTGTATAAGTGGAATGCCTTCGTGTAAGTCAGGCCTTCCTGTTACGTACACGACTACAGGATATAATCTTTATGAACTGAGCAAAGAGTGAGTTGGAGAAAATCTAGACACACAAGAGTTAGAAGGAATCTCCCTTTGTCCTTTTCAGAAACAAAGTCCTTGACTCACACTGAAGACCTGGCCATCATGTTTCTCTTTCGTAAAATTCACTTCATACTAGAACTGTCTAGAAGCCATAGGTGACAAGACGTCTGACTTTATGTCTGACAGTCACTTTATCCAGGGCTGGCTCTGTGGGCGTTCGATCTGCTCACAGTCCCCTGAATAGATGAAGGGCCTTGCACTTAACCTTCTGCTGTCACCATCTTGAAATTCTCACCAATTCTGAGGAAGGAGCTCTGCATTCTCATTTTGCACTGAGCCCTGAAAATTACTAACTGGTCCAGACGATAAACATGAATGACTGAAAAAATCTGGAGCATATTAGCCATCTGCAGACAGCTCAGGAGTAACATTTGACAACTGTATGTCTAAGTGAAGGGTGTGAACAGCTAATCCTACCATGGAACTTTAACAAAGGAGCAAGTGAAGCTGGATGTTTGTACCCTTGTTAAAAGGAAGTCCTGTGGAATTCCCAAGGCCTCTCTAAACAGGTGTCTCCTGGTCACTGGTGATTCATCTGTTCAGTAGATGTTGATTGGCCTTGGGTCATTTCCTTCTTGGCAATCCATGATATATCTGCTTTAGAGGAGAATCACTAACCAAAGCACATCACTGCATTCTTTTCTCTTCCTCAATTTATCTAAGTGTTCCATGGAGTGAATCAAGACTTTCAGTTAAATTTTTAAATGGATACATTTAGTGACATTTAAAATACATTAGAAAACTGTTTACTTAAGTATACTTTTCAAAATTACATAATATCTTCCGTTTTCTCCAATTTACGCCATTATCTCAATTTCTTTATCAAACCATTTAGCTTTTTTTTTCCTCCTTCTTTTGTTAAGCTTACAAGGAATGCCAGACAGAAAAGAAGGGCCCTGGTATTTTACCCCATGGGTTAGGGGTGGGGGTGTAACTTCCTTGATCTCAGCCACCGGTCAGACAGACAGTGAGCCTAGAACTTACACCATTCCCAGTGGCTTATCATGATGATTCATGTAGATACATGCAGAATACCTGGGAACCATTTTACACGTAGTTTGGGGCCCAAGTAAATAGGGGTTATTTTCATTTAAAACCTCATATAAAGAAGAAAACTCAATCACATCTATAAACTGATCCTGTGCTGAGTATTAAGAAGCTGGAGTAGAGAAATGTTTGCTGCCAACTCCCTCAACTTCTCTTTTTTTTCTTTTGGTGGTACAAACTATTTTCTCAGTTTTTTAATCAAGTATATTTGGCTTAAATGTGATTCTTATTTTGAAAAATAGCAATAATTTGGACCGCAAACCTCACTTTTCTATTTACAGCCATCTGTTTGGCACACTGTTTTTCTTGCTTGTGATCCCAGAGAATTAACAAAGAAATTTAAGAAACTGATACAAAAATAATTCTAGGAAGGAGAAAGAAAAGGAGAAATGAGATCCAGAAAATTCCAATATTGGGTATATGTTACCTTAGAAATGCAATTTCCTAAGAAAAAGTTTCCAGCCTTTAATCAATAGCTCTGAATACTGTTGTGTATATTATTCTTTCCTCTAAGTTTCAAAATGAAAACATGGCTTAGAAAAACTCAGTGCTATGGTTTACCATTTAAAAGCAGTTTAAGTTCCAATAATATGAAGAACCATAGCTTTTAAAAAATCATCAACACTTAAAGAGGGGCAATTAATGGCGGTATTGGTCTACAGCTAAATGCCATTGTTTGTCATGAGGAATGCAAGCAAGGGAAGCCAAGAATGACCCCCATTATAAAACTACCCCCCAATCTGCAGGAATTACAGCTTACCTGAATATTGAGCTGAACCTTCTCCATCTCAACACCCAGGAATTTTGATCTGACATCAAAGATACCCACATCTTCAGTAGATGAGATATCAAATGTAACATTTTTAAACCTAGTGAAGAAAGGACCATTCACACATGTGGAACTGCAAATACATGCTTAAAGCTCTAACGAATGGAATCCTCAGTCAACCTCCTCAGTGAACAGACTGCTGGGAAAACCCCAAGTAAATTACTCCAAGTGTCCCATCATCTTTTCCTGATATGGCTCACGGGAACTAGGTCTGATCTCCTGTGGAGATCTGTGGCCCGTGGAGCACTGAAGTAGCTGCTTTGTTATAAAAGAAGGGCAAAATACGACCCTAGGTCTTAAAAAGCATAAGACACAGTTGGAATCACGTGAGATTCACAGAACTACAAGAGTTGACTTGTATGGCTGACAGGACGTTCGCTGTTTAGGTGATTACTTTTATGGCAACTTCGAAGGAGAAGCAGCGTTCTCTCTGAGTTGGTCTGAGTCAAAGAGAAGGTAGGATGGGATAAATGGAAGGGAAGCCAGGCCGTGGAGGAAGCAGGAGTTACGCAGGAGCGCGAGCGCAGTGAGTCTGGCCTCCCACAAAGGGAAAGAGAGTGATGGAGCGTAAGAGTCCAGCTCTTTTAAAACAGCGACCCCAGAGCGCCTGGTGTGGAGAGTTTCTCCTCCACCTCTAATACACAGTACCAGCACACAGCTGGACTGGCTCTGACCCAGGCAATGCACCCTCTGTGGCTTTCAAATTAGAAAGGGCCTGTGTTTTTCCTTTTTTAAAAAATATTTATTTTTATTTATTTGGTTGCACAGGGTCTTAGTTGTGGCATGTGGGATCTAGTTCCCTGCATAGGGATTGAACCCAGGCCCCCTGTAATGGGAGTGCAGAACCTTAGCCATTGGACCACCAGGGAATTCCCAGAAAGGTCCTGTTTTGCAACAGTAAATAACTCACTGAGCGAGACCAAAGGTCAGACTTTTTTTTTGATTCAACATATTTGTTTATGCCCAGCTACTCATCTTCTCCCAATTATGAAGGGGGGATGCTGGACAGTGTGGCAGGAGACATATCCTTGCCTTTTATAAAAGGAACTGATAGAAAGAAAAAGCCGAATTCTGTGGTCTTTCTTAGGCTTGAAACCCTCTGAGGCTGGGGATGGCGGTGTTTGGTTCTAAGTCTGGGTTCCTACAGGTCCTAGCACAGTGCAACGTGTCCCAGAGCACTCAGATCATTACTGCCGAATGAACAAGGGCTCTGGGTCATTCCAAGCCACATTGCTCCAGCTCCCTGTTTGCCTTTAACAAAATTAATCTATTTTTTTTGGAGCTAGGCAGCAACAGTTTCTATCTTGTCTTCAAGCCTAAGGAAATACAAATTGATAGAAATAGTAAACCATTTGCTTTGAAAGCAGGCAGAAAATAGCACACTGAGTAAAATGTCAATTTTTTAAATCTCACTTTTTTAAAAGACAAAGCAAATAATCTACTTTTGAAAGTGCTTTGGAAAGGCAGCCTTTCATTCTCACTGCTATGACTCAGTAGTTCTGGAGGGAAAGGCGAGGCTGACAAATCCCCACACGCTGGCTAAGCCATGGGAAACTCAACCTCTTGATCAGTGCCAGGCCTGGTGGGAAGCCCAGAGATTACAATACATGTGTTTTCTCCTGTCATCTGAAATCAAGGGGAAGCCCTGACGGAACCAGTGAAGCTTTCTTCAAAGGCCACAGGAAGCTGAATTGGTGTGAGTCAGATGTGATGCGCACGGTGAGAGGGGCTGTGTTCTGTGCAGATTCTGGGTACCACTCACTGGTTTGCCTGCAGATCGTCTATGTCCAGGAGGACACCCTTCTCCTGCAGCTTTGCAGCCGTGTACCGCACCGGCTTCGCCCGCTTCATCCCTCGGGGCTCTCCTTTTCCATCAAGTTTAATTGATCTCCGAGTATTTCTGGCAACATAAGAAGAAACCATCTGCCATGAAGGTGGCAAACTCAGATGTTCCTGGCAGTGCAACGGCCAGGAGAGCACGCCCGCGTCCACCCCTGGCCTCCAGGTGTGGAACCTGGGCAACTTCATACTGTGTGATCATCAGTGACAGCCATCCCTGCACAGTGAGATCTCCTACTGAACTGGTTAAGGAAAAGCTATTTTCCATGTGACTCAAGTCTGGATTACAGACGAATATGCTTTGTCACACTTGCGCTCTGTTGTCTCAGGAGTGTTGGACCACATGAATCTATTAAGTCACTTTGCAAGCAACCGAGGAGCCGTGAAATGAACTGTGTACACGCTCCTAAGGGAAGGTGTCGTTAAAAGTGTTTAGTTTAACAAATTTAGTTTATTTAGCAAACACTAGATGGCCATCCCTGTTCCAAGTGCTTTCTAAATACTACCTCACATTTACAAAATCTACCTTTCCATTGTGTTCCAAAATAAACTCCTCTGTTTCACAATATTCCATTTAGCTCTCATTACAACATGTGTGAGGCTGGTGCTCCCAAATCCCACTTAAAGATGAGAAAATTGAGACTTCAGAGAACACTGGATTGGTTCAAGATCACATAATGTAAGAGAAAATCCCAATCTATCTCACTTGACTGCAGAACTTATAAAATGCCTTGCTGTATATGCAGTAAATATGTAAAGAAAATCTCTCACAACTTTATTTCTACTATATATTAGTTTGACCAACTTTCTTCCTTGCAGGAATAGCATAAATGTAATTTAAAGGCTGCAAATGAATTAAAATTCAGAACTAGTGGGGTCCAGATAAATGAGGTTTAAATTTGGTTATATTCCTCCATCAAATCTTCTATGATTAATGCAATTGACTTTTCCATACAGCACCATTTTTTAATGTCAATTTGACTACAAATATTACATAAAATAATGAATTACATATTTAAATGGGTAATTAAAATTTGATTAGTATTGACCTTAGTCTAATGATAAGAATAATTACGAGCAAAGAATACTCATTAAAATTGGCTATACTGTGGGAAAAAAAAACTATGATATGTGTGCTCATGGGTAATAGAGAACTGATACATTTTGTCTTTTGTGTCAATATGACTTTTAAAAACCAGTAAGCAATTAAAAATCACTAAGCTGTGCTGTGCAATAGCAAGTATCTGGCTTTAAACATTATCAAGCATATAAATACTGTTTACTGTAAATATCCCCAAGGGTAGCTTTTTTTTTAAATAATAGTGTTTAAGACACCCTTGACTAAAAAAGAAGGAATAATCAAAGTGCTTCCCTAAGTGTTTAAAGTTACTTGATTGAAACACAACAGGGTAAAGCTAACTTTAATGCCAATGTTATTAGAGAATTAACATGTTTCTAAATTCACTCCTGACTTCTTAGCTCACAATGGCAAATCATAAAATTGAGATTCTAGTTTGCTGTTATATAATAAATCAAAGTTTGCTACCAAACCCAACCCGAACAGCCCAGGATTGTATATGAATTGATACCTCATATAAATCGTGACATTAAAGGAGAATATATGATTTCAACTTACTTTCTTTTTAAGTTGTCTAAGCAAGTCTTTATGTAAGTGTCATAATAATTAATTTGCTCTTCAAAAAATGCTGCCTTCTTGTTAAGTGCATTGAGCGTCTGCTGAAGTTTTTCCAATTCAGCTTTTCGAAGCTTACGATGGACTCTTTGATTTCGAATATCCTAAGGTAAAAAGGAAAGGCCATGGGATGAGATTTAAGCAGGAGTTTGCTTTATAATATTGCCCCTTTGGGACAAGAAGAATATCTAGCACTAAAATCATTCTTTGTGACTGACAACAGTTTGGGCTTCCCTGGTGGCACGATAGTAAAGAATCTGCCTGCAAACGCAAGAGATTCAGGTTAACACCCCTAGAGAAGGAAATGGCAACCAATCCAATGGGTAGAGGGGTCTGGTGGGCTACAGTCCATGGGGCTGTAAAGAGTCGGATATGACTTAGTGACTAGACAACAATATTGGTTTATTTTAGTCACTTCATTTTAAACTCTCAGCACCCAAATGTTCCCTTTTTACTTCTGAACTGCAAGTGTACATATTTTACCTTGAGATGTAAGGTTGATGGAAAAGCCAAGAAGCAATTTCAGAGTAAGTATACAATTAATCTAAGGAGAACTAGTGTTTTAAAAAGTGCACAGGCAAGACTTTAGCAGGAGACAATTTCTTCAGAATGTTTTGAATTATATATACTTTGAAGAGTGCTTTATCCTGAAAAGTATTATATTTCATCATTACATTCATCTTTTCTTTTCTTTCTCAGCTGTCCTGCCAGGCTTGTGGATCTTAGTTTCCCAACCAGGGAGCGAACCCAGGTCCTCAGCACTGAAAGTTCAGAGTCCTCACCACTAGACCACCAGCGAAGTCCCCATTTTTGAAATAAAATTTTTAAAAATATACTTTTTAATCTGAAAACTCGTTCCCAACATTTGCACAAACAATAGCTGGGGTCTCAAGACTGAACAAATTCAACATGGATAAACTATATTAGTTAGATATAAATAGAGTTCCTTTTGATCAAGCTGCTTACAGCTTGCAAGAGACACGGTATAGTTAAACTTACAAACATACAATTCTTTTTTTTTTTTTTGAAATTCTAATGGGTAAATTAAGAAAATGTTTAAGAAAACGGTGCCAGTTTATTATTATTTTTTCCTTTGTGGGCAAATTAAAAACCATTCCTTTTAAGTAAAAATTCTTCGTTAAGTAGTGTCTTTGAGGGGATGCCTTCATGATAGTTTTTTTCTTTTTCTAAGACAAAAGCCTCAATTTCTCTACTGTACATTTCCTAAGAGAAGTATTTTCCAACCCAGAGTTACAGAAAAAGGCACTACTTCCCTTGAGTCACTCTGGCTGGGAGGAATAAGCCTATTGCCAGTACTGGCCATATCTTTACATGGAAGAATAAAGCTGAGTGCACTTCCCTTCCAGAAGTTAATTCTTTTTTTTTTTTTTTCTGCTCATGTAACTGTCCTTAACCTCCAGATTCATTTTAATTTGCATGTTTGGACAAAAGAAAAAAAATGAAAAAAAATTTTTTTTAACCCAAAATATATACTTCCTTATCCTTGGCAAACAGATCTAGCCTTTTCCTGTGATGTTTCCTTGCACTAATTTGATATCCTTTTCTCAGGAAGTTTCTCAACTGTAAAAATATGGGATGAGAAAACAGAAACTAACTTTTAAGTCTTAACTGCATTCAGGCTAAACTGACTAGAGACCAATTCTCAGGGACACAGAGGTACCATCTCAGTGGCAGGTCCTATGGGCAAGAGGATTCTACGACAACTTGACTTATTACTCCAGAGAGAACTCTCCTAAAAGTGTCACTTTTAAAATCAGTAGGTATTGTTTAGAGCAACAGATGAAACTCATCTATTATGTTTCCTAAGCATTGGTGTCGGGTGTGTTTCAGCTCTTCTGATGTTGTGCCTGAATGCTTAGCTCAGTGTCCTCAGCTCTGTCCAACTCTTTGCAACTATACAGGTGGTAGCCCACCAGGCCGCTCTGTCCGTAGGGGCTTCAAAGCAAGAATACTGGAGAGGGTTGCCCTTTCCCCCTCCTCAGGGGATCTTCCTGACCCAGGGAGTGAATCTGCATCTCCTGCGTGTCCTGCATTGGCAGGCAGATTCTTCACCACTGGGCCACCTGGGAAGCCCCTTGATTGGGGGAGTTGTGGTTATTCTCTACTAAAAGTCATCAACTGCTTTGAAACCTTAAAAAATCTGTAATATTGAGGAGGACAGGAACCGTATGTATATAACTATGAATCCTTCATGTCACCTACTGAGTCCCAGCATGTGAGCAATGATTAGTGCACGTCTACACAAAGCAGAAAGAAGAATATTCTTCCCCACAACCTTGGCAATCTTATTGAGAATGTCTTGGTATTTGTTTTTGGATGACACGTGTCCAGTCTGTTCCAGTGTCCGAAGATTCCTCTGGATTTTCCTCTTTTTCTGCTCAAGGGGCAGCTGTGCATCTTCAACCATAGACTGGCCCTGCTTCATGTCTTCGGGAGTCCTGGAATCCAAAACCGCACGGTTCGCCATGTCTGAGGCATGATCTGTCTCCTGGAAAGGGAACATCAAGATGTTGATTTATCTCTGGTGTCCTGACCTCACAGGTTCAGAAGCTGCACCAGGTAAAGCAATATAAAAATGAAAGAGGTCCTCAAGCCAAGGTCCGGAGACCAGGATCACGGTATGTTCCTCAGGGACTTTGTGGCAGGTCTTTGGGAGGGAATTACTTTGAGTTTTTCCTGAAAAACAGGGCAGTGGTGGCAGGCCCACCCTGAGCAAAATTCTAAATCGTGATTTTATGGTTAATGTGACACATTATCTTAGTAACAGACGTATTGCACGGGATAAGCAGCATTTCATAATTCCCTGGATGGAAGGATTTCAGTGTTGGATACGATAGTCCAGTTGAGAAAATTAAAACTAGATTATCCATTAAAACGTGGCCATGAGAACCCTGGACATCTAGAACCCAGTCACATGCTCACACATGAGCCATATTTACAGACATTCATAAGCCGTGAAGGCAGTCAAAGACCTTTGTCCCGGTAAGGCAATCATTCTCAAACCACGAACTCTGGAAAATCTGCTGGGTTTCTTTGAACCAAAGAAATTAAGAGTATGCTAGCACAAAATACGTTTCCAAATAAATGATGAGTAAATGAATGAATCAAAACAGTTTGGATAGTTTGTTTAAAAAAACTATACGAGAGACTAGTGATCTTCACATGTCACTGTACTAGAAAACTGATTGACACAGTAGACAGAGTCTAAGACTATAAATGTTATTACACACAGGAAAGACAGATCAGCCTTAAGGACACAGTAACAGTAAGCCAGGTCAATAGTAAACAACAACAGTAGCAACCAATGTTGTCGAAAACTTAGTATGTAACATATTTTTCTACCCACTTAACATGTCTTAACTGAGTTACTCCTGAATTGGATACTGTTATCATTATATTTTACAGTTGAGGAAACTGAGGCATAGAAATATTTCTAGGTGCCTAGCACTGCACAGCTAGGAGAGAGACATTTGATTTTGGAAGTCTGCACTCTTAGTGACTATGCTACATTTGGGGGGAATAGCTTCTTAATAAAATATTAAGAGTTAAAATTCTCATACTCAGTACTATATTCTACCCACTTTGGTTATATATACTTTTATTAAAAACCATGACACAACCATTTCTTCACAACCAATTAAATTAAGAATGATTCAGGAAAATCATGTGTAACCCAGCTAAAGTTCAAAAAAGCACAAAAGTACAGAGAGGTAACTAAATAGATAATCTTGTTAGTGTGTGTTTGTGTTAGTCGCTCAGTCGTGTCTGACTCTTCGCCACCCCATGGACTGCAGCCCACCAGGCTCCTCTGTCCATGAGATTTTCCAGGCAAGGATACTGGAGTGGGTTGCCATTTCCTTCTCCAGGGGATCTTCCCGACCCAGGTATTGAACTCGGGTCTCCTGCACTGCAGGCAGATCCTTTCTGACTGAGCTACAAGGGAAGAGTATTTGTTTAGGGAGTGGCAATTATTGAAACTAAAGCAATAATACTGCAATTAATTCAGAACGAATCAAATAATGATACATTTTACAGGATGCTGATAAAAGTTTAATGCAAGATTGTTATGAAACTTCATTTACACCAGGATAATGGTGCTCTGATCTAATGGACTCAAGATGTTGGCTTCCAAAGCATTTGAAAAACAGTTTTAATGAGTAAGACACTTGTTCATTTCTTCAAGTCGGCAAAAACACAAAATATGAAAGGTATTTTTCTATATCCTGTTGACCAGAACAATTCCTTAAGTGACTTATCTGCCGATCCACTGCAACGAGCAGTCTTCATTTTTAAGCAGTCCATTTTTTCCCCCTGTTTCCTACACTCACTGTTCAAAATTTACCATGAATATTCAGAGGCTTTGAAAGACCCAGAACTCATCTTCTAGTCTAGGATAAGATTATTTAGCATAAATTCAGTGCTGCATTTTCCTATTTCATTTCCGTTGATATTCCATGGATTTTCTATGTAACTGAAGTCAGTTCACTGAAATTTTTACTTCCCAACTGTGTCAGATAGTTTCTCTGCGATAACAGCAAACATCTGGCACAAAGATTTGTTACTAAAACCAACACATATCTAAGGCACTTACTATTTACACTCTAAAGGCCAATTACCTGCTTTGCACTTGCTGGAGTCTCTAAGATTTCTGTCAGCGTGCTTCCTGGTTGGTTCCGGATCACATCAATGATCAGTTTTTTGGTCCTTACAAAATAGAGAAAGGAGAGACAGGCTTTCAGACAGCAGTCTTGAGGTACAAAAATCTGTTTCCCCTGAGGCAGTGTAAAGATGAAGCTTCAAAGAGAATCCTTTAAAATGAAATTGTCTCGCAGAACTTCAGGATGTCTGCTTTAAGGCTCCCCAAAGTTTGTGAATGCTTAACAATCAAAGTCTGGGTTTTATATGCTTGAGGTCATCAGATTATAGGGGCTTCCCAGGTGGTGCGAGTGGTAAGGAACCTGTCTGACAATGCAGGAGACATTAAGAGACTCAGGTTCGATCCCTGGGAGGGGAAGATCCTCTGGAGGAGGGCATGGCAACCCACTACAGTATTTTTGCCTGGGAATCCCATGGACAGAGGAGCCTGGCAGGCTACAGTCCACATGTTCACTCAGAGTTGGACACGTCAGATTACAATGTCAGTATCCTGGGCACAAGTATGTCATAACTACTTTTTCTTTTTTTAATTTAATTTGTGCTTTTTGGCTATGCTGTGGCAGCCGGTGGGATCTTAATTCCCTAACCAGGGATGGAACCCATGGCCCCTGCAGTGGAAGCTCGGAGTCTCAACTACCTGGACCACCAGGGAAGTCCCCCTTTTCTTCTTTTCAGACTGAGACTACTTTCTGATGACCAGGAGGAACAATTGGGCTCATCACTCTGGAAGGAGCAGGAATGATATCTAATGTCCTGACTTTAATAACATTTAAACTTCTGAGCCTGTTGAAAACATCATAAGCTGCTGGGAGCCAGACCAGCTGTTACTGCTGATGCTCTAAGAATGTTATGAAACACTGTGAGGGCCAGTGGGAGTGCAAGTCCCGTGTGGGCTATGAAGGCTCTGGCTGCCGGATGACACAGCAGCCTGGAGGAGGGGTGGTTGGGAACCTTGGATCTGGTGGTGGGACTAACCCATTGGTGAAGGTCCCTGTCCTCAGGTGGGAGAGAACAAGAGAACTGCTCGGTAACAACAGCTGGAAAACCACTCTGTCAATGCCAAAACGATATATTTTTTCATACGTGTTCTTTAGGATAATCAGCCATCCTTTCCTAATTAAAGATCAGGTTATGTAACTATGTGCTAAGACTTTAATGTAAAAGGTAAATGGTCAAGTATGCTCCCTTTTACATAAGTAGGAACATGATTGGACACTGTGTCCCTTCAAAAAAAAAAAAAAAAGGAACATAAACAGAAGTCACCTTAAATTACAAACAGGCCTAACTAACATCTGAAGTTTCATTCTTGTTGCATTGAACCTTAGTTCCTCTCAAGGCATTATATGGTATCACTGGATGATGAATTTCTTCCTCAACTACAGCAGAAAATGGTCATACGGCATGAAAATTGGAAAAGGGAAAGAAAACATCATTCATGTTTTGAATCCCCCAGGGTGGGGAACTGCTCCCAAAGGACAAGAGGAAACTCTCAAAGGGAACTGCAGATATATTATTCTTGCAAATAGGATAAAATTCAACAAGCCATCTGTAACCATTATTTTTCTCCTTTCTTATTTATTTCAAGTCTGTATGAGAAGAATGATCACAACCATTTCCTCTGGCCCATGAGCCTTCACCGCTGGGGATTTTCGAGCTGTCTGGGAATGCACAGAGAAATGTTCCCCCCAGAGTCAGAGGTGGACACACAGCTCATTCCAGCCATGTGCGAGACAGCCCTGCTCCCGGGAGCCAAGAATCTATTGTCTCCCTGCCCACTCGACTCCCCCCTCCAATCCTCATTATAAATAAATGTCTTAAATGGAAACATCCGGTTAGAAATAAAAGCTCTGGGTGATTTTAAAAAATGTTAGCACTTATTTGCAAGAATATTCTAGGAATGACTGATGATATATGATTCCAGGAAACTCTTTAGAGAAGCTATCTGGGGGCGAGCATGACTAGGGTCACTCAAGTGTGCCCTCGCAGGGACAGAGAATGTTTATCTGCTTGGGAGTGCCTGGAGGACAAACTGTCCACACAGCCTTTCTCTTGAATTCTACTTTAGGTCAGGCTTCCGCTGGAATCTATTCCCAAAGTTTCACACCAGACTTCTTCCATGTAAATAACTGTCCAGTTTCATGACAGGGAAATCACTACCTTGCCCTGCAGTAAGCCTAATGGTTAAAGACAATGGAATCAGAAAGATCTCAGGTCGAACCAGGGAGTTGCTTACTAAATGTGTGGACTTGTGCAAACTATAAAGTCCTTGGAGATGTTTTTTCTTTTTTTTCCTTCCTCTTTACATAATGGAAGTCTCTCAGGACTGAAAGAAAGATGCATGTAAATCCCCTCTTTAGAGTCAGACGTGTAGTCAGCATTCGTGTGGTCACATGCTGCCCACGATGCCAGCCCCTGGTCATTGGTGGCCAGTGGGCCCTCCAGACATGGCTGGTCCAAACTCAGATATGCAGTAAGTGCAAAACACACTCTGAACGTGTGGGTTTGGAAAGCTCAGAATGAACAACGAGATGTGTCACGTTGCCATAGTTCACTCGCTTGGTCGTGTCCGACTCTTTGTGATGCCATGGACGGCGGCACACCAGGCTTCCCTGTCCTTCACTATCTCCCTCAATTTGCTAAAACTCATATCCATATTTGGAAGGCTCATTATGGTAAAAGGAATGTGTCATATACCACTAATAATTTTTTATACTGATTCTATATTGAAATAATATTTTGGATATATACTGGGGTAAATTAACATATTAGAATGAACTTCACCTGTTCCTTTTAAAAATATGGCTTCCAGAAAATTTAAAAGTACCCATGTGGCCCACATTAAACCTCTGTGACACGCACAGCACTGAAGCAGCCCATCCCTGAACACGAAGCCCACTCAAACAGGCCTGCCTTCCAGTGCGGTGCACTCACTGGACCCAGTGAGTCACAGGATGTCAGCGCTGAGGGGGACCTTTGGGCAACCAATCCCTGGTTTTACAAATGAGCTCCATTGTTATGGAAGCTCGCATTCTATGTTCTAGAGTTGCAGGAAACAAGCTGAATTCCCTCTCCTCATCAGCCCCTCATCAACCTGCAGAGGCCGCCAGAACTGTCTCCATCCTCTCTTCTACCCCTTCTCTTTTTCCCAAGCGAGACCCTTCAGTTCCGTAAAGCTCTTCACAATAGGAGATAGAGAGTTTCTAGTCCTGCTCGCATTTCAGTTAGCCAATGAATTTATACCATGTTCCCCCACCACCACCTTGATGCAAACACAATATGCTAGACATGGTCTGACCAGCATGAATCTACTGGTTAACGTTTTGGCCCCACGGATGTTCAAACAATAGGTAAGACAAGCTGATCAAACCAAGGACTCTGCCATCTTCCCTGGATGAATAAAGTTAAGAAAAAATGAAATACACCGGGGAGTTTGTCAGAGCTCCGCTCAAATCCCACGGTCAATAAATGAGAGTGCATGGTGCTTGTAAACTGGTGTGGTCCCTTAGGTTTGGCCATTGCATTCAAAGGGTGTCTATTATTACACCCTGGCCAGGACCGTTCCCGAGCCTCCCCGTCTGCCACCTGCCTTACAATGTGCCCAGGGTTGAAAAGGAATTGGTGTTGATGGAAGCTAAAAAGTATTTACAATTTTTAAAAATTCTAATCACGTGACTACACATTTTTATCACCAGACCTCAAATATCCCCTTAGCCACTTAACTGCTCATGCCAGTTTGGACCAAAACCAAGGAAATCTTTCAATGGGATGACAGATGCCTAAACTGAATATGTGATAGGAAAAAAATTCTCAAGAGGTAACAAGCACTCAGGCAGTTAAGTATGAGTAAAAGCCACAAATAATGCTTTCTACTTATACACATGTACTTCCATAGAAACACAAGCTTAATCGAAGCCAAAAGGATCACATACTTTAAGTTAAATCAAAAGTTATAATAAGAGGGATTTACAACTGTACAGTTCTTTATAAGGTGTCAGTGTGTGACCTCATTCACTCATCAGAGACCCCCATCCCCATCTCCCCTTCTCTCCATTTAATGGATAAAGGAAACAAATGCTTAGGTGATGTGATCAGAGTCCAGCTGCTAGTGTGTGAGACTGGGGCTGTAACCCCAGGTCTTCCTGGGACTCCTCAACCAGGCTTTTTTGTCTCTAGGGAGGGCTTTCCAGGTGGTGCAGTGGTGAAGAATCTGCCTGCCAGTTCAGGAGACTCAAGAGACTCGGGTTCCATCCTTGGGTTGGGATGATCCCCTGGAGGTGGAAGCAGCAACCCACTTCAACATTCTTGCCCAGAAAATCCCATGGACAGAGGGGCCTGGTGGGCTACAGGCCATGGGGTCGCACAGAGTCGGACAAAACTGAGCGACTGAGAACATGCTTGGTAATATTTTCAAAATGGCAATATCCCAGACTGACACTGCAGGTGGTGGATTCTTTACAAGCTAAGCAACCAGGGAAGCCTATTTCAAAGTGTACATTACCATTAAAATAAGCATGTTTTTTCTGGAATCATCATGGGGACACACAGGGATATAAAAAAAGAAAAAAACACACACACAAAAAAACAAAAAAAACCAAAGTGTACATTAACGGAATATCAATGGCCTGTGATATAAAGCATGTCAGCGACTAGCTACTTGCTTCCCAGTATTTTAGAATTTAATTTCCTCGCCTCAAAGATAAACACTCAGATTAGACAGTCTCCAAGCCCCCCATCAATGACACCTTTCAGAATTATCTGTTAGTAACAAGATTTTGAAATATATACTTAAGGCATAATGTATTTGGAAGTAAGGCTTGCTTCACACCATGGAGTGAACTCTACTGACTGTTTTGGGCAACACCCAAATTCCACTTCTGAAGAAGTGGTCAGTCTTCTGTTGTCATCCACAGTGAGCACTGGCTATTTAGTGAAGGGCTCCACCAAGAGCAGGATCTCAAAGTATGCCCAGAGGAAGGCTTTCAAGACCCCAGAGGCCAGTGAATGCAGTAAATTATTGAATCTATGAAAACACTGGCCCAATAGCCTTTTTTATATAAATGGAAAAGTTGATCTGACAGTTCCAAGGAATCCCAGGCAGCCAAAAGAATCTTGAGAAAGAACAAGTTGGAGGATTCATACTTCCCAATTTCAAAACTTACTACAAAGCTACAGTGATAAACGTAGTGTGGTACTAGCTTAAGGACAGACATATAGACCAGTGGAATAGAATTTAGTCTTGAAAAACCATACATGCATGGTGGATTGGCTTTTGACAAGGGTCTAGACCATTTAATAGAGAAAGACTAGTCTCTTTAAGGAATAATGGTGGAAAACTGGACATCCACGTGCAAAAGAATATTTGGGACCCTAACATTCCACCATATACAAAAATTCATTCAAAAGGGATCACAGTTGTAAAAGCTTAAACTATGGAACACTTAGAAAAAAACATAGAAGGAAACCTTCATGATCTTGGATTGGGCAATGAATTCTCATATATGACACCAAAAGCACAATAAACAACAAAAAATAGATAAGCTGCCCTTCATTAAGTTGAACAACTTTTTCTACAGAAAAGGATCGTACCAAGAGAATAAAAAAGACAGCTCCCAAAAGGGGAGAAAATGTTTTCAAATCATATGTATGATAAGGATTTAGTATCCAGAACATTAAGAACTCTCACAACTCTGCAACAAAACGGTAAAAATTCAGCTTGAAAATAGGCAAAGACTTTAACAGACATTTCTACAAAGAAGACATAGAAATGACTGATAAGCACATGGAAAGATGCTAAACATTACTAATCATTAGGGAAATGCAAGTCAAAACCACAATGAGATACTACCTCATGCCCACTGGGATGGCTATAACAACAAAACAAAACAGAAAATAAATTTTGATGAATTATGGAAAAACTGAAACCCTCATACCGTGTTGGTGGGAAAAAAGTCTGGCAGTTCCTCAAAACAGAATTACTATATGACCTAGCAACTCCACTGCTAAGTATACACCCCAAAGAACTGAAAGTAAGTGTTCGAATACAAAGTTGTATATAAATGTTTGTGGTAGTACTATTCACTATAGCCAAAATGTAACAACAACCCGAATGTTCATGATACTATGGTATATCCATACAATGGAATATTATTCAGCCAAAACCACGCTCAACAAAGGAAGCCAGGTGCAAAAGGCCATATATTATATAATTCCAATTATATGAAATTTCCAGAATAGGCAGGTTCATGGAGACAGAAAGCAGATTAGCGATTTCCAGGACTGGGGAGCAGGGTCTGAAAAGGTGCCCCAGAGATGACTGTTTAAAGTAGAGGGTTACTTTAGGGGTAATGGCAATATTCTGGAACTAGATAGTGGTGAAGCTTGCACAACATTCTGGATGTATTAAGTGCCATCAAGTTGTACATTTAAAAGGTTAGAATGGGGGACTTCCCTGGTGGTCCAGTGGCTAAGACTCCACGCTCCTGATGCACGGGGCATGGGTTTATCCCTGGCCAGTGAGCTAGATCCCACATACTGCAACTAAAGATCTCACATGCTACCATGAAGACAGAAGATGCCACGTGCCACAACGAAGACCTGGTACAGCCACATAAACAGAAAACAAATACTTTGGAAAGAAAAGTTAGAGCGGGTAAAGCAACCTCACTCCAATAAAAATCAATTTAAAAAAACGTTAGGATGCTAACTTTTATGTTGTACTTTGCCACGAAATGCAAAAGTAAATACATGAAACTGCTGGCTGGCTCCACTCTGTGTGGTGACTAAAGAGGCAGACAGTATCTTGTGTCCAGCACACCGTGGGGGAGCTGGGTGAGGGGGACCCACACAGGGGCTGAGGCAGCTGAAGAATGCACCAGGCCTTCCTGGCCAGGATGTACCGCTCCCAACAGGTCTGACTTCCATGGTTTCACTTTCAAAANCTTCTTTTTTTTTTTTTTTTTTTGCCATTTTCATGGGATTGAATATCTGGAAAAAATCAACTAGAAATGAGTGCTGTCTGAGGCATGTCAGTGGCAGAAGAGAAAGCTCTTGCTGCAAATGAAAACAACCTCAGAACTCAGGACATGTAACTCGGGAGTTATGTGTAAAGTATTATTTAAATGTTTATTTCCTTTTGCCCCCATTTCCCACTTCCATTTTCTACTTCACCCCGATGTACAACTGTTCTAATGTGCTAATACGAATCCATTTCCTTCTATTAGTTCTTAAAAACTGTAGGTTGGGTGAGCCCCTGGCTTTGGTTTATGACATTTCAATTCAGGGTGATGAACCATCCTCTCTTACTCTGTATGTGAGGACTGATGTACAAGCTCTTTGAGGCCTTGACAGAAAAAGTACAGTATTAAGAGTATGAAAACTTCATCTGAAATCTTCAAGGTCAGGAGGTTGACTATAAATAAAGTCAAATTTGGTCAAGTTATCTAGGCTTGGTTTAATAGAAAAGATGTCTAATAAGTCAGAGAATAGCATTATGTCTTACTGCATGTGACTTTTACATTAATGTTTTCTACCAGAAGATAAATTAGGTACAAGGTATTTCCTTGAACTTCCTTGTTCTTTTGACCACTGGAACAGTTATTTCCTTTCAGCTACCTGAGGACTTTCATAGGCTGAGTTAATCATTTCTTAAAGGGAAGGAATGAAATTAGTACAAGGAAAACTAAAGAACAAGATAAGCTTTAGAAAATATTATAATATTTAGGTCTCTCAAATTATGAAGAATCTATTATTCTTGGTTAGATTTTTGATGGCTAAACACACTGTTTTCCAATATTTGGGCTTCCTTGGTGGTTCAGTGGCAAAGAATCTGCCTCCAGTGAAGAGATGTGGCGATCCTCTGCAGAACGAAATGGCTACCCACTCCAGTATTTTTGCCCGGGAAATCCCATGGATGGAGAAGCCTGGTGGGCTACAGTTCACAGGGTCGCAAAAGAATTGGATACAACTTAGCAACTAAAACGACAAACAACAACATTTCAATATTTAAAAATGACCTGAAAATTTAGTCTAATTTGAATTTGCATGGTTTAAGATGCATAATTGGGACTTCCCTGGTGGTCCAGTGAAAGTATTAGTCGCTCAGTGGCTCTTTGTGACCCCATGGATTTTCCAGGCAAGAATACTGGAGTGGATAGCCATTCCCTTCTCCAGGGGATCTTCCTGACCCAGGGATCGAACCCTGGTCTCCAGCATTGCAAGCAGATTCTTTACTATCTGAGCCACCACAGACGCCCACTGGTTAAGAATCTGCCTGCCAATGCAGGGGACGCTGGCTTGATCCCTGGTCCAGAAGATCTCACAGGCCGTAGGGCAACTCAGTCCATGCGGCACGACTACTGATCCCAAACTCCAGAGCCCACGATCTGCAGCTACTGAAGCCTGTGTGCCTACAGCCCGTGCTCTGCGACACGAGAAGCCTGTGTACTGCAACCAGAGAGAGCCTCTGCATACAATGAAGACCCAGTGCAGTCAGAGACATGTCAATAAATGAAATTTTTTAAAAAGATGAGCAAATGGAAACATGTGCTCTTTAAGCCCCAAACTTACTTGATCATGAGGCTTTGGCCATCTATAGCTTCACCATCCCCTATGTCGTACTTGCTGGTCAGGTAAAGGGAAATCTCAGTCTTGGCGAGTTGATTTAGTGTGTTTACCTTGTCAGGGTCATTAGGGTCAACAGCTCCTTCCCCTGCAGAATAAAGCCCTGTTATTTTCCAACTCACTGATTGTGACAGTGGCATCATCAATGTAAGACAAAGGTTCTGTAGGAAACATGGGGCTTGGGAGTTGAGCAGGAGATCGTGGTCCTCAGAGAAAACCACATTCCAATATCCTTACAGTGGCTTTTAAAAAATCTTTGAATTAAACATTAAAATAGCATGGGACATTGATATTCAAAATTTGAAAAAAATTACTGAAAGAGAACTGTCAATAAAAGACATCATTGGAAAAAATAACAAGGAACTTTTAGTAAATTTTGCCCTTTTTCTTTATGATTGACAAAGCCTTTTTGACATATATAGACCTTCAAGAATAGTAAATTGTTTTACAATTGAGCATACTAAGAAGTACAGAATCCTTCATGTAGAAAGGGGCTAGTGTAGCGATTATCCTTTAAATGAACCTGTGAATTAAATAAGATTTTTGGATCTAGGATAGGAAAACCAACAAACCATCCAACTAACCAACCAAATACAAACCCGAGGGAAGACGCCCTTACCAAGGAAAGATTCCACATTAGGTACCTCTTCCAGCAACTCCAACAGCTCATTCAGTAAGTCATTTTTTTCAGGTGCAATCGCATCTTGGTGTTCCAACAAGAGCTTTACATAGAAAGCAACACACAGACAAAGATACAAGTAAATTCTCAACAGCTACCGTATTTACATAGTCCTCTTCCTGATTTTTTGTGATAACTTTCTTTTGATATTGTTTGAATCTTAAATGCAAGTCTGACATTTATTAAAATTAGAGACCACAGAGAAACACAGTTTGTACTTTATCTTAGAGGCAAGTGCATACTCTTTATCAAGAAAGTGTAGTTTTTATGAAAGGTGTTCATAAACACTCTTTCAGCAAAATCTTGCAAAATCTGTCAAGAGGCAGTTTTCTTCCACCTAAACCCTGTCCTTCTTCCACGTTTATATAAAAGGTCAAAGTTGAGGGATAAATTAGGAGTCTAGGATTAAAATACACACACTACTACATATAAAATAGATAACCAACTAGGACCTACTGTATAGCACAAGGAACTATACTCAATATTTTGTAATAACCTATAAGAGAAAAGAATCTGAAAGAGTGTATATATGTGTTTGACACACATATACACACATAATATATATCATAGATATTCTGAACCACCTCTGCTATATACTTGAAACTAACACAACATTGTAAGTCAACTACACTCCAATAAAAAAGAGAAAAATGTCAAAGCCGGGGAGGGGGAGAATCTAAAATAATGCAGAAGTCTCTTGACTAACATGGGAGCAAACTGCAAGGACATTTCCATATCTCTTCAGAGAAAAATTACACAGTAATCAAACATTATAGTTATATTTTAAAAATCACCACTATTAGCTATTTTATTTTTTTGAGATGTTTAGTAATAAACTTATTAAGATATCATTCACATACCATACAATCGGCCCATTTAAAGTGTATAATTCAACATTTATTAGTATATTTCATAGAGTTGTGCAACCATTATCACACCAATTTTAGAGCATTTTTTGCATTTACCCCCCATCCAAAGAAACTCTATCTTTCAGCAGTCATCTGAAAATCACCTTGTTTCCATATCCCACTCCAGTACTCTTGCCTGGAAAATCCCATGGACAGAGGAGCCTGGCGGGCTGCAGTTCATGGGGTTGCAAAGAGTTGGACATGACTGAATAACTAACTGGGGCTTCCCTGGTGGTTCATATGGCAAAGCGTCTGCCTATAGTGCGGGAGACCTGGGTTCGATCCCTGGGTCAGGAAGATCCCGTGAAGAAGGAAATGGCAACCCACTCCAGTATTTTTGCCTGGAAAATCACATGGATGGAGGAGCCTGGAGGGCTACAGTCCATGGGGTCACAAAGAGTCGGGCAAGACTGAGCAACTAAGTATGCAAGCATGATGACTGAAGATGTTGACCATCTTTTCATGTGTTTATAACTATTGTTTATCTTCCTTGAAGAAATCTCTATTCAGATGATTTGCCTGTTTAAAATTATTTTTATGTTTTTTAAATTAGTAAATAGTAAAATCCAGATGACAAAATCTACCATCTTAACCATTTTTAAGTGTAGAGTTCAGTAGTGTTAAGTACATTAATGTGCCTCCAATCTATATAACTCCTTAATCTTGCAAAATTGAAACTATATCCATTCAACAACTTCCCATTCCACTATTCCACTTTTCTGTCTCTGAATTTAACTACTCTAGGTATCTTGTATAAGAGGAATGCTACAGTATTTGCCTTTTTCCATCTGGTTTACTTCACTTGGCATAACATCCTTAAGGTTTATCCATGCTGCGGCATCAGAATTTCCTTCCTACTTAAGGCTGAATAAAACTCCATTGTTTTTTGGAATATTCCATATTTTTTCTACACCACATTTTGATTATAAATGGGCACTTGGTTGCTTCCACTTTTTGGCTACTGTACAATGCTGAAATGAACAGGAGGGTACAAGTGTCTTTGACTTTGCTTCTTCTTTTGAGTATATACCCAGAACTGAATATGTTCTTAACTTTTTTGAGAAACGATCACATTGTTTTCTATAGCAGTTGTACCATTTAACATTCCCACTGATAGTATAACAGGGTTCTAATTTTTCGATATCTCTGCTAACACATTTTCCAGTTTTTGTTTTTATATTAATAGTAGCCACTATAATGGGTGTAAGGTGGTATCTTGTGTGTTGTTTTTTTTTCCAAATCAAATGGCAGATTCATTGGCTGTCTCTGTTATACAATGAGGCAAAATCACTGCAGTTTTGATTTGTATTTCCCTAGACATGAGTGATGCTGAACATCTTCGTGTGTTTGGTCAGTCATCTGTCTTCTTTGGAAAAACACTGATTCAAGTCTCTAGTTCATTTTAGAATTGGGTTGCTTTCTGTTGCTCTTCAATTATAGGAATGGTTTACATATTCTTGGTTATTAACTGTAAATCAGACATATGATTTGCAGGTTTTTCTCCCATTCTGTAGGTTGCCTTTTCACCATGTTCACTGTGTCATTTGAGACACAGCAGTCTATTTTTATTTTCAGTTGTCCATTTTTAAATTGGATTATTTATCTCATCATTGAGCTGTAGGTTTTCTTCATATACTCGATACAAGTTCTTTGACAGATACACTATCTGAAATTATTTTCTCTCATCCTCTTGGTTGTCTTCTCAATTTTCTGATGGCAATGTTTACAGCATGAAAGTTTCTAACTTTGAGGAGGTCCAATTTATTTTTTTTTGTTTGTGTGTATTTTTTCTTTCTGTGGCTTATACACTGGGTGTCATACCTGAGAAACCACTGCCTATCCAAGGCTGCAAAGATCTACTCCTATGTTTTCTTCTAAGAGTTTTAAATACACATATTTTGAAAGATTTATTTATTGACTGATGGCTGTGCTCGGTCTTCTTGGCTGTACACAGGCTTTCTCTAGCTGTGGTGGGCGAACTTCCCATGGCAGCGGCTTCTCTGGTTGCGGAGCCCAGGCTCCAGGGCGCACAGGCTTCAGTGGTGGTGGTATACGGGCTGGCTGCCCTGAAGCATGTAGGATCCTCCTGGACCAGAGACTGAGCCTGGGTCCCCTGCACTGGAGGCGGGGTCTTAGCCACTGGACCACCTGGGAAGTCCCTTTTCTACTCTCTCTCTTTTAAACAATTATATATATATATTTTGCTTTTGGTTATGTGGGATCTTAGTTCCCCAATCAGGGATCACACCTGTGCCCCCTGCAGTGGAAGCTTGTATTCTTAACCACTGTGCCACCAGCGAAGTCCATCCACTCTGTCTTAATCGTGAAGATTAGCAAAGAAGAGAGTTATCTGTTCAATGTCGAATTTCCCCTAACATTCCCTGATACTTACAAACTGGGTTTTTAAGAAAGGGAGAGGAAGCCTCAGGCGCAGGGCTTCCGGGAAGCAACTATGTTCGACTATCGTGTTTTCATTACATTTATTTACTTTTAAAGATTCTGTGCACTGCAAGGCATGCTAGTTTTTCTACTATGGTTGGATTTAAAGAAAGATGCCATAGAGGTGATAGAAAGACATGGTGAAATCTGGAAAGGTGGTACAGTGGATGTTTGCGGGGGAAGGTAAGTCAAAGACAAGAATAAACTAAGAAAGGTGGATCAAATCAATTTATATTCTTTTTCTCTCAAGAGAGGGGACAGCTGATTTGGCTGCTGTCTCTGGAAGGGATGATTTAGCAGCCACCTTCTACTCTCTATTCTGATAATTACAGAACATAAAATCTAGAACTGTCTCCTTCAAGAGCTAATTTTGAGGTTCTATACGTTCCTTGGGGAACAAGGAGCAAGCATGTGGCCAGCGGTCTGGCCAGTCATGTGGCTGCCATGCCTGAGTCTGCACGTGGACTCTGCCTCCCTGGAGACAGACAGTAAACAAGGACAGTCTTCCCTGCAATTACATTTTTCCCACAGTATTACATCTGCTTCCAACTACACACAGAAAGGAATTCCAAATCGGTTACAAGTCATGTTTCCTAGGATTGGATTCTGTTTTTAATTCTTGTTAACAAAAGGAACAGATTATCTCTCTTTAAAGATTAACAGTCTAAATGAATTACAGTAACGTTCTCTCTCTGCTATCCTTGGGGAAGAATCTTCCTTTCCCTCCACATGGCTATTGTCCTTAGCACACGTGCAATCAACACGTGGACATTTTTTTTTTTTTTTGGAGATGAATAATTTACCACAGAAATAGACAAATGGGTTGAGGTTCTGATATGAATGAGTCTACCTTGTTTGTTAGGAAATTATTTCTGCAAATGGTGTATTACTGGACATGTGTGCTAGCTGACTTGGGGTGTTTATATATAGGGAAAACAAGTATAGCCTCTTCACTTAATCAACCCACCCAGTCCCTCAGCTGGTCTTTTAGAACTGTTTTTGTTTAGGGTCACTCAAAATACTGATGGAGAGCTTGCCAGAGTTCAAGGAAGGTTTCCTGTCCCAACCCTGAAAGGGGGAGATCAAAAGTAGATCCAGTCTTTCTTTTCAACACATATTTAAACTTTGTTACTTAGAAGAGTTTGATAATAAAGACTGAAATTTTGGGCAGCCAATTTTTGCCACTCGTTAGTATATTTGGTTTGGCGGGGGCAGGGGCGAGACCTTTTAGAGGTGTGTCTTTGCTGTGCTTTCCCCGGGTTGAGAGTATAATTGGAAGCTGGGTGTATCCTTAACCACCTTCTGAGGCTTCCTGACCTTTAGTCTGGGTCTGAGTCAGCTGGAGTCTGGTTAGAATGCAGGTTCTGACTTTGTAGGTCTTGCATGGGTTTCTAGTATTAGTTTAGAGTAGCCGTGTCCAGAACTGTTCTTGGAAAGATTATGTTTTAAGAACCTAGCTGTTTCAGGATAAGTTCTGCTTGGTCTTAAACAAAGAACCTCACAATGCTGAGAAAACTGCCCTGCCCCTAAAATGCACCTAATACAGGCTAATGGTTGACGGTGATGTCTGTGTGTGAACTAGAGGGGACATTATGACATAGCATTGACTATGTCTAGAAATGCGGTTTTCTAGAACAACAGAAGAGACTCTTTGTAGGTGGCTAATGTTGGAGGTGGGGGGTGGGAGTCTTCTTTTCCCCAACCTAGAGCAGCCTATTTATTCCCTCTCTCTTTATGTCCAAACCTTAGAAGAGAGGGAACGTTTTTATTTTCCCAGAAAACTGCTAGAATAGCAAAGACAATTCCCAAAAGGGGGAGAGACCGACGATGGGGTTCAGGCAGCATGGCCTTGGTGGGTGGAGAAAATACCAGGGCTGCCCCCGCTCAGGGATTAAACCCTTCACCATAGGACTGTAAATGGGTCACGGAAGAAGTAAACGCTCCTTTTTGGGAGAAGGAGTCTTCTTAACATGTAAGAATCAGAGAATAAACGTATCATGCAAAAGTGAACTTTTCTTTTTCGGGAAAAGGAGGTTCATCACCGTGTAAGGGGCAGGGAATAAATAAAGTGTGTGTTTTTAGGATTAAGAACACGAGGAGGAGCACATGCTCACAGTAACTCTCTGCAGAAACTAAACATTCTCAAGACTGATGTCCGAACCCCGGGTCCACTGCTAAGACCCTCCTCCAGCCTCACTTACTGAATGTGTGTTGATGATTTCTTCAATTGAAATATAAATGACTGGCTTGCTGACTGTCACCACATCTGTGTACTTATCCATATTAAACTTTTCTTCTGGTTCAGGGACATTACATGCTTCTTTGAAATATTTCCTAAGAAAAGGAAAGAAATAATTTTAGAGTCAATTTTGTGAATAAAACACTTTTATCAAAATAGTGAGATCTTCAGTGATGGGGAGGGCTTTGCGTTTTCCCGCACTTATTAGAGGATCTAATCTAGCACCTTCTAGGCTGATTCCAGATGGCGAAGCCGAGTCCATGTTTCTGGGTATCGCACCCAGCTCCTCAAACAGGGATAGACAGAGCAGTTAGGTAGGCCTCAGGCCTTGTGACGGACCCAGTGTAATCAAGTTATGGGCATGTCGTTTAAAAAATATGATTTAAGAAATGCCCCCTGAAATCTAAACAAAAATGTCAAGACTGATGTTCTTCTCTAAGAATCAAGTCTTTTTAGAGAAAATAAGCCCAAAAGCAATTAAGCAATTAATTAAAAGAAAAAAGGAAGTCAAAAGAGGTTTTAAGAGAAGATAAGGAATTCCAAGAAATGGATGCTACATTTTTTAGTAACATCAAATTTGCTACTTTAATTGGCACAAATTTCTGCGGCCTTCAACAACCTTTCAGAGTTTCTGTTACCAATTTGATGAAAATGCAAGGTAAGCCTGCTGCTGCTGCTAAGTCGCTTCAGTGGTGTCCGACTCTGTAACCCCATAGACGGCAGCCCACCAGGCTCCGCCATCCCTGGGATTCTCCAGGCAAGAATACTGGAGTGGGCTGCCATTTCCTTCAATGTATGAAAGTGAAAAGTGAAAGTGAAGTCGCTCAGTCGTGTCCAACTCTTAGCAACCCCATGGACTGCAGCCTATAGGCTCCTCCATCCATGGGATTTTCCAGGCAAGAGTACTGGAGTGGGGTGCCATTGCCTTCTCCAAGGTAAGCCTACTCTGCTCTTAATCGGTCTAGACCACAGTTGCTGGCTGGAAAGGCTGTTAAGACCAGACACACGGTTACATGCAACGGCCCCTCCCTCCAGTGCTCAGCCTCTTCAGAAGTCTGCCATGTGAAGCTATCGTAAGTTTCAACCAAGAGATGCAGAAAAGCCAGGTGTGCTGTGATAATGGCTTAGGAGGGATTCTTAGCACAGGTAGAACAGGCATTTTAGTCTGTAAGTGTGTGTTTCCTATGCCTAAAGTATCCTTGGTGTATCTCCTAAGGCACCCAAGACTCGTCCAGTGGAAAGACCCCTGCCTCCCACCCCAAGGCCCGGGGAGGGGATCCGGCAGGCAGCCGCGCCCCCACGGACAGCCGGCCTCCCTGTGCTGCCTGCCTGCCATCTTTCCTGGATGCTGAGGAACACAAAAGATGAATATAAGTGGAAGAGAAAGAAAAACAAGGTGGATTTAGGAGATGAAGGGAGACTTTTGGTTTTTTCTTTTAAATGAAGAGTTGGAGACACAGGAGTTTAGTAGGAATAATCTGACAAAAAAGCAGGTGCAAAAGGGGTTTGAAGAGCAGCTAAGGGTTCACAAGAAATGGATGTTACTTTTTTAGTCAGTGAAGGGATCTAAAATTAGCAGTGTGAGAAAAATCAAGCTTTCTCATAATAAGAGGATTTGGTGGAATTTCTTCACAAGAGGCCACAAATTCCAAACAGAGATGAATGCTCATGAACTACTTCTGTCAGCAGATAAATCACGGATCTGGAGGAAAACTGAGGAACGGGAAATTATCATCTTCCAAGCTGAGGCTACATGGATGCCACAGCTGTATGACTGACTGACAGAAAAGAGGAAACGAATGCCTAGAGGAGTGTGCTTCCTCAGAGAGCTTCCGAGCGAGCAAACGTGCCTCCTAGACTCACGCCTCCTCCCACGTCCCGTGGAATCATCCGTGATAGAACTTGGAAGCATATGATCAATAGAACTGCCCCACATGTGTATTTAAGAGATGTTCCAGCACAGGACACATTCACACACAATCCTCAACAAGCGTAACAGCTGGATTTTCCCCACCTGTCAAAACCAAATACTCAGTTTCCTGCCATTGTTTGGTGCAGATAAGGCAAGTTTTCCTGAGTAGACAAAAGATAATCCTTGTTCCAAGCTCAAAAAAGTAGAAGTTAGGTGTTTTGATTCTTTTTTTAATTCTAAGTACTACAAGCCTAAGGGGTTTCCTTAAAGGCTCAGCAGTAAAAAAAAAAATCCTCCTGCAATGCAGGAGCCGGGGGTTCGATCCCTGGGTTGGGAAGATTCCCTGGAGGAGGAAATGGCAACTCACTCCAGTATTCTTGCCTGGAGAATCCCATGGTCAGAGGAGGCTGGCGGGCTACAGTCCAAAGGGGCACAAAGAGTCGGACACGACTGAGTGACTGAGCACACACAAGCCTAAACATGCCAAGATGATTAAATATTTCTTTTTGTCAAAAGCACAAATCATAACATATGGGGATGACTCAGTGTAACAGGGGCGCTGGCTACAGGGGTAGGATCGGGAACACCAGACAGAGGGAACTTGGCCTGATCGTCCCTGCTTCCTCTCTCCTCACGGTGACAACCAACACAAGAAATGCACGCAGCGACTTTCCTGGTGGTCCAGTGGGTAAGACTCTGCCCTTCCAATGCAGGGGGCGTGGGTTCAATCCCTGGCTGGGGAACTAAGACCCTGTATGCTGTGCAGTGTGGCCAAAAACATAAATGACTAAACAAAATTAAACTTTAAAGGCTTTATTAAAAAAAAAGGAAATAAAAGAGGTTTATGCTAAGGTGAAAATTTAACACAATTTATAATTAAAAAAGAAAAGAAAAAAGAAAAGCAAGCAGCCCCCTGGGGTTTCTGCCCTCACCCTCAGCTTCAGCTCTGGGCCCAGCACACACATTACTCCTGTCCAGCACCTTGCAAGCTTCTCCAAAGGTAATGAGCCCTCTCACCTGAACTCCTGATACGTCTCTGATAAATAGTCGTTCACAGAGGAGAGGTGCTCGTTTTCTCCTTCGAAGAGCTTGTTGGAGGCTGCATGCTGCAGGACCTTGGCCACTGATCCCAAGTTTCTCCTCTGGTCGGGATTGATCTGACCGCCGGCTGTCATGTCGATGATATCAAAGCCGTCTGGGGCGACGATGGCTGGGTTCATGTACCGGTAGTACAGGAGGTTTCCAACAATCTGGAGGGAGGCAGAAGAGAAGACTATTTTTGAGAGAGAAAACTCGAGTTTGGAGTGTTTTTGTTTTGTTTTTTTGGTCTTGTGGCTGCAGGATATTGTAGTTCCCTGACCAGGGGTTGAACCCAGACCCTTGGCAGTGAGATCTTGGAGTCCTAACCACTGGACCACAGGCGAGTCCCTGGAGGTTGTTTTTTTCTTTTTAAAGTTAATATTAATCGACATTTCCCAAGATAGCAAATCATTTTCTGACCTGAATCCTAACAAGGAGTTAAGTAAAGGTAGTGACTATAATCACACATTACAAATAAAGTTAACAAAATTATTTTTGGTGAAAATATACTACTGACACCCAAATTTTCTAATATAAAGAATCTTGATAACGTTTGAGAGCTCCCAATTAACCTCGTAATAGTTAATAATCTTGAGAGTCATTAGAAATAGAAGACTTGCAGCTTATAAATAGTCATAGAAAGGGAAAACCTTTACAAAATGGTGTGTTAGTAATTTTGGCTTCTTCCCCCAAGAGAAGCTATGGTGAGATTATCCCTGAAAATCTACCTTTAATAGCTCATCTTCTGTTGCATCCGGAAATTTCTCATGGATCGAATTCTTCAGCACTTTGGCTATATACCTCAATCCATAACTACATGGAAAACAGATGACAAAAGAAAATAATGGAAAAGGGCTAAGTGAGGAAGAAATGCACTGTAATTGTTCCCATCTACTAAAGCCAAGCAGCTTTCATAAAAATTAAACACAAAGAGATGGTGACCGAATCACAGGACTGCCACAGATGATCATAACCGAGGTCTGTTTAATATCGTTCCCTCTTCTGTGAAGTTATGAATTGAAAACGCACATGTAGGCAAACGTCCAAAGCCGTGAAGATGGTCAGAAGGAAACCCATCTTTGCTGCTGGGGTCTATTTTATATAGCGTTTCAAGAACTTCCAGCAATGAAAGATAAAGCTGCCACGCATACAACTTACGGCAGCAGATCGAGGGAAGAGATGATGGAACTCAGGACTTGGTCGGTGACCCTTCTCAGGTGCTCGATGGAGGCCTCCAGTCTGGCTCTCACTTCCGGGTACGTCAGCGCTTGCTCTGTGGTCACGTCGTAGGGCAGGTTGCTGAAACCACAACGAGGGCTTCTCATTAATTGGGGGCATAGGTAGAAGCATTTGTGTTCATGCCCCATTGGTTCTCTAGTCAAGCTTTGCATGGTGAATTGGGGTTCACCCACCAGCTCCAATGACAAAATGCTCGCTTGTGGGGGAGGGGGGAGACCCCAGAGGCCCGCAGGGAACCCTCAGTGATAGTGCATCGGGGTGGCTCCAGAAGCTCCATCTGGGCTCTTCCAAGACGACAGGCAGACCCAGGAGAGGGAGACCAGCTAACTCTCTCTCTCCTTAATCATAGGGAGCAGTGTGCTCTCTTTTAACTTCTTAAGTGGCGGAAAACTGCTTGACAATGTTGCCTCGGTTTCTACTGCAGGGCAATGTGAATCAGTCATGATATACATATCCCCGCCCTCTGGAGCTGCCCTCCCTTCCCCCCATCCCACCCCAAGAGCAGTCTGTTCTTTACTGAAAAAGTTGCCTATCAGCCAACAAGGAAATACTACTGACCCAGAGAAAGCTGCTTTTCCTATCTTAACTTTCTAGGTCCTCTGCACACATGTGTGTATGTGGGTATAATGCAGATCATGTTTATACACATTCCATACAGATTCTTCCTGTGCATCTATAAAGGCATGTATTTTCTTTACATAGAAAATGAGTCAATGTATCAAGATACAACCAAAAACCATATCATGAACATTTTCCCCAGGCCAACAAATATATTTCTATACCACCATTCCCAATAGTTAGTTACTACTCCATTATGTGTTATACATTTATTTAACAGATTCCCCAAAGCTAAATATTTTGACTCTCCCTCACTTTGGCGATTACAAACAGCGCTGTGACAACCACCCATATAAATTCGCTGTGCACATCCTAATGAAATTTTACAAGGTGCCCTTCTGCAGGAAATAAAAACCTGGGATTGCTTAGATCTACCGATACTACCTAAAATAAGCCAATCCCACCCAGATAATTAATGCTTACATGTTCTAGTTACTTATTTGGTAACTGTAGAAAAGTAGGTATCATCAAGTGAAGAGAAATCGTATACCATTTCAAGGTCCAGGTTTAGGAACATACAAAGAAAAACCAAGAGAAAGAACTACAGAAATTGTGACTTTGGGCATCAACTGGTACTGAAATCTGAAAATAATATGTACCACTAAGATGAGCAGGAGTCCAAGAATGTTGCCTGCCTGGAGATATTAAAGAGAGCTAATAAATCTTGGATTGAAAAGTAATTTTGTACAGTAAGTTTTGTTTTTTAACTGTGTTTAAGAGTGTGTATAAATATACACATAGAAGTGATAGAACATCACTGAAAACCAGCATTGCCCTGGCTTCACTACCTGGCTTCTCCAGTCTGTGTTTCGAGTTGGTTCACCCAGGCCTTGTACACCTCGACAGGGCTCGTGTTGATGATCAGGGACTTGTCGTCAATGATCTCTTTTACCACCGGAGCCAGGAGTTGGCGCAGCGTGTTCTGCCCACGGGCACCTCTGTTGAAGCTGACGACCATCTTGATGACNTACAATGTTGTGTTAAGTTTCAGGTATACAATGAGTTTTTTATTCGAGAAATTTAAGAATCTAAGAGTAATTTCTCAGCTTGAACTCCAATCTAGAAGGCAGGGGTGAACTAAAAGCAGACCTAGACTAATAATAATAATACTGGGTGACGGTGTACAGGTATGATGCCCCCTATTGCTTTCCGGGGAGTTAGTCTTGAATGTCTAATATTCTGCTGGATAGTTTCACCCACATGTTCTACACCTAAAACATAGACTCAGTGTGCTGAAAATCTAAGCTGTGCCTTTTTCCTTCTCACTCCCCTATTTCCCTGAACTGTGTAGCTCCAATTCATCCTGTTCATATGCAGGTGGGAGATCAATCTAAAAACTCCATGTGGTCATGTCAAAAACCTTGCACCAAAGTAACAAGAGCCTCTGCTCAAGTGTCTCCTATGATGTGGCCCAACCTTCATGTCCTGGTGGTCACTGATTAAGTTACCTTTTGGTGAAACTAATCTACTTCCTTTATTTTTTATTTTTGGCCTTGCTGTGTGGCTTGAGGGATCTTCGGTCCCTCACCAGGAATTGAACCTGAGCCCTAGGCAGTGAAAACGCAGAGTCTTAACCACTGGACCCCCAGGGATGTCCCTCATCTACTTGCTCTCTTGCCCCTTGGCCCATGCTGGTTCTATCACCATGGTGCCTTACTTCTCTTCCATTTCGTTTTATAAAAACTGTAGATATTCTTCAAGGTTTTGGGTCAACTCCTTTCTCTTCCATAAAATCTCTATCAATTGACCTAATTGGAACTTTTCTTTCCATCCCTCTGACACTGTTCACGTCATTCATTTAGTCCTTACCTTGTCCTCCTGCATAGCATTGCTATTTCTCATGATGCCTTATAGACACCCTGAGGGCAGAGGGGCCTGGCTAAGAGCTTTGGAGACCCATGAGAATAGCACTGCTTAAGGTATCCAGAGTAAGGAAGGCTAAAGGTATTTCTTACAGGGTGTTTTTTTCCCCCATTCCTTACAGTTAACTACACATTTTAAACACAAACTAAGTCATAAAATAGTAAAAAGCAGCTTAAGTTACATAAGAAGGAAAGACTATTTAGCAGAGATCATTATCCTCCTCTGATTATAGTTTTATTATTCACATAATTTTAATGAAGCTAATTTTTCTCACTTTTTTCTCTTTTTCTTTTTTGGCCACACAGCATGGCTTGTGGGATTTTAGTTCCTTGGCCAGGATTGAATCCAGGCCCTTGGCAGTGGGAGCACAAAGTCCTAACCACTGGAACACCAGGGAATTCCCTCTCACTGACTTTAAAAGGCTTTGCACACTTGCAACATCAAAAGTTAATTCAGCACTAGAAAAGGAGAAAGTTGTACCTGAATATATCTATGATGCAGAAATTTCTTAAGAAATCTGATACATTTTAATATGTGTAAATAACTTCTAACTGTTGTTGTTCAGTCACCAAGTTGTGTCCGACTCTTTGTGACCCCCCCCAGGCTTCCCTGTCCTTCACTATTTCTGGGAGTTTGCTCAAATTCATGTCTATTGAGTCAGTGATACCATCCAACCACGGCATCCTCTGCCACCCTCTTCTCCTTTTGCCTTCAGTCTTTCCCAGCATCAGGGTCTTTTCCAATGAGTGAGCTCTCATAGTAAATCAGAGCTCTCACAGCTCTCATAGCTCTCTTAGTAAATCAGAGAAATCCACCACTAACAAAACATGTTGGTATTTTTACATATATACGTACGCTATTTCTTCCTCCAGAGCAGTTTTAAAAAGCTTGAGAAGTAGATATTCTTCTCGCTGATTGGAAGCATAATTGTACAGGGTGAAAATAACAGTATCCATAAATTTAGTTGACTTGTTCTGTGGCATCTGGAAAATCAGCTTAGCCAGGTATGAAGGATTGGTCTAAAGAGAGAAGACGAAATGCCCCCCACAAGACTGTATGTTAATATATTATTAAAGCAGAGAGGAGTACCCAGTTCTTTGCTCTTTAATGAATTCTTATCTATGAAGCACACAGAAGAATATCTGGTTCATATTAAGATAGGCAGCAGCTAATAACACTACTATACTATAGGAAGTTATAATAGAAAGTGATGGTAGGATTTACATTTTATGTACTATATCATGTCATATTTTACGGACTATAATTGCATTATGAATACATTACACTGTTCACCATTTGAAGGCACATATTAATATTTATTGTAGAGACAAAGGAGAGAGAGGGGGTGGCTGAGCTATCTGAAGAGACTGGCAAGAATGGACCAAGGTTGAGCCATAGAGACTGTCTTAGAAGGACTGATGAGTATGTCAACACAGTCTACATCCTGAGACTAGAAAGCAAAAGCAAAGGATGTGAGACAGACAATGGGATGGCCGTGATGTTTTAAAAAATGTTTTATGTTTTCTAAATAACTTTTTTCTCTATCTGAAAGCTCATTTTATCTGTGGCTGTGTGTGGGCCTTCTCCAGCTGCAGTAAGCAGCGGGGCTCCTGTTGGTTCCAGAGCGCGGGCTCCAGAGTGAAGGCTCGGGAGTTGTGGCTCGTGGGCTTAGCTGCTCCGTGGCATGTAGGATCTTCTTGGACCTGGGATGGAACCTGTGTCTCCTGCATTAGCAGGCAAATTCTTCACCACCGAGCCGCCAGCGGAGCCCGGCCATGATGTTTTACAAAGCACAAGAAAGGAAGAGCGAGGCAACGAGGCTGGAGGGTCAAGTTCAGGGTAGGTCCTGGGGAAAATGCCAGAAGAAACTGATAGAAAAAAAAAAAAATTGACAAGTTTTAAAGATTGACAAGAATTTAAAAAAAAAATTGACAAGGAGCTCAGCTGAGGATGGAGTTCAGGAGACATAGCACCAGACTTCGTGGTGATGTGGTTCTTCTGAAGGAATTACACTAATCTGATGGAGGTAGAAGAAAAAAAAAATTAAACTGACAAGAGAAATGTGAAAGTCTTACTCTTCATCTTCCTTCCAGTGAGAAAAGAAAACTGTCCCTTTCTTTTGTATTTCATGTAAAAGAAACACATGGGAAACCAGTATTTAATATTCTCAAGAAGTTCAGCTTTAAAAATTCTAAGAAAACCTGAATTCTAGTTCAGCTTACTACTTAGATTTATTCTCAAGCTTGTAATGACTGGCTGAAATGTTGTGAATAAGGAGCTCAGGAGAACTTTCTGAGAGTTCTGGGGTGATTCTTTTCCCACATAAGATATGGGCTTTTACGAAAGGAAAAGTACAGCTGAAGAAGCCCACTCCTCACTCCTCTCAGATGCCCTAAAAACTTCAAATTTAAGCTCACACTGAAGAGACACGCCCACAGGAAAACCTCTACTAGTTGGCCGGCTGCTTTGCCTAAGGGTTTCTGAAGGTGCAAGGTCCACACCATTTGCTTCTCTCTAGTTTCCTCGTGAGTCTTGGGTTAAGGTCCCCAAAGCAGAGGAAAGAAAAGGTGAAGAAAAATCACGGTGTTTTGACACTTCAGTCGGTACAACTGAATGGTCATGCTATCGTTCTATCCATTTTGGATAGTTTAGGGAATAAAACTTGTGGAATTATTCTAAACACATTCCAATGCTTTTTCTCATTCCCATTGGTGAGCCTCCATTTACACAGCAGCGTAAATTACACAAATCTTCGTGTGCGTGTGCGCCAAGTCGCTCTGTCCTGTCTGACTCTGCGACCCCACGGACTGTAGCCCGCTGGGCTCCTCTGTCCACTGGGATTCTCCAGGCAAGAATACTGGAGCGGGTTGCCATCCCCTCCTCCAGGGGGTCTTCAGGAGAATGACTAAATTTTCACCTTCTTAAATGTCACAGATTCTGTCAGAATTCAACATCGGAAAACTAAATCCTGAAGAAGCTTCACACACTTGGAAGTTAACAGATGTCAAGAGTGATAAATGCCTAAGATTAAACTTCTAGCTGGTGGATGAACGTTAACCTAATTTCAGCAGACTAACAAAATCTTCCCCATAATGTGAGGTCCTCTTTCTGGAAAGCAGGCTGTCATTAAACAGTGGATTCCAAGGACAGTTTTGTTTTAACATTTTTCCTTCAATGCTGCCACCTCGTGGACATCTAGGGTACTATACCTGTGATCCAATCTGTTCTAAGCAGAGCAGGCTCAACTCTACCAAAATCAACGTCTCTTCTCTCAGCACGGCAGCCACCCCTCACTTATGGTCTGGGCAATGTGTTCTCCACGCAGCTGATGCCAGTGGCATCCTCAAGCAAAGATTTCAAGCATCTCCACGCCTTGACGGAATCACGGCCACCAGCAGCAGCCCCAGGGACACCCGACTTTCAAGGAAGAACTGCTGATCCATCATTCTGGGGAAAGTTTTCATCTTAGGGGAGGCACTGTTTCTCTCTCTCTCACTGTTCCCTTAGAGACTCACTATGTGTGCTGGTGGGTGGATGAGGTTAATCAATGGTCAAGCAAACAAACAAAAAAAAACTGGTCCACCAGAGTCCAGCTGTAACCAGTTCAGCTGAGTTCTCACCCACACTCTGCAAGCAATGGAAAATGACTGTTCATTTAGAGGACAGTGATGTCATGGAAATAATGAAAGAAAAAAGAAATCCTATTTCCCTAATCCAAACTCTCTGGCTCCTTCCTCAAAAGGACGACAGGCTGGTTTTGGCACTGATCTGTTTTGCACATAGTTAATTTTTCCCTGTTTGACAGCATCTGTTTATGTTATTGTTAGATTTATATTGTCTGTGCTGATAACTGGAGTGTAATGTAGTCATTGAAAGCAGGACAAGCTTTAAGTCAAACTGCCAGGGTCCCAGTACCCTTTCATCACCATTTACTGTGTCTCAGTTTTCTCACATGTGACATGAGAATAACAATCAGTTATTTTCTGAAGGTTCCCAGGGTTCTAGTAGGAATTAAAATGAGAAAATGTATGTGAGCCACCTAGAATGCTGCTTGGTACTTTCTAGTGCTCAGAACGTGTAAACTATTATAGCCTTAGCATGGTAGAAGCTCTGTTGTAAAACACCACCGTGGAACATAGCATTTACCCACAACTCACAGTGAAAGAAATTATCCTCACCTGTAAAAGATAAAAAAGCTGCTGATATGTCTCCAGTGTTTTTCTTCTCTCCTTACTCAAACTTTTGATCCCTTGGTTGTCAGTGTTATTCAGTATTTCCATCTCTCCACCTTTTTTCTTATTCAGCTTTGTTCTGTGTGAAATTACATCCTGGAAAAAATTATTTTATGGAATTACTACTTTTCACTCTGGTATTCTTTCCCCCCTCCGTTCACAGACACCCTAAGACACACGTAGCTGGCAAGATGAATTTTCCACATTCCCTCATGAAGAAACAAAGGAACAGAGAGTGTTAGATTAAGAAAAATCCAAATCGTGGGTAAATTTGGCTTTTGTAATATTTGTTCTCCTAAGCTGTCTGCATTTGTTCCAACATGTAATGTAAGTTCCAAGACACTTAAATAGGGAGAGAACAGTCTTTTCAAAAATTGATGCTGGGACAACTAAATATTCAAGTTCAAAAATTAAAAAGTCAGACCCCTACCTCACTCCATAGACAAAAATTAACTCAGAAGAGACCATAGAGAATTAAATGGAGGAGCTAAAACTATAAAACTCTTATAAGAAAACCTAGACAAAAGCTTTTGCTACCCTGGATTAAGCAATGGTTTCTTTTAGGTGTGTGCGTCATAATTTATTTAATCATATTCCTTTTGATGAACAGTTTCCTTACATTTTATTAGTATTTCAGAGAGTGCAGTGAACCTTCTCATACATGCATCTTTGTACATGTAGGAACGGTTTCTTAGCTATAACACCAAAAGCACTAGGAACAACAACAAAAAATAAAGTGGACTTCATAAAAATTAAAACCTTTGTGCTTCAAAGTACGTTATCAAAGAAAACAACCCATAGAATGAGGGAAAACGTTTGCAAATTGGGTAAGAGACTTATATTTACCATATACTCTAAAGAGTTCCTACATCTAAAAATAAAATGACAACTTAATTAAAAAATGGGCAGAGGATTTTCCCAAAGATCATCTATAAATGGCTGATAAGCACATGAAGAAAAGTTCAGCGTTAATAGCTATTTGGCAGTTCCTCAGAAGTTAAACACAAGTTACTATGCATGCGCGCTCAGTGCCCCCTCTTTGGGACCCCATGGACTGTAGCCCGCCAGGCTCCTCGGTCCATTGGATTTCCCAGGGAAGAATACTGAGGTGGGTTGCCATTTCTTTCTCCAGGGGATCTTCCTGTGCCCGGAGCCAGCACACGAGATCCCACCCATGACAAGGTCGTGAGGAGAAGACCTGACAAGCAAGGCAGATCAGGACTTGAGGAATTTCGAAAAGCTGCCCCAGCGCTCACCTTAAAGATGATCTCTGTCTTTCTGATGCTTGCTATATTAGACTACTCCCTAATTTCTGTGACACAGGTAGAAGGCCTTCCCCGATCTCTCTCCAAACAGAATCAACTTAGAACTTTAATCAATATGTCCCCCGGATGGCGGTATCCTATAAGATTATCCAGGATGAAAGGAGTGTTTCAATTTAGACCTCTTTGCTGGCATTCTAGCCTGCTTGGCAAATGCGTACTAATGCACACGACTGCCCACAACACCTTAATCATGAACAGCATAAAGAACCTGATCTCACTAAAGGCCCTAACAGGCACAGAGCCCTTTCGGGGGGTGAGGAAGCCCTATTAGAGAACACAAAAATATTATTTTAAAGGTGGTTAGAATTGTTCATTTTAACCAGGAATGCTAAACAGGGGCTGCCTCACCGGAGCTGCAGTCTTTGTGTTGTAAACCTTTTAGATAAATTTAACTAATAACTTCTGCAAAAGGACTGACCTTTGTGTTCACTAAAGAATAGATTACAGGAAAACAGCTTTGCATTCACCTAGGTCATAAAATGTCAATAGGCCCCGAGGCCAGAACATAATGTACAGGACTCTCACAAAGAAGTTACAGGAAACACCCTGGTTTCGTGAACAAGCTGATGTAATATTAAACTATCTTCCCCTTAAAAATGTACTAACTTAGACTATAAGAGCTAGGGTGAAAAATAAAGATTTGCCAGACTCAGCTGCACCCCCGTCTGGTCACTCTCTCTCTCTCTCTTTCTCACCGACGCCGTTCATCCTGAGGGTACCCCTGGATCCTGCTGAGGCTGGACCCCAGCATTCCTGACCCAGGGACTGAATCTGTGTCTCTCGTATCTCCTGCACTGGCAGGTGGATTCTTCACCACTACGCCACCTGGGGAGCCCCCACAGGTTACTGTATGATGCAGCACTTTCACCGTGAGATATACATCAAAGGGAACTGAAAACTTATGTCCACAGAAAAATGTGTACATGAATGCTCATAACAGCTGTAAAGAAGAAACATTTCAGGTGTCCATCAATTGATTAATGGGCAAAAAAATGTGGCATATCTACACAATGGAACGTTATTTTCAACAAAGAGGAATTAGTACTGATTCATGCTACAACATAAACACTATGCTAAGTGAAAGAAGCTGATCACAACAGACCATATACTGTGTGATGATCCAGAACAGGCAACTCTATCATGACAGAAAGCAGACTAAAGGTTGCTATGGCTAGGGGTTGGAGTGATAGGTAATGATGTTAATGAATATGGATGTTTTTCCTTTTTTTAAAAAATTGAAATATTATTCACATATTATGAAATTTGTCCTTTTAAAGAGTACAATTCAGTGGTGTTCCATAAAGACACAAGGTTGTGCAACCATCACCACAATTTTTAATTCCAGAACATTTGGGGGGGGCTTCTTTTTGGGGTAATGAAATGTTCTAGAATCAAACAGAAGTAAGGGTTGCACAATTTTGGGACTATACTAAACACTACTAAACTGTAACCTTTAAAAGAATGAATTCTATCATTTTGATCTATAACAACTCTTGCAGAAATATACAATGTAGAAATTAGAGATGGAAGGGAAAGGAAGCCTCTAAGTATTTAACAAAATTAAGGTTCTCAGATCCTCAGTCAGGCTCCTTTAACTATTTACATGGATGGCTGGAAGATGTGTGGCCGAAAACACTGTCAAGTGGTCACCTCAGGCTACTGTGTTCCCTTAAAGGGCTTAAAGGGTCATGAACCAGGGTAGATCCTTTAGATAAGGATCTACCAAACATTTTTATGGAGAGCCACAGTAAGAAGTATATTTTACATCTTTTATTGGTAAACACACCCCCACATACTATACAAACTGACACTTATTCTTACTATTGGGACACACTCTGATACTTCAATTTGCTTTTACTCTATTTCATTTTCAAAGACTGCTGAAGGGACAGACTAAATTGATTTCATGACCTGCTGATGGCACGTGTCTTACATGAAGGTCACAGCTCTAGGATGCCTCCTCTATCACTCAACAGAGGGTCACTGTCCCAGAGAGCAGGTGGTGAGAAAGTTGTTCTTCCCAAAACTTTGTCTTTCTGCTTCCTTGAGCTCTTAGCCCCAAAGGACTTTGCAGCAACCCCTCCGGGAGATGGTGAAGGGCAGGGAAACCCGGCGTGTTGCAGTCCATGGGGTCGCAAAGAGTCAGACACGACTGAGTGACTGAAAGACAATAACTTCTCCCATAGCTGGGGTCAGTTCATAGGTATGGAGAAAAACCCTTGGAGCTTTGAGATTAGATAGTTCTATGTAGTTACATCCACTGCCTTCTAGGTCTATGTTTTTATTCTTTCTCATTCCCAGCTTGGCGGGAGCTGGGGGCAACCTTGACTTAATCCTTTACTTATATTCTTCTAATGGTTTATATGGGGAAAGAGGGGATTGCATTTCTATAAAAATTTTTATAAGGCAACACTTCCCCCCTTATTTCACAAATATGTAAAAATACATTCAAGCTGCAGAAAGGAAGCATAATTATCTCCAGATGGGCACTCAGGAACAGTCTAGGCAGGCAGTGGCTTGATATCCTTATCTATGTATGACAGTGAAAGTGAAGGTCACTTAGTTGTGTCCGATTCTTTGCGACCCCAACATACAGTCCATGGAATTCTCCAGGCCAGAATACTGGAGTGTGTAGCCTTTCCCTTCTCCAGGGGATCTTCCCAACCCAGAGATCGAACCCAGGTCTCCTGCATTGCAGGTGGATTCCTTACCAGCTGAGCCACAAAGGAAGCCTAAAATTAGTGGAGTGGGGAGCCTATCCCTTCTCTAGCTGATCTTCCCGACCTGGGAACTGAACCAGGGTCTCCTGCATTGTAGGCAGATTCTTTACCAAGCTGAGCTATCAGGGAAGCCCAAAACATCCTAAGACAGCACTAGACTAACTGGCTTACAGTTCCATCTAACTCAGGCTTCCCTTAAAATAACCAGTGATGTGTAGATCACACAGTTCTCCCAAATACATGGGATAATTGATTACCTTGATTTTAAATATAGAGAGGAAAAAAAAATCTTGGTACTTGCAACCTCTCCATCACCTGCTCCCCCCTGCCCATGGCCTCCCAACTACTTTCAATGGGGTTAGTGCTGCAAATGGGGGACTTTTCCTTTGTTTTGTTGCAGACTTCATCTTAAGGGTCATATTTTTGGACATATACAGAAGAAGAGAGAGCAGCGGGTGGTAGGCAAGCTCCAGGGAAGAACTAAATTCCTCTGTACTATTAATATCAATAGATTTGGTCAAGACAGGAACAGGAAGACTCTTGAGAGTCCCTTGGACTGCAAGGAGATCCAACCAGTCCATCCTAAAGGAAATCAGTCCTGAATGTTCGTTCATTGGAAGGACTGACATTGAAGCTGAAACTCCAATAGTTTGGCCACCTGATTCGAAGAGCTGACTCATTGGAAAAGACCTTAATACTGAGAAAGATTGAGGGCAGTAGGAGAAGGGGACAAAAGAGGATGAGATGGTTGGATGGCATTATCGACTCAATGGACATGAGTCTGAGTAAGCTCAGATGGTGAAGGACAGGAAAGCCTAGCGTGCTGCAGTCCATGGGGTCGTAAGAGAGTCAGACATGACTGAGCGACTGAACAACAATTCTTATCAATAAATATTGTACATCTCGGGGAGTACTGGTTTGAAGAAGCAATGGCACTCAACTTGTTCTTAATATTTCCACTTCTCAATGTTGCCCTAATTGCCACCATCTTTCCCTTCCCCCTGTTAACATACTATCTGCATGCAGGTAATATGATAGCGCACACACACTTTTGTAGAAGGTGTGAACTAGGACAAAGGGCTTGGGCTTTGGAGTCATAAAAGTATGGGTATCCACAAAGCATAAGGAGCTTTGTGACCTTGCTCAGGTTAACCTAAGACTCAGTTGCCTTAAATCTACAAGATGGGCTTAATAATAGCAATCTTACAGGTTGATGTGAAGGTTAAAAACAATCCATGTAAGGCATTTTAGCACATTTTCCAGTAAAGAAAAGGCTTAGAGAGGTTAAGGAAACATGTTCATATAAGCAATGAAGGAGATTTATCAAGCAGTAAATTTCAGTCCTGGGTCTCAGGTAGCCCTGGCCTGCAAGTCTGCACTTACAGTACAGCCACCAATAGGAGTTTCAGTGATTCAAGCTTCCCTTCTATTTCTACTTCCATCTTCCTTCAAGCTAATTAAGAGTCTAGACATTTCTTCCTCCCTATATCTCCCAGGAACCTCTACTTCAGTTATCTGTTTCTTTTTCCTAATTTTTCTTTTTGCTTACAACCACTATTAGTTATTTCACTTGCCCACTGACTTTGTGAGGTTTCTAGCAGGAATGCCCATTTTAAAAGAATCTAAGACACAGTTGCTCAGCGTTCTTTATGGTCCAACTCTCACATCCATACATGACTACTGGAAAAACCATAGAATTGACTAGATGGACCTTTGTCAGCAAGGTGATATCTCTGCTTTTTAATACACTGCCTAGGTTTGTCATAGCTTTTCTTTCAAGGAGAAAGCATCTTTTATTTCATGGCTGCAGTCACCATCTGCAGTGATTTTGGAGCCCAAGAAAATAAAGTCTGTCACTGTTTCCATTGCTTTCCCATCTATTTGCCATGATGTGATGGGACCAGATCCCAAGACCTTAGTTTTCTGAATGCTGAGTTTTAAGCCAGCTTTGTCACTCTTCTCTTTTACTTTCATCAAGAGGCTCTTTAGTTCCTCTTCACTTTTAGCTTAATTGTATATATATATATATATTTTACAATAAATGAAATTTCACTGTTTTATTTTCCTCTCCATTATATTCCAACCCTTTCTATCTGCCCTGAAATATTCTTCAGAAGTGACTTTTCTCCCCAGTCACTCTGTAACATACCTGTTGGACTGATTCTATGACTTGCTGTTTCGGGGTTTGGGTTGTTTCCCACTATTTTACCACTGCAAATAAAGTTTCAACTGTACTGTTCTTATCATCACATGAAAAATCCTACTATCAATGATAAGATGAAAGAGTATGTACTTATCACTAGTTTAATCAGTGCTTGATAAATATTTGGTGTTGAAGAATATAAGTTGAAGAATATAATATAAGTTGAAGAACTAACTTTGTTTCACAATGCTATCAATTAGTAATGCTTTATCGCTTCTGGTATTTGTAAATTCTTTTCCTCTCTAAGCTAATCATGGTCAGCTTTTTTTATTTGCAAATAAAAATCTTGACTTCTAAGGAAAAAAAGTTAGTAATGCTTTATAAACATCTTAAACACTCATAAAGATCTGAAGATCCGCCATGCTTACATTTCCACAAGCTACACATTTCAACTATTTACTCTTTTGCAACTGAGCCTTTATTTTAAAAGGGAAGACATTTCCTGTTTACGACTTTATGGGAATAGGATAAAACAGCAGTTTAAGGCTATAAAAGGCATTCTGAGGGACCTTCTGGAATATATTATACTTAAAAGTTTTCATATGTGTCAAACAATACAAACATATACTGTTTTTAAAGACCAAAGTACTATTGTTTTTCTGGATAAAATAGTGAAAATATAGAGTTAAACGCAGAAAATTTAAATGTGTAGTTTTCTTCCTTAATATTTAGGAAAGATGGTCATTTCTTGTCTTATGAATTGTTCTGGTCTCCTCATTTTCTCTGCGGTGTTTCGCTGGAATCACTGTGAGTGAGTAGACAGGAGCGAGGCAGCCCACGACCAGAGCTGGTAGCCTCCTGTGACCGCGCATCTCCCGGTTTCCCAGAACCGCACGGGAAGCCGACTCTCCACCTCGGGTCTCTGCGGCCTTCTCAGGGCATCCAGGAGGGCAGCTTCCCCGCTTGCCTTCCAGGCTTTCTGAAAACCGACATGGCAGGGGAGCAGGGACGTGGAAAGAGGTCTTGTCCCGGCGGTGTCCTTCCCTTGGATGAAAACACTTTCTCGGTTTCTGGAGCTCTGACACCAGCAGGTTTCTCACAGATACAAAGCGAGGGTTACTTATTAGAGGCCATGATTAGGGAGCGACTGAGCACAGACCCAGGCACGTCAGGCCAGTGCCACTCTGCAGGGGGCCATCTGGGACCAGCATGGCTGGTACCCACATCTGATGGGCTGGAGGACACTGCCGGCGCCTGGCGCCCGGGCGCTGGGAGGACAGATGCTCTGGGGCCCAGCTGCTGGTAGGCTGGGCCTGTGTCCATATCTCACATGGTTGGATTTTTTAAAGTCCGGCTGGTCATTCATGCAGGTCAACATTCAGTGTATAACTGCTTGAGCCTAAAATCTAATCATTTTACATGTAAGTACAACATAGATCCTTCAGAATTTTAATATAAACTTAGTTTTCTAGTTTCACTTTTCACTTTCATGCATTGGAGAAGGAAATGGCAACGCACTCCAGTGTTCTTGCCTGGAGAATCCCAGGAACGGTGGAGCCTGGTGGGCTGCCGTCTATGGGGTCGCACAGAGTCGGACACGACTGAAGCGACTTAGCAGCAGCAGCAGTTTTCTAGGACGGCAATTCCATGTCGAGCGGTCGGGGCAGAGGGAAGACCACACTTTGCTCATTCAGGGAGTTATTACCCTGTTCTCCATTTTGGAAAATGAATTCATGGACAGTTCCGCCACTCTCTTGACCAGTCTCATCTGTAGCCCTCACAGTCTGCGGCTATTCTGTGAAGGGGGCCAAGTCTGGTAATTTTATCCCATCTAATGGCATCAGGCCCATGTGTTTTCATATTGAAATATTTGTTTTTAACTATAAATTGTGACAGACTTGATTTTCTTGGGCTCCAAAATCACTGCAGATGGTGGCTGCAGCCATGAAATTAAAAGATGTTTGCTCCGTGCAAGAAAAGCTATAACCAACCTAGACATCATATTAAAAAGCAGAGACATTACTTTGGCGACAAAGGTCCGTCTAGTCAAAGCTATGGTTTTTCCAGTAGTCATGTATGGATGTGAGAGTTGGACTATAAAGAAAGGTGAGTGATGAAGGATTGATGTTTTTGAACTATGGTGTTGGAGAAGACTCTTGAGAGTCCCGTGGACTGCAAGGAGATCCAACCAGTCCACCCTAAAGGAAATCAGTCTTGAATATTTATTGGAAAAGACCCTGATGTTGGGAAAGATGGAAGGCAGGAAGAGAAGGGGATGACAGAGGATAAGATGGTTGGATGGCATCACCTACTCGATGGACATAAGTTTGAGCAAGCTCTGGGAGTTGGCAATGGACAGGGAAGTCTGATGTGCTGCAGTCCATGGGGTCCCAAAGAGTCAGAAACGACTGAGTGACTGAACTATAAATTGATATATTTTAACTTCTATTTATAGAAAGGCCTTAGTCTTGCTATGAAGGGACATTTGTAAGTAGGTTTTATTTCATATAAACTTCCTTTGAGAATGATACAGAAGCCTTATCAAATGTTATCAAAGAGGGGAAGGCAAAGAATTTTCCAGGTCAGGTCTGTCTGAGCAATATTAAGTGGTAATAAAAATGGAAAATAAACTTTGGGTCACCCGTTCTGGACTCCAAACGAGCTTAGCTGGACCAAGAGGGATGTGGGCACAAACACAAGCATCTTCTGTCTTCTGGGAGCCAAGAGTCCCAGAGACCCCACTGACCTCCAGCGTGATCCTGTTCTTCACCAGGAGCCCGATCTTAATGTCCATCAGGTTCAGGTCTTTCTCCAACTGCTGATTGCCCCTGATCTTCGTCACTACTTCCTCCCTCAACCGGGCGACCTCCAGCTCTTCCTGGAAATCCAAGTCGCTTTGGTCCAACAGGTATACAAATTTGCGGATTACCCTTAATGGGGGGTTTTCGGAGCCAACTGCAAGGAAAGGAAAGGAGTGTTTCAACTGGGCGCGCTTGAAATGATCATCAGTAGGAAAGAAACTAGGTCTTTAAAGAAAGCATTATCAGAAAGTAGAGCAACAGTGGTGCTGGGCCCCACAGTGAATCATCCCACCTCACGTCAAATATGACGTGTCAAAGGAAACTGATCATATAAATAAATGCAGGTCACTGAGAAGGTCTGCCTCACAATTTCCTTGTTATCCAGCATTTGTTTATCAGCCGTCTCTCACACTGTTTCCAGGATTCCCAGACTGAGGAGATAGTTCTATCTATTGGTGTCTTATTGATGAGGAATCTGGGAAAGAATGCTAACACTGAGCTGTCCCAGCTCTGAGAGCTTGTGGCTGAGTCAGATAAGAGATTTCTGTTCTTGCTGCAGGAAGCAGAAAGTGTTTGCTTTGGGGGAAGGAGCAGGAATTAGGTGAAAGGGGAATTAGAAAAGGTCCGTCAAAGGAGAACTGTAAGGTTCAACAGAAGCCAAGAGGGCCACAACGGGAACACATGTTCTGCTTTGCAGAAACAAAATAATTTTAGAAACTGAAGTTGGGTCCCTATCATTTCAGCATGAACCAGGGAGGATCCTCAGCACCCAGGAGATCAGGCTTAGTCATGGTGAGCAAATCTATGTAAATTCTTCCAAGGGCTTTCTGTTAGTGCCTTGAATGTTATTTACTCTTTGATTCCTTGGCACTGTGACTTTGCAAAAAAACAACTTTTTAAAGGTGTTTAGTGAGAGTGACTCTGGGCAAATTATAAGAGTAAACAACTGGACCTTCAAGGCTGATGACAGGACACAGCAATACCAAGAGGACTTGAGACAGCCCAGTCCAGTTTTGGCAGCCTCAGTCAACACCCTCTCCTTTACACCAGGGCTCTATTCAAGCTTCCTTCTACAAACACACTGCTGTTTGGCTGTGTGGTGTTTTGTCACTTAAGAAATAGAGTTCAATCAACAATGCAAACAATTAGCAGCATGAACCCAGCACAAACAGCCAATTCTAGAGTCATCTCTATTACTATTGTGCCTCTTCTGATGTATTTATTGATATCTATCAAGGAAAAGCATCAGAGGTCCACATCTGCCTCCAGGCTCAGAATCTACTGGATGATAATACCTCATATTCCACTAGATCGCGAGTTACCGTGGATCATGGACCCTTGACTTCCTGATCACCACAGCAAATGTGAATTGATTTTCCTGCTATTTTACCAAAGATGCTGTCGGTGACACGACCATTTCAGGAACAGCCTGAAGCACACACCAGAGCTCAGTTGCATAGCTGAGAGAACGTAAGCCACCTCATGTGCGTCTAAAGTTCTCTCCGCCTGCTCCAGAGAACTGTGTATTGTGTATCACTGTGTGTACCAACAGGGCAGGTAGAAACAAATGAGTAATTTAGCTTTACAAATTTTTGTGGTTCAAATGTAACAGCTCCTCTGTCAACAGTTGGCTTTCTGGCGTCTTCATATCTTCACACCACTTTGTGGTAACTTTCGTTTCAGGAAACCACTCAACTTCACAGTCAGCACTTACAAGTGGCCAGTTAAAGTTCTAGCAAGTTCCAAACCTGAATGCATTCAGTGCCTTTCTGGAGGAAATGGGTGAAAATGAATTATGACAGACTAATAAAAGTGACATTTTTTCAGCTTAAGAAAATGCCTTTGTTTTATGAAGGTGCTGAATTGAGAAAGAAATGAAAATTTACAGTTCAGTTACCACAAAGCTACCTTATTTGCCAAAGCAGCTTTTATCTAATTTATTCACTAACATAGTTTCTGTCTTCTATACTATAAGAAATCACCTAGACTTTTTTAGCTGGAATTCCTTCTATCTTTGTAACTTAAAAAAAAAGTAAGCAAGTGACAAAAACTACCCATAAAGTTATATATGTTCTATTTATTTACGAGGTATTGGTGGGGGGTGATCTTGAGGCAAGTGGACAAATGCTAAATTATATGAAATTGGTTTGTAATCTCACAGCTGAGTTTTCCTTTCCAGATTGAGCACTGTTTCTACAATTGTCTACTTTACTGAATGTACAATTTAGGGATGGATTTTTGTCAATAAAGTATTCTAAATGCTAGCATAATTTATATTAAAAAAACAAAACAAAAACCACCCACAAAAACCTGTTCCCTGGAAGGAGAGGAGAAGCAGTTTGTGTTTGGAAAATTTATCCTTAATTTACCTATCTTAGTGTGTCAGGACTCAGAAAACAAACCCCCTCTTCAGCTTTCTTGTAAAAAATAAAAGAAAGATATCTACCAACAGAGATATGAATCTCACCAACTGCAAAGTGGAGCAGTGTGGCATTAGAGACACTTTCTTCCCTTAGGCTGCATGCTGGATTCTGGGACCTAGAAACAAGGTAGGATCTGGAAGATTCCACAGCTCAAGGCAGAACCTGGCCTTTGAGGCTGCCAGAGACTTTTCCCTTAACAAGTACCAGGGAGGGTCTTTCTTGGTTCATACACTTTGCTCCATAATTCAGACAGACTTTTGACAATAAAAGGTGTTGGCGAAACTACTTACTACTACTGTGCTAGGAACATTACTGAGCAGTATTTTTATTTCTTTCAAAAAAAAAATAATAAAAAACAAGATAGTTACAGAGAACATAATGGCCATTTTCACTACTAAAATACACAATGATGTGTTTTGCCCTCTCAAAACTAATCCTGAATGACCTAAATAATTGAAGAATTTGGGCAGTGCTAATAAACTTATCAGCAAGCTCTTCTAGACTTAACCTAGGACATGCTCTTTATCACATGTTCTTATGAAAATTATAATGTTAAAAATTCAGCATATAAAGAATGCTTCACTATGTAACAAATGAATAATAGAATAACAAACATGAGCAGAGCTGAAACTGCAAAAGATGGCACAAAATGTGAATGCTATTTCTGGGTGATTTTTATTTTATTTTCCTGTTTTCCAACTTTCTGCAAATGACATACTAGTATTATAAGGAAGACAATTTAAAAACCACAGGGACTGTGAAAAGTCTAGAATGAAATTACATGAAGATGTTTGTAGTTTTCTTTGGGAGGTGAAACTATGTGCTTTCCCCCTTCTTATTCATATTTCCAAATTTCTTATATGACTATGTTTTGTTCTTAAAATGAGAAGAAAAAAAATCACAGGCCAGGTAATAAATTAAATAGTACTCAGATGTAAGTTTATTTTCTGGCTAACTCTTTTGCATTAAATTCCTGCCTCTAGCTTATTATTATTATTTTTTGAATATCTGTAAGAGGTCCCTTCATGATTGTTTTTCACGATTTTCTTTTGAAATACATAGTGAGACAGGCATGCAGTTTTTATCTTGACCTCCTGCCAATGACCCCATGACTGATAGGCTGCAGGAAATACCAAAACAGCTCTGCCAAGAAGCCACCACTGAGTCCACTCCTGCGAGGTCCTTCCCACATCACTTGAGGAAATGGCCATGGGGACCTCGTCCCAAGGCTGGTGCTGTGGGTATGAGTCTGCCAGTGCTGGAGGGCCTCTTGTGGAGGGGGGTCGTCATCGGCTTGTCACAGGGAAGGGGCGCTGGCAGCGGCAGTCTTGGAAGGTGCCCCTTGGCGTGAGCCCTCTTGAGGTTGCCATTGACCCTACCATAGAGCCCATAGCTAGCTCAAATTTATTATAAAAATATCAGCATTAATGCCAACTCCATTTTTAAAAAATTAAAGCATAATTGAAGCATATCATTAATATATATACATATCACTTTATATCACTTCACAAAACACTTGAAACTAACACAACACTGTAAATATATATATATATATTAGGTTGGCCAAAATTTGTTTTTTTCATAAGCTGTTGCAGAAAAACATATATATATATACACACATATATATATATATAAATTTTCAGATTCTTTTCTATTATAGGTTATTATAAGATATTGAATACAAATCCCTGGGCTATACAGTAGGTCCTATTGATTATCAATTTTATATATAGTAGTGTGTATTTGTTAATCCCAAACTCCTAATTTATCCCCTCCTCTCAACACTGTTCATTCTTTTTGAAGAAGAAATTCCATCTACTGCCCTTAACCATTCCACTTTGATAGAAAGGCCTGTTTCCTGTCATGACATGCTCGGGTCTGAGATGCTCAAAATCTACTGGCAGTAATGTGCATCCACTGACGTGATCAGATGGAAATAACTTGTGCTTGCTTGGTTTATAAGGAATCCTTTGTTTCAGAATGCCCCACTTACCCAGTGTTTTGTAGTCATCTCTAGCTTTGCTTGCTCTCAATAGAGACTGAATTTTCACAATTTCATTGTTCTGCAAAAGAAGATGACCAGTCACAACCTCCCAGAGTTCCACCGACTCCACTATTTTAGAATTAAGAACTCTTTAAAAACTGACAGCATTTGAAGAATGAACTGACAGTATTTAGATGTGGCGTAGTCAACATTTATTTTTGCATTCTCTTTGAAGAAAGGGTCAGATAAGTTAGCTAACAGTATATAAACAAGATTGCAAAGGGACTGTCTAAATAAAGATATCTAAAAAGGGAAAAGAATTTTACCACCAAACTTAGATGGTCCAATCTATGTTCACATATCTGGTCTTCAAAAAACCTGAAAAAATTCCTCCTGTGAGTTTCTATTTAACTGGTTAGCAGTAATTAAAACTTTGCAAGCAATGTTGAAAAGTCCTTCATTAGCGTCTTTACTCTCTGGCATAACTAGCCCACATAAATTTTTCCTCACCCATTTCCTTTCCAGTTTTGAATGATGAAGTCTTACTCTGAACAAAAAACTGTAAGAAGCCTCTAAATAGCACCACATTGAGTTCTAAAATCCATTTTTTTTCCTCCAAGCATTTGTTTCTACCATTTAATAAGAATCACTCAGTGCTAACATTCACAAGCTATTCATTTAAGTTCATGCTCAGGGAGGACAAAAATCCACGTGTGTCTCTTACATGATCTCTGAAAAACTGCAGTCGTGAGAGGTAATTCTTTCGTGCTGTTACCATCCGGTACCAGGACTGAATCTAAAAAATAAGTGAAAAAGAGAAATCCAGGCAATTACCAAACCAGCTTTCATATCCCTCTATGCACTCTTTTAAAAATAATATTGATAGTTTATTTGATAAAAAAGTAAAAATGAGCCACCCACCAACTAATAAACATCTACAGCCTCATCTTCATCTCCTACTTCTTTCGTTGCTTTTCCTCTGAGGGGTTCAGAACATGATACACATTATGGTGGAGAAGGTAATGCAGTTCTTTGTACTTTAATCTTTAATCTCAGTAAATAAAAGCCAAGCAAGGCATTTTGCTGACCGTTGCAATGGGTCAGGGGATCAAATAAAACTGAGTTCAGAGTTGCTTCCAACATCCCTCAGATGCAGCCAATACTTTTTAGGTCTTTACAGGAAAACATTTCAAAAGCTCTCATGAGGGACCCACTGTGACCCACAGTTTTCTGGGTGAATAAGCATGTGTTCCATGGTGAGCACAGGATATTTCCAAGTGTAACATGTTCATGAACTAATAATGCAAAAGGTCTAGACCATGTCATTCTCTGTCCTCACAGTTTAAAAAGTCTTAACAAATCTCATCTGACTTTGTCTCTCTCCAGCCCTAGTCTTCTGACTCTTATCTGGATTTCCAAGTTTCTACAAGCTCAATGCCAGATAGTCCTTTAGTTTTCAGCTCTGAGAGTGGGCACCCCCATGGCTGCTCTTTCTCTAAGCTTGGAGCAACCAGCCTGGATTGGAAGCTGGGTTAGATGGGCTTATCTACTAAATACAGCCCTAACTTAGTCGTACTTCCTTCTTCTTACTGGTTTTGCATTTGCCTTACAACTAAGGTTTGTACTGTTAAACCTGAGCCTTCTAATTATTATTAGAGAAGATCACACAAAGAACATGAAATAAAGCTAGAGTTCCTCCAAATCAATTTGGACTATTTAGAGAAGAAGCTTTTATTAGGTTGGTGCAAAAGTAACTGTGGTTTTGCATTGTTGAACTTTGCCATTTGATACTGGAATACGTTCTTAAATAAATGTGGCTACGTTATATATCATTTTCATGGACATTTCTCACTTTATTTTTTAAAATTTATTTATTTTTAATTGAAGGATAATTGCTTTACATTATTGTGTTGGTTTCTGCCAAACATTAACATGAATCAGCCACAGGTATACATATTCTTTTTTTTTGCTGATGACTTAATACTTGCTGTGTATTTTATGTTTATTTTAGACTATGGAGATGATGTTAGACAAAAGCAAATTTGAGTGATTTTCTTATCTGATTTCAAGATGGATTGCAAAGCAGTGGAGACAACTTGCAACATCAACCATGCACTTGGCCCAGGAACTGCTCATGAATGTACAGTGCAGTGGGGGTTCAAGAAGCTTTGCAAAGGGGACAAGAGCCTTGAGGATGAGAAGCACAGTGGCCGGCCAGCGGAAGTTGACAATGACCAACTGAGAGGAATCACTGAAGCTGTCCTCTTACAACGATACAAGAAGCTGACAAAGAGCTCAATGTTGACCTTCCTATGGTTGTTCGGCATTTGAAGCAGATTGCAAAGGTCAAAAAGCTCGATATATCGGTGTCTCATGATCTGACTGAAAATAAAAAAAAACTGTCATTTTGAAGTGTAGTCTTCTCTTATTCTACACGCAACGATGAACCTTTTCTCAATCGGATCGTGACGTACATGTGACGAAAACTGGATTTTATACAACTGGCAATGACCAGCTCAATGCTGGACCCAGAAGAAGCTCCAAAGAACTTCCCAAAGCCAAGCTTGCACCAAGAAAAGGTCCTGGTCACTGTCTGATGGCCTGCTGCTGGTCTGACCCACTCCAACTTTCTGAATCCCAGTGAAACCATTACATCTGAGAAGTATGCTCAGCAAACTGATGAGATGCACTGAAAACCGAAATGCCTGCAGCTGGCATCGTCAATAAAAAGGGCTCAATTCTTCTCCATGACAATGCCCGACTGCACATCACACAACCAATGCTTCAAAAGTTGAATGAACTGGGATACAAAGTTTTGCCTCATCTGCCATATTCACCTGACCTCCTGCCAACTGACTACCACTTCTTCAAGCATCTAAACAACTTTTTTGGAGAGAAAATGCTTCCACAACCAGCAGGAGGCAGAAAATGCTTTCCAAGAGTTTGTTGAATCCTGAAGCACAGATTTTTATGCTACAGAAATAAACAAACTTATTTCTCATTGGCAAAAATGTGTTGATTGCAATGGTTCCTATTTTGATTAGTAAAGCTGTATTTGAGCCTAGTTATATTGATTTAAAATTCATGATCTGAAACCACAATTACATCTGCACCAGCCTAATATTATAAAGAGACAACATAGTGTTTTCATGGACCTTCTTGAGGATGATCAGCTAAGTGAGGGGGGAGGCGGGACTCAAACCCAGGACTTGCTTCTGACATCATCTCATACACAGTCTGTCTTCCAGAAGCAAAAGGAGAATGAAGAAAAAAGTTTACATGCTTGCTAAGGCAGGAAAGAGTATTTACCTTCACAATAAAATGAATATTATCAATGAACATTTGTCGCCTGCGTTTATATGCTTCCCGTTGCTTATATGCCTTCCAAAAAGCCTGTAGAAAATAATGAGTTACAGAATTACTCACATGTCACAGTTTATTTTAGAAAGTGCAAGGAGAGAGTACATCACAAGAGACACTCAGTTCGGACAATGTCAGGGATCCTCCCTTCCAGATCTCATCTGGACACCATCTCATCTGACACCAGGTGCACATTGAACTGGGCAGAGCGCATCTGCTCACAGCTGTGGCTTGTCTCAAGCTGGTGAAAGGAATTACCAGGTGGAAGCCCAGTTTCTGCTTTGAAAGCGTAATTTTAACAAGGCCCTGAGTGATAAGAAGTTATAATAAAATGAATTGCCCTGAAATATACAAACAGATCAACTAGGTGTTCGTATTATTTGGCAACATTATAAGATGCCTCAGGGCTTCTCAGGTGGTGCTAGTGGTAAAGAACCCATCTACCAAAGCAGGAGACGTAAGAGACGTGGGTTCAATCCCTGAGTGGGAAGATCCCTTGGAGGAGGGCCTGGCAACTCACTCCAGTGTTCTTGCTGAGATAATCCCATGGACAGAGGAGCCTGGTGGGCTATCATCCTCAGGGTCACAAAGAGTTAGACACAACTGAAGTGACTAAGCATGCGTGAGATATCTCAAAATAATGACAAGTATCTTTACTCCAGCAAGCGAGCCACTGTGATGCAGATCGAAAAGGAAGATGACCCTGGATTCCTGAAAGCAGGAGTGCTGTGATGGATCTTGCATTATTTCATCTATTTTTACATAAAGTTTAATGAGGCTTCATCAATATACCTTTACTACATTATCACCTTAATGAGAACTTTTATAGGAAACATTTACAAAAAGTGGACACAAACTTGTATCTTAATTTGTTTTCTGTTCTTTTCTCGGCTGGTCTGTGCAGCATGCGGGATCTTAGTTCCCTGACTAGGGATTGAACCTGTGCCTCCTCCGACGGAAACGCAGACTCCTGACTGCTGGACTGCCAGGTAAATACAAACTGGTATCTTCAGAATGATCACATCCATCGTTGTTATAAGTTTAGTCCAACTCATTTTTGAGAATCTTTTTATTGAGACATATCTTTGTAACTCACTGCATTGCTCTGATTTTTTTTTTTTCAAGTTAGAATTGAAATAAACACAAATTTTGTGTTCAGTCGTGTCTGACTCTGTGACCCCATGGACTGCAGCACACCAGGCCTCCCTGTCCATCACCAAACTCATGTCCATCGAGTGGGTGATGCCATCCACCCATCTCAAAGGGAGAAATACAAAAATCAAGTTATTTTTATAATTTTTTCACATTTGCATATATCAATTCACCCCATTCATTCTTTTTTTATTTATTTTTATTAGTTGGAGGCTAATTACTTCACAGCATTGCAGTGGGTTTTGTCATACATTGATATGAATCAGTCATGGAGTTACATGTATTCCCCATCCTGATCCCCCCTCCCAGATCCCTCTTCCTTCTTTTTTTAAAAAAGGTATATGGGATTTTATCGCCATTAAAAAAAGAAAATACCTCTGGTAATGATTCAAAACAAAACAGTCATGATGGAATATATACTCAATGGAGTACTTGCTCCAGATTTCCCCTCCCGGTATTTTTATTTTTTGTTTTGTGATTGTCGCAGTGTTGTGGTGGTTTCTGCTGCACGACAACGTGAATCAGCCAGAATACGACACATGTCGCCTCCGTCTGAGCCTGCCTCCCCACCCCCAGCCCTCTAGGTGGCCTCAGAGCGCCAGGCCGGGCTCCTCCTGCAGCACGGCAACCTCTCCTCAGTCATCCCTTTTACACGTGACATCCCCTCCCTCAGTTCAAATCCCTAGCAATGGGCTTCCCAGGTGGCACAGTGGTGAAGAACCTGCCTGCCAATGCAGGAGACGAAAGAGACACAGGTTCAATCCCTGGGTCAGGAAGTTACCCTGGAGGAGGAAATGGCAACCCACTCCAGTATTCTTGCCTAGAAAATTCCACGGGCAGAAGAGCCTCATGGGCTTCTGTCCGTGGGGTCGCAAAGAGTTGGACACAACTGAGCGACTGAGCACAAATCCCTAGAAATGACAAATGTGCTTTAAAAAAAAACCTTAATTTTGAAATAATTAGCAACTCAAAGGATGCTGCAAAGATAATACATTGAGTTCCACAGACCCTTCACCCAGCTTCCTCCCATGGAACCATTCTACATATATGTTTATAAAGCAATCCATCATACTGCTAGAAAACAAGAAGGCTTAAGTGTCAAAAACTATGAGGGATCTCAGGAGAGAGAAGACAGTTTGAACTGGCTGAAAGAGGGAACCTCAGAACACAATTCTACAAACATTGGAAACCTCTACAAAAAATGTGAGCTGGCGCTAAGCTTGAGGAGCCTTGGGTGGCAGTCAGGGAAATTCTGGGGAAGTTTTCACGTCATTCACTTGCCAAGCAGTGGGGCAAAAACATGGATGGGGAGTAGGAGCTGGAAAATTACGAGAGAGTATAGTCTTTTTGGAGGGAATTTAGCAGCATCAAATTTAAAGGATTTAGTATTTCACCCAGTGTTTCTAATTTTCAATATACCTAGCCTAAGAAAATATAAGCAACTGTGTAGAAAGATGATATTTAAGGATTTCTGTTGTATTATTGTTTGTAATACTGAAAAAGTATAGAGGTCAGAATGCTGACAAAATGGAAAACAGTGATAAATTGTGATTGCATTCATCTGGATGACAATCTAACTAGTAACTCATTTGTCATGATGGTCTCAGTGTGACTCAGGTGCTTTTGAGCCTAGCACTGTTTTTAAAGCACAGAGGTGCAAATGTACAAATAATATTATACATGCCATTTCTTGATCCAAACTGAAAGGCAACCAAGATACTGGAATTGGCTTAATTGTTCATTCTGCTTTTTAAAGAATTATTTCAACTCCAGAAACAGTATTAATCTCTATTAGCTTAGATTCTTGAAGCTTTTGGATAAGGAATCTGTTGTAGTAACAGATCTGATATTGAAGCATGTTTGCATTGGTGGAATGAACTTACTTGTAGGTTTTGTACGATGTTTTTAATGTCCTAAGGAGTCAATGTTCACCAACAGTACTTTCCTAAAGCTGTCATTTTATATTTCACCTATTTAATGATTATGTATATTTTTCTGGGATCTACATTTATATATCAATGTTACCTTTCCAAATGAAGGCAGCTTGGCTGGGTTTAGAGGTTCTGGTCTATAGAAGCAGAATAACACATGCTTCCTATTTTATTTGTCAAAATTTAACATTCTTCTTTTTTGTTTGTAAGTTTTCATTTCATCAGGATTGGCTTTTCTTATTCCATGCTAACAGCAGCACTGTTGTGCAAGGCCCAGAGCCTGCAGGCGCTTCTAATTAGAGGCTCTTTATTGAAAACAATTATAGGTATAAAGTTGGGAGGAAGAAGCTATTGGTATAAAGATACAAACAGAGACAAAACTCTAAACTCTAAGGTCATTTAGAAGCAGCCTTTTATGGACAGAGACAGAAGGCATTTACGAAACCATCAATCTCTCCCTTGAACGGTACAAGAACTTATGTAAAAATTTATAATAGCCATCTTCTGGTTTTGGTTTTTGTTACCATAAATAAATTTTCTGTGCAATACAGCAGTAACAGAGGAGTCTCCCAAGATACCTAGACCTCAGAAGCTACTGCTGTTTATAGATTCTAATTGTCAATCTCTAAAAACCTGGCTTGCCAAGTTGGTTGCCTTGCTTCAAAATTGGGCACATAGGATAGTAATATTCAAATTACCAACTTCTGAAGCAGCTATTCTTCTGTGACCTGCCTGGTAGCCATTTATCTTCTTTCCCTCTCTGCTTAAAGGTACAACCCCACAACCTAAGGGTAGTCAATTACACTCAAACAACGCCACAGAGGACTGCCCCACCGTGTCACCCTCACCCTCCCAGCCCCACACGCCTCCCGACAACCTGCTCTTGCTTCAGACAAGCTTGTTTCTTCTTCTTTGCTGGGATGTTCACGGCGCTCTCTGACCTGAGGTTCAGTAAGTTAGTAACTCTCAGGGCTAAGATTGGTGTTTGCCACTCTTAAAGTTTTTCCCACAAGGTGGCATTTCAGCTTTCTTCAGTTCAAGGGGAAAAAAAAGAAAATTGTAGCTAAGCCTTTTCCCCCGGTCTCGGTTTTTCTGAGCTCTTCCTGGGCCATCCCACCTGCTGGGTGCTGGCTCCCCACTCCCTCTCCCGAGTCACCATCTCGATCACTTCGTAATTTCGAACACTTGCTGAGCCCTTAAGAACTGCATACTGGTCACAGTCTGTTATGAATTATCCCACTTTAATCCCCACTAATGGGAATCCCACTTAATTCCCACAACCCTGAGATAAAATGGAAATTTCAGATGAGACAATATATTTTAAGCCATCTATTCTTTCCCTCAGCTTTTTGTGCGTTTTTTCCTCAGGTTCTCCACATGTTTCATTTACTTTTTAGTATCTGCTTTGCATTCTGCAGTCATAAATTCGTTCACATTCTGGGATGTCATTATTTTTCTTCCTCTCTGTAGCCATTGGTTATCTTCTCATTTTATCATGCTGTCTTGTTTCATTAAATCCATGTGTCATATTAAGTTTATTAAAAGCAAAAGGAATTTCAGTATAATTTTTCTGTGTGTCTCGTGGGATGAGAATTTCCTTAAATGTTTACCTCATTTATATTTTAATTTATATATCTTTTTCCTTCTTTTGATATAAAATTTTGTTTCAGATTTTTTTTCTCTGGCTCACTTCTTAAATGTTGGCCACTTTACTGGAGCCTTCTTTTTACTTACCATTCAGAAATAACATGGCTATATAGAGTCTCATTGACCTCGCTCCCTGTCTACCTGAGCACCGTCTGAATTGCCCCCTAAGCGCCCGAGGCAGAGGACTGGCTCCTGATGATATGTATCCTCTGTCCAAACCCAGTTCTTGAGGAGGAGACTGAGGGTGGCAGTGCAGTGGAGCTACTGAGTTTGTTAAAAGACCGCCGTGTCTGGGGCTGACTCAGTCAACAAAGAAGTTTGGACTGTTCTACAGACGGGAAACTTCAGATTGCACATCATTCTAATTCAGAGTGAATCAGCTACTTTGGCAAAAAACGAGACGAGTGTGATCCCCTCTGGTTCACCGTCTTCTGGTTTTCTAGGTCAGCCCACTGTCCTCCCTAGGTTACAGTCTGCCTTTAGACCTCAGGCCCTCTTTTGTTAGAAAACTGTCAGAAGAGGCAGGGACAAGTCATCACGGGGTGACTCTCCGGTGCATGGCTTCTTCTTCAGTACTGATGCTCCCACTGAGGTGAGGGGGAAGCCTCCAAGTTACTGTTTCTGCTCTTCCCCAGTTCTCGTGATTTTGGCCCTGGGCCCTGGAGTATCAGGCAGACTGGACACTAGCGGGCTCTTCAGACTGTCTTCTAACTACAACACAGCTGTGGGCAGACTGGAGAGCTTGAGGTTGGTCCAAATTATGCCACACCAGTTAACACTCTTCAAATCTGGGGCAGAAGTAGAGTCTTAGCATCAGTGTGGATGATGCTATATTTAAGATTTTGTTCACTTCCTGGGTGTTTTATCTATCATTTATTAAAAGAAGAATGGAAAAACAAGTTTACCTAGAAAAATCCTTTGAATATTAACTTTACAGAAGAAATTTCTTAAAAAATTAATGTTTCCTGCCCTCTAACACCTTAAGCTCTTGCAAACTCAGACATTTGGGCATCTACTGATTGCAAACCATAAGAATACAAAAGTTGTAAAAACTCATCTTCTTCCCTGCACAATATTATAATTAGATGGGGGGGCAGATAAGCATGCCAATGATCACAAAAGAGAAGCTCTTTTAAAAACTTTCAGTTTAGGAAATGTAAGTTATTGGCCAAAGCAAAAACCCACCAAACCCCGCCCATCAAAAACAAAAAAGGACAAATGCACAGTCTTTTAAAAACCAACACGGTGGTTGAAAAAGGATGCTAGCAGAACACAGAACAGAAACATCTATAAGTCTGGCAAGCTCCCCTCCTGCCAACCAGAATGTTTGGACAAGTCACACAAGCTTAAGAAGAGCTCACAAAAAGGGCTTCGGAAAGAGGATGCTTCTTGCAGAATGAAGAATGAGAGATTATATGAGAGAAGATACTCTCAGAGATGCTACATCTATCTCATGAGCTCTTCTGTTCTTTGGGCTTCCCTGGCGGCTCAGACAGTGAAGGATCTGCCTGAAATGCAGGAGACCCAGGAGCAATCCCTGGGTCAGGAAGATCCCCTGGAGAAGGCAACCCACTCCAGTATTCTTGCTTGGAGACTCCCATGGACAGAGAGCCTAGTGGGCCCCAATCCATGGGGTTGCAAAGAGTTGGATATGACTGAGCAACTAACACTTTCACTTCACTTTTCTGTTCTTTAGAGCATAGAAACTCAGACGCCACTCAATATCCACTAACCACTAAAAAACCAATTTGAAAGCACACGAGGTTAGATAGTAGGTGACAGAAGGATATCTAGTTTCTTTAGAGAAACAGGATTTCAACTCAGGTCTCAGGTATTCCCCTGACTATTCACAGCGTCCCGAATATGTTCCAGAAGACAACAGGTGAAGTCATTCAACATCCTTCCCATCTTGGAGGATTCAACAGTGTAGACTCGAGGGCACTCATTAAGGACATGATCTTCGGTCAGATTTGTTTATTAGAATGCTGGTAGTTGACGGCCCTGTGATTAAATAAAACATTTTCATGGGATATGATAGCTGTCTGTTACAAGTGGGAGATGACTCACGTACCTGTATTTTGACCACATGCTCTTCCTGTTCATACAAAAATGCTTTCCTAGCTTCATACTCTTTCCTAATGAGGGGTCCTGAGGTTGTGGCTTGGAAGCGCTGAAGCATGTCTTCAGTAGCAGACCATATGTTCTCACGGATGTAATCTGCAGTGATATCCTCAACAATGTCCTGGTAAGAGATATTTCTTATGGTTATACTTCACACATCAGGTGAGAAGAGCACAGAGAACAGCTTCTGGAAATTCTATCTTTCAGATAGTGGTTTGGATAGTTCTTTCCGGCTCAGTGTAAAGACAGATTTGACCAGAGTCAAGGGGTGAGCCAGCTGGCTCAGCTTCTTTCTAACGACATGGTTTTAGAATCCTCTGAAATCTGGGTGGAGATGAGGATGCGGTTGAATGGTCTCAGCATTTGGAGGTGGAGATGTACAGATGATGTTGGCAGGGACCAGGCCTGAGGCCTGGGCTCCCCAGAGCATAAGAGAGACAAGAATGATTACATAAGTGTTCACATCACCTCCTCCCTCTCCTGAGGGAAAGATGGCAATGCCCATGAAGTCCTCTGGCTTTTCTTGCCCAGGCCAGAGGAAGCAGATAGCTGCAAGAAGTAGGGGAAAACTCCAAATAAATTTGGGAGAAAATAAAGGACTTGGAGCAGAAGAAAGGGGCTGGGAGAGGAAAGATAAACACTCTTTTGGGCAGACAGGGAAACCTAGATAAATGAGAAAGAAAGGAAGAAGGGGGACTGTGAGAAGTCTTCATGTGGATGAGGAACTGGGTTTACTTTTACGTTCTTTGAGAAATGACAGCAAACACTGGACTCATTTCTATGGCAGATGCCTCTTAACCAGCCATGTGAATGGACTTCACAGATGGTGAATTTAAACAAGAGTGAAATCATATAAAAAAGATGCATTAATACTTTCACAAGAAGACATACGTACAACCTAGAGTAAATTCAGTAATTTAAGACTGACTAGAATAATTTTTTTTAACAGCATAGATCCTCCACTTTCTATTAATCTTGATACTGGGATCAGGTATAACTTCACAAAATTATACTTAGGGCATCTTTGGATGCCATATGAGCAATTTTTGTCTCTTGGGTTTTAATCTTTCAATGTTGTTTCTTCACAGCTTGACATATCCTTTCAATGATAGCACATGATTTTTAAACATTGGCCATAATTTCATTTTTCAACAAAGTAGCACGAACAGTTCATTGCCACATGCCATTTTCCTGTGAAAAGTGGGACATTACACATTTGAAATTAGCAAATGAATACATTTTTCACTATCTTCTTGTCATTCAGGATTTCTGTGGCATGGTCAACCCCAAGTTACAGCTTTTTTTCTGAGTTTTAGTAAGTTACTGTACTGGAGATTCTGTCCACAATATTATTATCTTGCAGTGTCTTTCTTGCTGGTGAATTTGAACAGTTCTATGAGATCTATATGTGCGAGTTCTATTTTTTTCAAGATGAATTTAATTATTAGAAGTATTTTCTTTTAAACACTCTACAATGCCTGGATCAAAGAGCAAGTTTCACATCTTCTGGGGCCGACTTTTGTCTCAAGTCCAAAGCAATCTTGGTGAGCATTCCTTCAAGAATATTGCTCCCTGTTATAGGTTGAGGTAGGGGGAAAGAAATAAGACATCTTGAATACTGACAACCAAGGAATTACCACTAATTGAGTTCTGGTGTCAAGGAAAACCTGAAGATTGATTTCTTAGGATAATCTGCCATCCTACATAATCGGCAAGAGCTTTATCTGCCCCCTGCTCTCTGGTGCTGCTCTGACATATGGAAGACATTCTAGAAACCAGTAATTAACCATGCAGCCACACCTAGCTGCAGTTCATGAAGACTTTACTCTATATGCAGCCTTCAAATAAATCAGTTTTCCCCATCAATTCCATGATTCTAAAATAGAAAAGCAATCACACTTATCTTTATATAGTACATTTTTCCATCAAACAGCAGCCTCCTACCTCAATTTCTTTTCCCATGAGCCATGATTCTTTAAGCAAGCAGGGTTCAGGTGTGACCCAGGAACTCTCTTTTGAATCAATATTGTAGTAGTAATCATATTTCTCCTGCAGGGTGACTTTAAGCCATGAACCTTCAGTAGACACTAAAGAAAAAGGTTTGTTAAATTCTAGAGAGGAACTTGGAAACTTTTAACATTAATGTAGTTTCTTCAGTAAGTAAAATAATTGAACAAGGATGTTTTCCTCCAGGCATTCCGATAATCTAAGTTAAAATCATTATCAATGAGTCATTAAATTGGAATGAATTCTGTGTATTCAACTGGCAGCTGTCTACTAAGCCAAAGTAAAAGGAGAGTGATGCTAGCTTGAATTTCTCATGAGGATTAAAGGAGTCACAAATGGCCAGCAAGAAGGAAAACTAAACAAGCAGCGAAACACCAGGTAGACGTGAATAGCACCACAAGTAGACAGGGAGACCGATGAGGAAGAATCCTCTGTTTAGAAAGTCTTCCAGCAACTTCTTCGAAAAGGAGTGGCCTACAAGGGCTGTGACCCACTATTTAAGGCGGCCCCATTATTTAATGATCTGCCTTAAACCAAAGCAGAAGTGACTCATCTTTGCAGACAACTTTATTCAAAGCACAAAATGGCATGCAGAACCACTGTGGTCACTAAGAGCGGAAAAGGAAAATTCCTGATCCCTCTGACTCATCTTGTCCTACAAAACCACACAAAACAGGGAGCAAAATGTTGAATGGGCTTAATTTTCTCAGGGAGAGAATACTAGGGGGAGAAAACATCTATGGCAGTCATGGGTTAAATATTTGGGTCAAGAATATTTGCAATCTATTTGCAATCAACAAAATAGATTTGCACGACAAAATAGATTTAGCAATCTATTTATTTTGTTGAATGGTTACGATTTGCGTCTCAGACCACAGAGCTAAAAACAACAACAAAAATAAAAATTTCAGACCAAGCTAAGCCAACTGCTGCCAAGTGAGCACTAGACTAATTGTCTTTATAGGTAAAAATCATAGTCCTAGTGAATTTCCTCAAAGAATATTTAAATGGATTCAAATAACTAAGCAAAGATAACTTTAAGGCCCTTTGAAGTGTGTTGATTCTTCAATTGGTTTTTTAATGCCTCTCAACTGTTCTGTGGATGCCCAGATCCACAGAGAGATACATATCTCTTCAAATGACCAATCAGACAACTATTATCTGTTTAAAAATGCTGGTTTACTAGAAAATATATTGTACAGTCAAATATGGATGATCACAGGTAATCATTATATACTTTCAATCACCACCAGTTATCAGATTCACAAATGTTTTCAGAAGATTAAACACTTTTTAAGGCAATTCTCTCAGTGGGAAGGGAGGAAATCAAATAAAAATGGTGGAAATGGATATCTTTTATTTTCATAAGAACTGAGAAGCAAAAAGTTCTTAGTTGGTTAAAAGTGAACCACATTGGCACTGTAAGGCTTTATTTGGGTTGGGATGTCAGTGAATAATAGAAAAAGAGAATTCTATCATTTTCACATCAAGTATGAGTTTAGAGTCAGGTCAAAGGCTGAGGAGGACATCGCCAGAACAGGGTTCAAGGAGTTTTCCTAAGAAGTACAGCTGGTTTGTTGGGGATTCCCAGGTGGCACTAGTGGTCAAGAATCTGCCTGCCAATGCAGGAGACGTAAGAGAAGTGGGTTTGACCCCTGCGTCGGGAAGATCCCCTGAAGGAGGTCATGGAAATGCACTCCAGGATTCTTGCCTGGAGAACCCCATGGACAGAGGAGCCTGGTGGGCTACCGTCCACAGGGTCGCAGTGAGTTGTACCCGACTGAAGCGACATAGCATGAATGCACATAGCTGGTTTGTTAACTGAGGGAAAAGACTAATTATGGACCTTTAAGGATGCACAACAGAGAAAGATTCCAGTGAGTTAAGAGGTGATGTGCATTCTATACGGAAGCATGCTTTCTAGACGACTTCCAGACAAAATCATACCTATATAAGACCTAAACTGAGCTCTAAGGCTAAGTGATCTATGTAAGAGTGAACACTTTGGGGAGAAACAGACAGCCTAGAACCAGAGGTGAAAGAGGTAAGAATAAATCATCCTGTTCACAACCTCAAACAATGTTTACAGTTCTATCGAAAATGAAAGTTAATCTTTAATTCCATAGAAAGCTTCTCATCCTCCTCTGAGAACAGAGGTTGGTAATCTTTTTCTATAAAGGGCCAGAGAGTAATTTCCGTCTTGTGTGTTATAGGTCTCTCATACAACTACTTGACCCTTACTGTAGCATGAAAGCAGCCAGAGACAGTAACATACAAATTAATGAGTGTGGCTGGATTACAATAAAACTTTATTTATAAAACCAGTTGGCAGCCTAAGGAACCTAAAACGCTATTAGAATAAAGGTTGCAGGATACAAGATCAACATCAAATCTTATGAAAATACGTCCACATAAAAGCTTGTATACAAATGTTCACATAAGCATTACTTAGGCTAGCCAAAACTGTAGAAAAAAGTCCAAATTCTATCCATTGATGAATGAATAAACAAAATGTGGCATATTTATACAACAGAACATTATCAGCCATAAAAGAAATGAGGAACTGATATATACTACAACACGAATGAACTTTGAAGACATCATGCTACATGAAGTCCGACACAGTATGACTTCGTTTATAAGAAATGTCCAGAATAGGAAAAATCAGAGAGACAGAAAGTATATAGTGATTGTCTGGGGCTGAGAGCTGGGGGTGGGGAGCAATGGCTAATGGGCTCCATTTATTATAAGAAAAATATTCTGGAATTAACTAGTGGTGTTAGCTATACAAGTTTGGGAGTATAATAAAAACTTCTGAATTGCACACTTTAAAAGAGTAAATTTTATGGTATGTGAATTATATCTCAATAAAAAAAATTAATTGTATTTCTATATGTTAGCAACAAACAACCCCAAAATGAAATTAAGAAAATATTTACAATGACACAAAAAATAATAAAATATGGTAGGAATAAATTCAAGTAAGTCCCAACTCTCTCCTTTTTTTCCAGAAAAAAATGAATCTAAGTATTGCCTAGGTTTCTAAATTGGCTATCTGGGGACATTTTTTTTCCCTCTGCTGATCAGAACATGGCAGTTGGGAAAAGGAGTAGGCAAGTTTAGGGAAGAGTAGATAAACCTAAGTGTGGGCCAAGGATTTGAAATTATGATGGGTCATCTCTAAGAAAATCACCTCTTGCATAAATACAGTTGTGCAAGTCTTTCCTCACAAAGGATGAGGTAGGGGCTCTACAGTAACTGATGAAGAGCTGTGAAGGGAACAGACAGGGGCTCAAGGGTGATCAGACACCAAGTAAGAGTGAATGGCCAGCAGCCCTATTCCCATTTCACTATCAGAAACTGTTCTGCATCAGAGGGTAGAATTCCCAAGTTAGAAATACATCAGGCTACTTATAAGTACATACGGTAGTTCTGGACAGACTTCCAGTGAATTAAAAAAGTTTTTTTTTTTCCTTAAGTTCCATTTCTAAGGCTATATATTGTCGAAGCAATTTTCTAAAGATGAAGTACTATGTACATGTGGTACAAATAAACATCAGCCTGAGTCAGGAGATACCTTAATCCTTGACAGTAGGACACAGCAAATGCTCAACAAAAATCTGTCATACTAAAGAGATGATGGGCTATCTCTGCCAAAAATTAATCTCATTGGGTTTGTCATTTTCTCCCTCTGTCCAAAATGCCATCAATGTGATTTTCTAAGTCTGAAAAATGAGTCCGAAACTCATGATCTAAAACAGTTTCCAGAGATAACATTTCATGGATTGAATAAGCTTAAGTATATGCCAAGGTTAACAGAGACCAATGTGCTGCATTTCATTTTATACTTTCAAGATTACTCTTTACTTCTACTTAATAATGTATTAATGTACATTAATAAATGTACAATAATGTATCCTGTGTTTCAAAAAGGATGGAGAGATATATTAGTGTAAAAATCAGTTTGTACCACTAGAAGGATGGCTCAATGGCAAAACTGATAGGAAGCAAAATCTCCTTTTAATACTGCATTTTCTTGAGTATATGGCACCCACCACAGCCACCAGGTTAATCACAGATTTCCAAAAGACAAAAAAGGATAAGAAACACTAAAAAATTTCCTTTGCCAGAGATGACAAACATTCAGAAATACTCATTTGAAAGCAATTATTTGTCTCAAAACTAAGATAACACAATACCACAGAAGTCACCATATTCAAAGTGTTATTTAATTTGTGTTAAACAATGAAGAAGCTTACCACTTCTAGATTTTTGCTCTTTTGCTTTTGCCAGGGCGTCATGGTACCTGTCAGCACATTCAGGGATTACATCATTTGTATTACCAATGGCAGGCTTCAAAACAGACAAAATATCACTTTGCTTCTCCTTCTCCAAAAACTGATTAACATCAACGACCAGTGTAACCCCTGGGTAATGAAAAAGAAATGTTTCTGTTAATAATTATCTTCTACTCACCCTAGAGGCATGCAAAGATATAAGTTAACTTTTTAGGAATGCATTGGTATGAAACCTGTTTATCCTTTGAGAGAATATACTGCATACATTCGAGATAGTCATCAACTGTTCAGGTTGTAAGAGGAATAAAATCCACAGGAGCAGTATTTCCTCATTACTCCTGTATGATCTCAAGGCACTAGGTTCTGCCCACTGTGGTGATCTGTGAAATAGGGTGGACATATGTTGACAGTAGATATGCAGCCCTTATGTGGGTCATTAATCAGTATTTGAGAATAAGCTTTACGAAAACACGTATTTATACTAGAATAAGTGAAACGGTGTCTAAGCCACAGAAATCCTGACACTCTCTGGTACAGCGCAAGTATACTTTCAAGACTGTCCTTAGCAACCTGAATGACTGTTCTAGAAAGGCAACGGGCAGAGCTGGTGGATACGTGCAGTGGGGTCCAGACACTTAATTTTGGAACCAATTTAGACCTAGAAAGCACGTGATCCCATTTCAAATGTCTGCGTCTCCCCACAAATAAAACCACATTCAACTCTTGGTTGCCTAAAGAAAGATAACGTGGTGAATTCTTTACCACCTAGTTTAGGTAAGGATATTCTGCCCGCCCCCAACCCCCACCCCAATGGACCTACTATCTTCACAACCTGTAAATGTACTGGGTTAGAAAGGTAGAACAAAAAAAAACGGAAGAAACCAGGTTAAAATACTTTATAGATAAAAAAACATCTTGATGAAGAGAGAGGAAAGATTTTTTTTTCCTTTCTTTTTAAACAGACGTGTCAAACTCTGCCATACAAATGCTAAATGGTATATTGCTGTCATCAAATTACATTCAGATGTGCATAGAACTGTGAAGGCTGATGTGGCAGGAAAAAGTCTGACTTTTGACACCTACGAGTCCAATCATGCAGTCTGGAGGAGCACACGGAGGATAAAGACTTTCAGTGGCCAACTCGAGTTGTTGCTGAACTAAAGCTACAGTGGTGGGTTCTTTCAGATACAGAAGGTAAGGGGAATGGGGGAGCTGCCCCCTTTCCTCTTCTCCAGGAAAGCTTAGGAGGAGAAAAAGGCAGTCCTGGAGTTTGAGAAGTCTGTGGTCTCAGAGAAGAGGAAAGAACAAGGAAATGCCTTAAAAGATGGGTATTATGAAGGCATGCAGTTCTTTCAAGTATATGTATTGATGTACAAGCAGTGGTTAATCTTGGGTTAACCATGGGTTAATCTTCTAGATGACTGAAGCTGACTCCTCTAGGTACCAACCTTCATCTTAACAGAATCTTGCTCCATGAAAACTAAAGCCCTGGGGAAAAAATCTAATAAAACAGTCCTGCTCGGACCTGCTCATCATTTTACCCACAGTCCCTGGTACCTTTTTGGTGCTTAATGTTTGCTGCCAGCTGCCAGAAGAATTCTTTATGGCATCAAAATTATATTGTGCGATAATGTGATATTTTCAAAGACTATGGAGGTGTTGGGCTATTGCTCCGACTCATGGGGTCGCAAAGAGTCGGACACGACTGAGCAAGTGAACTGAACTGAACTGATGCCTAAGATAAGAATAAACAGACTCAAGGCAGCTGTCCACGAAGTCTCCACTGAGTTGATTTTTGATCAGTTCTGTGCTCAGGCTTTGAGACATCTATTTTGATTGCTTTTTTTCTTAAGCTATGGGTTGCAATTAAGTTGCAGAGAGCTGAGAATGACACATAAATGATGATATCCAGAAAGTCAGGTATGTTTCTGCTATGGAACAAATGAAGAAACCTCCTCCAAATCTAAGATCCAAAAATATATTTATGTCTTAATCCATATGTCAGAAGGGCTTCTCTAAGGCAAGCATTCTCAAAATTGGTGATATAAGCCCCAGTAGGGTAAAAATTGGTTCTTAGGAAGAGAAAGTAAAACAGAACAAAACTTTATATGTAAAAGCTCATATCTACATGTGGCACATAAGCAGGCATATATTAGTGGTACTGAAATTTCATTGTAAAGAGCACCATGGGGGAATAAAGTCTATAAAGACTCCTTAGGGCACAATCATGGATAATGGCTGAATGAAACTGCTTGAAGGAGTGAAAAGTAGAGACAAACCTACTCGGAGAAAGCAAGATGCTCCAGTGAAAATGGAGAGCAGGCCAAAAGCGAGGAGTCTTGAGTTACTGTGCCCTTTCAAATTTTGCCTGTGGTCAAACATATGGGCCAACAAATTATCTGGGAGTGGGTTTGATAATTGCAACATGTGACCAGAATTTGTTTTCAAGACTTCATACAAAGGATGAAGAATGCTTTTAAAAGTAAGATTAAATTCCTTGTTGAAAACACTGGAACATTCTCATCTCAGTGTAAGAATATGGGCAGTTTTATCTTTAGAACATCTTTTTGTTGTTATAAATCATAGAAGACACTACATCAACTCTTTTAAGGAACAGGATGGAAGTAAAAGAAAGGATTTTAAAAAGTGTGGGGCACACAAATCTCACACATTTGAGAAAATCTCTTACATTCATAGTAAACAGAACTGTGAGTCTCAAGAGGATCGACTTAATATTTGCAAGCCAAATATAAGAACAAAATAAAAAAAAAGGAATAAAATAATTTCTAAACTAGTTTGATTGCTGGAGAAAAACTATAACCTTTTTAGTCTATTTGAGTGCCTTTATGACAATATAATTTCTTAAAAGTGTTTTTTTTCAAACTTTGGATGCCTTCAGTTTAATATATAAATTAAAATCTCTTATGTACACAGCTTAATTTTATTTTTTTCTTAAGGATTAGAATGTTTGAACAGAGAGACTTCAAAGATCCTAAGGATGTAAGAGTTCAGGTTGGAGAAATACACATATTTTTCAGGCTAAGGAAATAAAAACCAGGTGTTCCTCACAAATGCCTGAGACGTTTCAAGCAGAAACAAGCTTCTGGAGCAAGACTAGGCATCTCAAAAGTATTCTATGCTCTGATACAATAGGATAGATTCTAATTATGTCATGAATGGATAGGTTAATGAACTAAAATTTTAGGAATCTTATTTTAATTTACATAGGTTATTTATACATGGAGAGTGTTAGCATATCACCCCGATCACCATGTGAGTTTTCTTATTATCCTCTAAGAAAAGAGATGCTTAAAAAAAACACAAACTATTATTTGGGAGCCAAAGTGGGGGGTCTGATAGTTGCTAAGTATGTCTATTCCAATTACGCATTTTGGACTTGGGGAAATAACCTTCGGGTGGGCTTCAGCGCCCACTAAACCCACTATGAGATGAACCTGGGCAACATTGCACTGACCATCTGACCTCCATAAGCCTGTCCCCCGACTGGCGGACACAGTGAGGTTTCAGGTCTCCTGGAATTAGGGTCAGCTCAGAGCCAGAGTCCAGTGATCTCTGAGACGCCTGACTGTGTCCTTTCCCCCCAGCACAGTCACCACAGTAGGGTATAAGATGTTGGAAACGCAGCAGGGTCCTTCCCCAAGGGAACCCAGTCCCTCCTTCATTCAAGGGTTTCTGGGTCTGTAAATGGCTCAAGTCCGGGAACTGATGGAGGGACCATGACTTTCTGTTTATGATTCAAGTTATACTTCCACTCACCTGACCTAGAACTCTTCTTCCACTTGTACAAATCAAGTAAGAATTTAGTAGACTGTCTATTTAGCTTCTAGGAATACCACAATCTGTTAGCAAATTCCATAGGTCTCTCTGTCAGATTTTTCTAATTATTGCTTTGACTGCTATCTATTAATATTATACTAACCACAGCCATTTGTCTTTGGTGATTAAGTGCTGTCCCCTGACCTCTGACAGACTGCCCGACAGATTTCGGACTTTCCAGCCTCTCCACAATTACATGAGCCTATTTCTTAAGTGAGACCTCTATTTTTCTATATATATGCATGTAGAGATAGTTAAGACAGTACTAGATACTTGCTTTCCAGAGAAACTACATGGCTACATAGGTAGTTTTTTTTTTTCCATAGGAAAAATATATATAGTTCTGTTTCTTTGAAAAATGCTATTACAATGGAAGGCATGGAAGGGTGGACAGGCATTTATTAAGCAGGATGGTCTAGCTTTCTAAGGGTTAAGGTAAAAAAGGACTTGATTATACTATAAACTTAAGAGTTGAGAAACTATTTTTTCCTTTCTGGACTTGGTTCAGCTACAACTTCAGATTCTGCTGGAAATAGTACTTAACTGCAAAAACCAGCGCAACCGACCAATCTTATTTTTGTATAAATATGAATTCAAGAATTAAAATAGGTGAGCGTTCGTATCTTTTCGGAAATTTAAAACGGCACACTTTTTAAAAGTTAGGAATTCAAACAGAAGTTCAGGGGGATAGCCAGAAGCAAGCACCAAGCTGCAGCAGCAGGAGGCGGCGAGGGCTTACACTGCTTTGCGCTGTTTATGTCCTTGTTGGCCTCGTCGACAGCATGCTGTATCTCATCCAGCCAAAGAATTTTAGAAGCACTTTGAGGGTCCTGAGAATGTGGTCACAGAATAAAAGAAAAAAACAGTGAATGATGATGAAACAGAATTATTAATGGTTTTTTAGGAGCCACTTTATTAAAATTTCCACAACTCTTTTTTAGCAGCAACCCCGCATGGCCACACCCTGTGCGAGCTGTTGATGAAACAGACGCCGAACAGGGCCACGTTTCCCCTCTGCACAACCGCCTCTTTAGTCCAGCCCACCCCTCCATCATCTCTCACTTGCCAGCTGCATCGACCTCCTGTTTGCTTTTGCTGTTTCCATGTCGGCTTCAACCCCAGTGGCCCTCAACCGAGAACCAGATGACCCCTCCCAAAAAGGACACTCATCACATCACTCCTCTGCGAAACTCCTTCAGAGGTTCTCTCCAGCAGCTTGAAGGAAATGACACTCCCTTCCCACGGACTGTGGGCATCTAAGGATCCGGCCCTGCTCATCCCTCTGGTTTTCTCTCTCTCTTGGCTACTCACTGTTAGGGACCCTCACACCAGCCTCCTTCAGATCCCTCCGTCCTACCCCAGGTGTGTGGCTGTTGGTTTTTTTCTTTGCATTCAGGCCTTAATTTAAATGCCACCTCTTCCAAAAAAGCCTTCTCTGACTACCCCGGTAAATCAAATATTCTCTCCCCCAATCACTCAGTAACTACGGCTCCCAAGGTGGTTCAGGGGGCCACAGAAAACTTTCAATTTGTGGGAAAAAATTATACATGGATTTTATCAGACACAGTGACAAAAATAAGAACAAATGTATCCGAATAGAAACATGGTGATGGCCCTCAAGGAGCAAATGGTTTAGCAGAAGAGGCAGGTGCATCAAAAATTATAATTACTGGATCAACAGCAAGGCCCTACTGTATAGCACAGGAAAACAAATTTAATATTCTGTAACCAACCATAATGAAAAAATAAAAAACTATAATACAATGTGATCAGAGCAATATTAACTATAGATAGCTTAGAAATAGCCAAGAAGAGATGAATTTCTATCAGTGTTGAGATGCAGGGGGAGAAAAGACCAATTCGTTAAGGATAGCTTCAGAAAGGAAGGGGAAGCAGCAGTAGAAAGGTACTGGGTTACCTTTACTCATTTTTACTTTAAGGGATGATTCTGATTTTACTCCAAAGGCAGTGCCAGCATACAACGTAATTAAAGAATGCTTCCAGATAGCAACTGCATTTCATATAAACTTGTTTAAGATTACAAGTTAACTTTTGTTATAGGTAGAAATTAAGTATTTTAGAGAAGATGAGACATTTCATTTTAAAAACCTGGGAATATCTGCCTACTTGTGCGATAGCCTAAAGAAAGACTGTGATGAACAGAGGGTGGTTCATTGGAGCCAGGCAGAACCAGCTCCATCATTTAGGACTCAAGAAGGATGGGGGGCAGGACGGAGAAATAACCTGCACCGGCATCTTCGGCAGGCTTCAACTCTATCTCCCTCAGAGCCTAATAAGAGATGGCACATGGTGAAAGGGCTCTGAAAATGAGATGAAATATCTGCTATTTCATCCTGTAACCCCCAGATTAAAGAAGACCATGGATGAAGGCTTGGTTCCTGCTTCCACAATCACCTCTAGCTGGATCTGCCATGTGGGAACCACCAGCTAATAAGATTTTCCATCTTTTGGGAGGATGGACGTAGAAGGTTCAAACAGGAAGCAAGATGGGAAGTTGAGAACTAGAAGAGGGTGAAAGGACAGGGGAACAGGAAATATTTTCCCTCCGCTTCTAAGCCAGAGAGAACCCAACCACTCCCCCAGGTACAGCCTAAAAACTAAGCTCCACACAAGTTCATTTCTGTCTCTCTCAGATTTTTTTTTTTTTTATGAAGGGTATTTACCAAATTTCTTCATAACTTACCAGTGTGGAAGATGCACCATACAAACGTTTATTCAGATGAGAAGAAAGTTACAATCCATTTCAAAGCTGAAGGTTTTATAAGCTAAACCCAAGAGAGACTTTGCAAGTCAAAATAATTTAAGTCAACAGTTTAAACCATGACTCATTGTAGCAAAAGCTTGCTAGAGTTAAATGCAAAGCCAAGGGTAAAAACCGAAGCCTCTCAGTGTAAGGTCATCCTTTCAACTGATCACCAGAAGACTGGAAACAGGGTATTCATAGAACGGCCAAGGCTCTGTGCTGTGCTGGGCTTAGGCACTCGGTCGTGTCTGACTCTCCGACCCCGTGGACTGCAGCCTGCCAGGCTCCTCTGTCCATGGGATTCTCCAGGCAAGAACGCTGGAGTGGGGTGCCATGCCCTCCTCCAGGGGATCTTCCCAACCCAGGGATCGAACCCAGGTCTCCCACATTGCAGGTGGATTCTTTACCATCTAAGCCACCAGGGAAACCTAAGAAAACTGAGTGGGTAGCCTATCCCTCCTCCAGGGGGTCTTCCCGACCCAGGAATTGAACTGGGGACTCCTGCATCGCAGGTGGATTCTTTAATGAATGAGCTATCAGGGAAGCCTGCTCAAGTCTCTACTTCCAGCTAAAAAGCCAGGTTCAATTTATGAGTTGCAGATGGATTAAGTCAACAGAAAGTAGGCCATCTGAAAATCAAGTAATAAATTCCTGAATTTAGAGGTTTCCTAGAAAATTGTAAGTAATTTAAAATCTACCTCAGTTTGCACTGTGTTACCAGGAAATTGTATATTATTTGGCTGAAGTATTAAGCACTGGCTTTTTTTAAAAAAGTTATTTTAATTGGAGACTAATTACTTTATAATATTGTAGTGGTTTTGCCATACATTGACATGAATCAGCCATGGTGTACATGTGTTCCCCATCCTGAACCCCCCTCCCACCTCCCTCCCCATCCCATCCCTCTGGGTCATCCCAGGGCACCGGCCCTGAGCACCCTGTCTCATGCATCGAACCTGGTGTGGCGATCTATTTCACACATGGTAATACACATGTAAAACACTCACTTTTGGTTGTAAAGCTCCTGGTGTGATAAGATGTGAAAAGTTCACCCAGATCAGCTTCTTCCCACCTTATTCTTTATCCTTAAGTCTCATGAAATTTGCATTTTCTGATTCTTGCTACATTTTTATAGTCAACAAGCTGTTGGGCTGTCTGTATTAGTGTTTCAGTGTTGTTAACTATAGGAAAATTTGTTATAATGCAGTTTCTTTAACAACATGTTAAATTATACCCTCCAGAATATAACTACACGTAAAAGCTTATATGTGAAACAACAATGTGCGTGTGCTTAACATTACTGAGTTGCACACTTAATGGTTAAGATGGCAAACTTTATGCTATGTATATTTTGCAACAGTTGAGAAAAAAAAGTTTATTGTAAACCTGCTCACCAATACCCATTGGATAAAGGGAGTCCTCTGCATTTTAATGTTGTGCTATGATTTTAGTTTAATCAAATAGTGTTTTTTGGGGGGGATCCCTAGTGATCTGACCTTATAGAATTACTGAATGGCTCAGAATATTATGACCTATGGCAAAACAAAACACAATGAAACCAAGCTTTGGCCAAGCACTGGTGACAAATTCAGACCAATGTGACACTGAAGCAAAATTTTCAAAGTAATCAAGAGCTGAAAACCACTTAAACGTCTTCAAAAAAAAAAAAAAGCTTGCTTTCCGTGATTCATTTAGTTTACAATCACATAATGAATCTAACAAGATTTGAAATAGCTGAAAGGAAAAGGAAAAGGATATTTTCTGACAGCTCAGTTACTAGGTAGAAATGGCACCCTGGAACTTCATTTTTAAAGTGGGTAAAAATGAGATAAGGAACAGATTTAAATTTAACTGCTGCTAAGCATCTGCTTCCAGCTTTCCTCCTTTATGGACTGCTCTTATCTGCGTTCATTCCATGCACTTAAATACACGGGGTGGGAACTACAGCTCCTGCCCAGAAGGGCCTGTGAGCGGTGGGAGGAGTTACACGACTTCCTCCAGGGATGAGGAACACGCTCCAGGCTCAGCCTGAGTCATGCAGAGTGCTGTCACACCCTTTCCCTGCAGAGGACCCGGCGAGCTTCCTTCCACAGCATCGCGGAACCCCGTCCCCCAGAGAGAACCAGGGTGCCGGCACATGGAGCCGAGGTGAAGGCCCACCCCTGGTCGCACACATCTGAGAGAGCCGCTGGCATCAGGATGAGAGCCGTCCTCTTTGCAGCTGTGGGAGCACTGCTTCTGTCCCCTGCTTCCTGTCAAAGCGGTAAGCTCTTTTCTTATGCTGTCGGGTGGGATTGCTACTTTGTGTCCCAAGAGTCAACCGAATCTAATCTCTTCTACATTTCACACAAACTGCACCCCCAAAGGCAGAGTGGAATCTTAGTTATTAAAAGGGGGACTCATGGACTTGAAGAGATGTAGTTTGTTCACTATTCCTATCTTGTCCAAGACTGCTCTCAGCTTGTATTTAAAAATTTGTTCCACGGTCAAGACAGGAGAGCTCTACAATTAAATCAAGAATCAATTTTCTTTTAAAAGTTTTTTGTTTTTCTAAGCATTTCCCGTGATATCGTAAAGAATAACATTTTTTAAAAGCGATTAAAAAAATCCCACGTTAATAGTTCCTGGTGAGTCACAAATGAGAAAAACAAGAATACTCCTTGAAAGACAGAGTGGTCGGTCTGCTTTCAATAATCACGGATGCTAATGAATTAGCATTTCCCGAAAGAAGTATGTGTTTTCTGTTTCACTCAGTACAATGTTAGCCTGTAACTTCCTGCTTGCTCTAAATCGACCTGGGACAAGGGTATCCACAACCTCCTTACTGTTGGGGTTCCATTCTCCGGCGAACGTTTTAGGAGCCAAACAGCTGATGGGAGCAGATGGCAGTGAACAGGGAAAATAAAAGTTATACCAAAAAACTCCAAGGCTCTATAAAGGAATGCTGCCTACACTGACAGCTGGAATCGCTGAGCTGGTCTGAAGACAGGGTTGAGAGAACCAGTCAGTTGCTCGTGTGGGAGTCAGAGCTAAGTGGGTGCTCCTTCTGGGAGTGGATGAACCAAAATCAAGCAGAAGAGCAAAGAAGTTTGCAGAGGTGGTTCCTTCACGGTGCTGGTGGGGTTTGCTGGATGTGAAAAGGGGGGAATTTAAAGGGTGACACAGTAAGGAGATCATGAGGTAGGGGAGGTAAATTAGGATTTGAGATTAACATATGTACATTATATATAAAACTGGCAAACAACAAGCAACAAGGACCTACTGTATAGCACAAGCAAGTATACTCAGTATCTTATTATAACCTTAAGGGAAAAGAATCGGAAAGAGAATATATATATATTACACATCTGATATGCATAAAACTGAATCACTTTGCTATACACTTGAAACTAACACAACACTGTATATTAACTATATTTCCGTTAAAAAGTTTTATAAAAAAAAAAAAGGTGGCAAAGTGAAAGGCGGTGAATTTGCTTTCGTCAGTAGGGGTTGGGGAGAAATGGGGAGGAAGACCCCCCCTGTTTAGGGGCTGAAGTCTCTTCCCTGTGGCTCAGTCCCTCTCCAAAGCCTTTGCTCAGGTTGAAACACATTTCAGGGACATCAACGTCAGATGAACCTGTATAAAACACTGAAATAAATGAAAAAAAAATACACACATAATTTAACAAGCATTAGTTCTTAAGGAAAACCAGGCTGGAAGGAGTAAAAGACTTCTTCGAGCTGGATCAGAGCCAGAATTCTCATGGACATGGAATCGAGGCTTGTTGACAGAGTCACCGGTCAGCAGGTTTTCAGGCATGCTGTCTTGCTCAATCACTGCAATTCTCGAAAACAGACAAACACGGGGTTCCAATGGCTCTCTTACCAGATCTTGAAGGGATGTAACTCGTACACCATGTTTTCAGCCTGCATTTTCCAGCTCTGTGCCTGCCTGAAAAGGCCCTTCTCTTCGGGTGATGTCAGATGCGAGAATTTTCCAAAATGCCCAAGTGAGCAGAAGGATTTGAGTGGCTGTACTCGAGTGGCACTCAGCATGCCTCCTAAGTTCACCTCTACACACAGACACTGAAGAAAGCCACTTCCCCAATTTTCCTTTCCTTTGATCTTTCTTCCCTTACAAGGACACCCTCTGCTTACACCCTGAATTCAGCTTTTGTGATCTCAAGGTTATGAGGGAAGACTTCAATTTCACTGAGGGTGAACTGGTAGAGATTAAAGCCAGAAGAGAAACAGGCTTTGAAGGAGAGCCAGGGTGCTAAACACTAACTAACCTTCAGGATTCAACCTGTAGGAATTCAGAGCTCATGTGAAAAGAGGTGACTGGCAGAGTAAGGCATTTTAAATTGATATAAGTATTAGGTTTACATTCAGCATAAAAGCCCGTCTTAAGGTAACGTTAGAAATGTGAGAAAATCTACTTTCTCTACACGTCAAGGATTAATTTATGGAAAATTACATAATGAAAAGCAGGTTTGAGTGTTAAGGTTTACTTGTTTTTAAAATTGCTCTCTCAAGAATTAAGATTATTAGTATTAACGTGCCATCTAAGTGACAAATATTTGTAGTATGTAATTTGTTTTAATACTCTTTCTTTTCTTCATTTCCAACTTCTTGAATCATCAATTTCCTCCTCTGATTTTTCTTCCTCTTGAAATCTGGCATTCTCCCTCAAGGCTGCCTTTGGATTATTTCTTCTCATGTCTCTCCCTATAGTACATTCAAGCACAAAATCAAAGTACTGTCACTACCCAGACTAAAAGGCCCATACTTTTCATGTGGGCTCCTGAAATTTTGGATTCCTTATTTAAGTCTAACCTATCATGGCACATTCTCATTCTAATATTGCACCAGGAACTCAAACTCAGGAATATTCACAACTGAGATCTTAGCTTCGCCCTGGGTTGCACCCTCAGCCACCCTGCCTTTCGCCATGCTCCATTTGCCTCTCCTCCCATGTTGTCCAGAATACAAACCTCCTAGTCAGTTTTGCTTCCTGCTCCCTTTGCACCATCTCCAGATGCTAAGTCCCTTTGAGCCTCCATTACCGAGTCTCATGTGTCATTGTCACCTCCCCACTGCCGTTACTCCAGCGCTGTAACCCACCAACTTGAGCTGAAACGATTACAGTAGCCTCCAAATCTAGACAGCATATTAAAAAGCAAAGACATCACTTTGCTGACAAAGGTCCCTATAGTCAAGGCTATGGTTTTTCTAGTAGTCATGTACAGATGTGAAAGCTGGACCATGAAGAAGGCTTAGTGCTGAGAAACTGATGCTTTTGAACTCTGGTGCTGGAGGAGACTCTCAGGGCTTCCCAGGTGGTGCTAGTGGTAAAGAACCCACCTACCAATGCAGGAGACATAAGAGACGTGGGTTCGAGCCCTGGGTTGGGAAGATCCCTGGAGGAGGGCATGCCAACCTACTCAAGTATTCTTGCCTGGAGAATCCCAGGGACAGAGAAGCCTGGTGGGCTACAGTCTACAGGGACACAGAGAGTCAGACATGACTGAAGCAACTGAGTATGCATGTGTGCAGAAGACTCTTGAGAGTCCCTTGGACTGCAAGGAGATCAAACCATTCAATCTTAAAAGAAACCAACCCTGAACATTTACTGGAGGAATTGATGCTGAAGCTGAAGCACCAATCCTCTGCTCACCCGACACAAAGAGCTGACTCACTGGAAAAGACCCTGATGCTGGGCAAGACTGAAGGCAGGAGAAGCGGGCGGCGGAGGATTGAGAGACGGTTAGACAGCATCACTCACTCAGCGGACATGAAGCAGAGCAAACTCGGGGAGACAGTGAAGGACAGAAGAGCCTGGGGTGCTGCAGTCCGCGGTGTCGCAGAGAGTCAGACGCGATTTAGCGACTGAACAACAACGACAAAGCCTCCAAATCAGATCCCTTTGCCTCTCATTTCTTATCCACTTAGCCTTTTCTCTACACTGTCATCAAAGTGACCTTGAACACAAGTCAAATTACGGTTGTATTAGTTTTCTATTACTACTGTAACAAATTCCCACAAAATTAAAACAGGGGATTTATTTTATTTCTGAAGCTCACAAGTACTGAAATCAAGGTGTCAGCACGGAGGCCCCAGCAGAGAACCTGTCCTCTTGCTATAGGCGCGCTCTCGAAGCGCATGCATTCCTCGGCTCATGGCTCTTTCTCCGACCTTCAAAGCTGGCACAGAGCCTTTTCCAGGGTCTCCAACTTTGGCCCTCACGCTTCTCCCTTTTATAAGGAGTCTCATGATTACATCTGGCCCACTGGCCAATCCAGGGTACTCATTCCATCTCAAAATCCTGAAGCACATCCACAAAAGTCCCTTTTGCCACAGAAAGTAACATATTTGCAGGTTCCAGGCATTAGCGCATGGAATCTTTGGGGAGCCATCATGCTGTCTACCTCAGTGACCATCCCTCTGTCCACAATTTTGTCTGCATACAACCTCGGCATCTGTGAATGGGCACCTGATTTCTTAAGACAGTTTAGGGACCCTTCAGAGATTTGGCTGTAACCTACTCTTTCAACTTCACCTGTCAGATGTCCCTTATTTGCATAAGAATGTGTTTTTGCCCATCTTCTCCATTAGTGTGAGAATTGAAGACAGGAATGGTATTGATTTAAAATTGTGCTTCACTGGCATATATACATGCAATAAACATTTGCTAGATCAACTTATCTGATATTCCTAGATCCCACATCAGCCTACACAATGCCCATGGCCATTCATCACCGATCAGATTCTTATTCTTCTATTAAATTCCACCTCTTTATGTACCTTGCTTCATCTTTGTTCATGTTCATCTTTTCCTTGACATTTTGCCCCAACACCTAAATCTATTAAATACTGTCTGAATGCCTATACAGTTTATAATCAAGTACAGTTTATAATCAATATGACATTAGCCTATAATGGTTTAAAGTGCTGTTTTTGTGTCCTCTTATAGTATTATAATTCCTTACATACAAAGAGTTGTCATCTAGTTTGGGTTCCTGCATGGGTTAGCATGCTGCTGGGGCATATGATATACATTAAATGCTTTCCTGTTGATTACCTGATTTATAATGACTGTTTAAAATAAAAAGGATCCTAAATTCTACCATTACAGAAATTATGTAGCATAAGAAATCTAGTTTTATTGTCTCCTGAACAATAGATATCCCTCAGTGATCAATCATATGTTAATAGCTCTTTTCAATTACAGGCATGGAATATGATGCAGACAACGTGGCAAAGTCAATCATTCCTGTGAAGAGTTTCCGTGGAGCTCCCCAAAATGCTTTTGAAGAGTTCCCCCTTTCTGCCATAGAAGGCTGGACAGGTACCACCAAAACTGTAAAAATCAAGTGCCCTGAAGAACTTGATTCAAATCTCCATGTGAATAATGCCACCATGGGGTACCTGAGCAGCCCTTTAAGTACCAAGTTGATACCTGCCATCTACATCCTGGTGTTTGCAGTAGGCATGCCGGCCAACGCGGTGACCCTATGGCTGCTCTTCTTCAGGACCAGAACCATCCGTGTGACCGTCTTCTACACCAACCTGGCCATTGCAGACTTGCTGTTCTGTGTGACACTGCCCTTTAGAATAGTTTACCATCTCAATGGAAACAACTGGGTATTTGGCGAGGTCGTGTGCCGGGCCACCACGGTCATCTTCTATGGCAACATGTACTGCTCCATTCTGCTCCTTGCCTGCATCAGCATCAACCGCTACCTAGCCATTGTTCATCCTTTCACCTACCGGGGACTGCCCAAGCGCACCTATGCCTTGCTAACATGTGGACTGGTGTGGACAATGGTTTTCTTATACATGCTGCCATTTTTCATCCTGAAGCAGGAGTACTATCTTGTCCAGCAAGACATCACCACCTGCCTTGATGTCCACAACACATGTGAGTCCTCGTCGTCCTTCCAGCTCTACTACTTCATCTCCCTGGCATTCTTTGGATTCTTAATTCCATTTCTGGTCATCATCTACTGCTACACAGCCATCATTTGGACGCTTAATGCAAAAGATCGTAGGTGGCTGTGGTACATTAAGGCGAGTCTCCTCACCCTTGTGATTTTTACTGTTTGCTTTGCTCCAAGCAATATCATCCTTATTATTCATCATGCGAACTACTACTACAGCGATGCCGATGCCTTATACCTTGTCTATCTCATAGCTTTGTGCCTCGGCAGCTTGAATAGTTGCCTAGACCCATTCCTTTATTTTCTCATGTCGAAAATCACAGATCACTCCACCACTTACCTTACAATGGTGAAATCATCTTAGAGAACAAGGAACGCTATTTGTGAAAAGATACATTCTTGAGGTAACATATGCATAGAGCTCTATTCTCCAGCTCCATTTTTGAGCTCCTAAAAAACAATGCTTCAAAATAAAGCATTACATATGCCTTAACTTTTTTTAAAAAAAGTGTCAGTGCAGGAGAAAAGATATCTCTACTGTATGGCAACTGACACATCTGCCTGACTGGTACTTCAAGCTCTTGAAAGATCTGTCTTCCTTACTTCTAAGAGATTTCTACTCTAGATGACTTGAAGGTTGAGGATGGAACAGAGGGTAAGGGTGCGGCGGGGGTGGTTAAGATCTCTGTTTTTAGTATCTGGCGTCATTTTTAATCCTTCTGCCTCCTCCAGCTCACTCTGTGTGTACAGAATCTCTCAGTACATCTGTCATCCAGGCCCACCTCTGCCTTCTAACCATCCTTCTCTCTCAGCCTGTCCTTCACTTTTCAGGCCACTGCTAGAGTTGCTGTTCTTTACTCACTAAGTCACGTCTGACTCTTTCGTGATCTCATGACCTGTAGCCTGCCACACTCCTCTGTCCACGGGACTTCCCAGGCTTATACTGGAGTGGGTCACCATGATTAATCTTTCCCAAATGCCAGTTTGAACATATCACTCAAATCTCCCAGTTCAGAAGCCTCCATTGACCACTCACTGCTTTGGAGTAAATTATAAAGATTCAGATTAGCATTCAGGGCTGACACTAATTTTATCTACCAAAAAACGCATGGGATGTAAGCAAGGCTGAGCTTCTCCCTCTGCTGTATACTACACGTCTCCTCATTCTGCCCCTGCCCCTCACTGGAAAGCTATTTCTAACAGGTTTGCCTTAATTCTTTCCATCTCTCGAAGTCCTCCAAGGGCCACTCTTCCATGACTATACAGAAGTTCATTTTCCTCATCTGAACCGTCGAAAAACTTCTTTTTGTATTTTTATTATGGCACTTTAGAGACCTCACTTGTACACAAACGTTAATTCCATGAGCCCTTACTAAGCACCATGTGCAGCACAGAAGGGGCTTGCCGTTTCCCTTCTTCAAGTTTCTAGCAACAATGCGAGGCCCCAGGTCTCCCCAGGGTCTGTGGGGCAAGGCTCCACGCTTTGCACATCCTGTGGCTGAATGAATGAAACAATAAAATCTCAAGGCCCCTAAACAGCATGAAAGCCAATTAAATTCATACTGAGAAGGCAAGGTATTCCATACGACAAGGGCATATTATTTCTGGTTGGCCACTTCAAAAAAAGAAAAAAAAAGAAAGCTAAGAATATATATTCAAGAGGTCATTTATAAGTGTAAAATATGGCTCCATTATTTTTGTCCTTAAACATAGGTTTTACGGGAAAATGATATTTTGTGATAATCTTTCCCTCAGTTTAGAGATCAGACAGAAGGTGATTATTAGTGGTTAAGGGCATAAAGGATTGTGAGATGAATTTTCATATCTGTAAGAACGTGCCTTGACCGTACACTTTGTAGTGCCCATCAAAACAATAAAAGACATTTAAATGCCAATTTAATGTGAGTGTGAGTGTGCAGAGTTTCCTATTTCATTGGACTTAGACTACAAAAAAATACAAAAATGCACACAAAGAACATTTACAATATCTGTGTGGTTACATGAGTAAAAATAAGGTGAACACTACAGCAAGCAAAAATAAAAAACTAAAATAAGCTTCAATATGACAAAAACCCCAATGGAAGGAACTGCTTTCTGCAAACTGCAAAATAATGAACTGTCATACAGTTTCACCTCCAGAAAAAAAATTCAACACTATTCACTAGTTAAAAGCATACTTAACTTTTATGCAGTAAACATATATACAGGAAAAGAGAACTTTTGGGGTGTATAATTCATATGCCTCCCCAAATTTGCAAGAAATGGTTTCAACTTAAAAATAACTGACAATTCAATGCTGCCAGTGACTAGACCTAAAAGTGTGCTCTCTGCAAACATATGCCAGGCCCACTTCCCAGCCTTTCCCTCAAGAAACGGAAGGAATCTGGTGCGTATGCAAGGTTATACCTGAAATACTGTTATCGAGGACCAAGAACTCTCATCAATTTACATCACTGTCCTCAATCTTTGATAAAACTGAGCATTCTACTAAGACATCATCCATTTTGACTCTTAATGGTTATATGCTTTGGCACAAGCTGTACTTCATACTGACAACACCAGTAATGTAATTTTCGTCTATTATTTTCCAAGGCTAGACTTTCAGAAAGTGAGGCACAGAAACAGCCCCAGAAACACAACTGAAAATTTACAGGTATCAAAACAGCAGAGTTTCAAAGACAAAGAGAGACTCCCACTAAATAACAGAATCAGGTCCCCCGTCCCCCGCCCCCCCCAGGGAAAGAGAATGCGCTGAGAAAACAATGTGTCAAAATGAAGGAGCAGAGAAAGAGAAATGCGTTTAAAGATGGCAACTTGACCAAATCAGATTCATCACTTGGGGCTGTAGTGTTTCATAATCTCTTGTGCTCAATCACTGCAGTCTGACTCTTTGTGACCTTGTGGACTGTAGCCTGTGAGGCTCTATTGTCTGGATTCTCCTGATAAGAATACTAGAATAGGTTGTCATTTCCTCCTCCAGGGGATTTTCCCGACCCAGGGATTGAGCATAGGTCTCCTGCATTGCAGACAGATTCTTGACTGTCTGAGCTACAAGCGAAGCCCTTTAATCGCTCAGTTAATGGCAATATATTGTAGTTCAAGCCTCTAATTTTATAGGTCAATGGTGGTTTAATGCCTGGGCTCTAGCTCGATTCCTAGGCTCTTATTCAGTGCTCTAATTACACTATTAGAGCACTGCTTTCACACTTAGGAGGCCTTCCCTGGGAGCTCAGCTGGTAGAGAATCCGCCTGCAATGCAGGAGTCCCCAGTTTGATTCCTGGGTTGGGAAGGTCCCCTGGAGAAGGGATAGGCTACCCACTCCAGTATTCTTGGGCTTCCCTTGAGGCTCAGCTGGTAAAGAATCCGTCTATGATGCAGAAGACCTGGGTTCAATCCCTGGAGAAGGGAAAGGCTATCCATTCCAGTATTCTGGCCTGGAGAATTCTATGCACTGTATAGCCCATGGGGTTGCAAAGAGTCGGACTTGACCGAGCGACGTTCACTTTACACTTAGGAGGAGACCCCAGAGGGAGGCAGCGCACAGACACCAGGGAGGCTTCTGAGTGTTTTGAAGAGGTGCTGTGGAATTGCACCTTGACCTGAAGTCCTGAGACTGGGCTGCTCAGGTGTGGACATCCACTGCTTGCCTATAAAGGTTTGTGGAGTCAGTCTCACCTCAAGGACAACCCCCACGTGGTTGTCAGCAGAGAAACCAGGTCTACCTCTATTTTGTACACAGAAGATCGCAATCGGTGACTGGAGCAGGCCTTGTGTCTAGTAAAGGCCTTGTGACGAAGACATCAACTCACCACCCGCTGATCTGCATGGCAGCTAGAGGTGCCCATAGCAACACTAGCTGCATTTCATAAACCCTTCTCTGGGGTGACATGCTCCATGTCAAACACTATACACTTATACATACATACATTATAATCAATGGAATTATGTGTTCATAGGGAATTATGTTATGTTAATGTATATTATTCATTTACTACATTATGTAATCATTTAGGCCTCACCATAATCCTATAAGGTAGGTACTATAATTTTAATTTTACATGTGAAAACCAAAGCATAAAGAATTTTAGTGACTTGAGTAAAATCCCTAGCTAATCGGTGGCAAAGCCAAGATCGAAATGGTTCCTGTCGGTCTCCAAAACTAGTAACTCTAGCTTCCAATGCTGTGTCACGTGCTACAGCCACAGCTACATCGGTAAGGACAGCAGGGGGCAGCCTGATCCTCCTCGCTGACGGGGTCTGCTCTCCCGGCTGGGATGTGGGGACACAAGGCCTGGCTTGAGCCTCACTCTCCCTACTTTTTTTTTTGGCATAGGTAAGCTCTTTTTTGGGATGACATGCTCCATGTCAAGTGCTATACACTTATACATACACATACTATAAAAAACAGAAATTCAATAAAAGTGAAAAAAAAATGCAAATCCTATTCATTCCATGCTACTAAACTGCCTCATTAGAGTTGAAGAAAAGTATTCCCCAAGGTAGAGCCTTCTGTCCTCCGAGACTTCCCTGGGATGGCACAGCCTTCCCCTCCGTGCTTTATGGATGCCTCACGTAACTCACCTTCATCTGATCCTCACAGCCACTGTTAGGGGGTAGTGATAATGACACTTAATTCACAGGGCTGTTATGACTTATTCTGAGGACTGTATTAGGTAATATACATAAAGTACCCACTATCATAGCTGCAAACAGCAGGTGCTCAATAAATGTTTGTCACAGTCAAAAATGTTCTTCCTGTTTCAGATGAGGCAGTTCCTGGGTTGTAAACAAGATGGCCACTCTTTGGGGTTGGATTTGCACCTGGGGAAATGACAGCCACAAGTGGCTAAGTCCCAGGGAGCACCAGGAAACAGTTCTTCCCGTCCACTCAGTTCTTCCCAGGGTGGCCAGTATCTACGGGATATCCCACAACCATAGCATGAGCTCTGCGCCAGGTGAAACCCTCCGCCCTGCAGTGGGACCTGGGACCTGGCCAGGTCAGTTTCCTCCTGTGCCTAGAACAAGCCAAGCTGGTGCCCACATAGCCCTGCCATTACCTGCTTGCATCATCCAGCTCCCACCCATCAAACCAACTCATCCTTACCCTTCGGGATCCGCTCCTGATCTACCTCCACACCAGCCTATCTTAGGATTCCAGTCCACAGCAACTCCATCTCTGAGTCACTCTGAGCATTCCTCATTTTGACACTTGGCCACCATACTCACTTCCACTGCTATTGATTTTATGTGGGAATGCCCTCTGTCTCAGGAAGTTTCTAAGCCTCTTGAGGATAAGGACAGACCATTCGAACAGTATTGTGTGTTCCTTTGATTCCCCCCTCCCCCTCTCTCCCCAAACTGGTCTGTAAATTTAAAAGAAACACACCTATTATCTAAACAGAGTTGAAATTATATATATGTGTGTGTGTGTGTATATATGTATATATATATTTGTATATATATATATATATATATATGTGTATATATATATATATATAGTCTTTTTTGAATTCTTTTCCATTATAGGTTATTATGAGACATTGAACACAGTTCCCCATGCTATATAGTAGGTCCTTTGGGATTAAAATATGCACACTACTATATAAAAAATAGACAACTAACAATAAATAAATAAATAAAACACAACTACTAAGACTTACCATGTATTTCTGTCTTTTAGCCTGGTATAAAACATCCTGGTAGTGATGGGCAAAGTCAGGATCCACATTTTTAATCTTAGCAGTGGGTAATAGCAGGCTATCTAAAGTTTTCAAAGGATCCCCTTCATCAATGGCTTCATTGATGTATCCCACAGCTACAACTCCTAGAAAATGAAGGAAAAGAATTCCTTTTAAGTCACAGTACATCATAAGTTTTCTTGAATCACCTATAGCAAAGATCAAGGTAGAAAGGGGGGCTGGGGAGACCACACATACACACAAACTGCAAGAGCTAATAAACAACTACAGCTGAGGCTTACATAGGCTTCCCCAGTAGCTCAGCAGGTAAAGAATCCGCTTGCAATGCAGAAGACCCTGGTTGAATTCCTGGGTTGGGAAGGTCCCCTGGAGAAGGGATGGGCTACCCACTCCAGTATTCTTGGGCTTCCCTGGCGGCTCAGATGGTAAAGAATCTGCCTGCAATGTGGGAGACCTGGGTTCGATCCCTGTTTGAGAAGAACCCCTGAAGCAGGGCGTGCAACCCACTAGAGTCTTCTGGCCTGGAGAATTCCAAGGACAGTGGGGACTCACACAGAGTCGGACATGACTGAGCAACCAAACACAGCACACAAAGCTTACACAGTAGGTCAAGGTACTGAAGTCAGTTATATCTTTCTACAATTGCAATGCGCAATCTGAAAACGAAATTAAGGAAAAATTCCACAATAGATTCCAATTACAAACACATGACAAAGAGAATAATAAACACTTAGGAATAAATTTAACAAAACTAGGATGAGACATATTTACTGAAAATTATGAAAGACCATTGAAAAAAAAGATGATCTAAATAAAGGGAAAAATTATCCCACGTTCACAGATCAAAACACTTAATACTACACTAAGATGGCAGTGCTCTTCAAATTGATCTACAGATTCAATGCAACCCCTATCAAAATTCCAGCTGCCTTTTTTTTTTTTTTAAACAGAAATTGACCAGCTGATTCTAAAATTCATATGAACATGCAAGGGGTCAAGAAATAACCAATGTAATGCTGGGGGGAAAAAACAGATTAGGTGGACTTTCTAATTTCAAATTTACTACAAAGCTACACTTAATACTGCATGGTACTGATATAAACATAAATCCATAGGTTAACGGAATAGAATTTAGAGTTCAGAAATAAATCTTTACATCTATAGTCAACTGATATCTGACCAAGACAATGCAACAGGTAAATAAGTCTTCATAACAAATGGACCCAGACAACAGAACGTCCTCCACATAAGAATGAAGTTGGACTCCCTTCATTGCATCACACACAAAAGTTAACTCAATGTGGAATACAGACCTAAACATAAAAACTTAAACTCTAAATTTTTAATCTCTTAGAAGAAAAGTAAGAGTGAATCTTTGTGGCCTCGTGTTAGGCAATACTTTTGACCTATAAACACCAAAAACATAAACAAAAAAAGGAACAAAGGGATGTTGTAAAAATTAAACCTTTAAGAGGTACATGCTATTATGTATAAAATAAGCCACAAGGATATACTGTACAACACAGGCCATGTAGCCAGTCTTCTAAAGTAACTATAAAAGGAATGTAACCTCTAAAAATTGTGAATCAATATATTAAATAGCTGTAACATGTAATGTGTGCATCAACAATAAACATCTGTAACTTATATAATTTGTATGTAAACTATAATTCAATAAAAAATAGCTAAACCTGTTATGCTTCCAAGGACACCATCAAAGAAAGTGAATAATCTACAGAACAGGAGTAAATACCTATAAGTTCTGTATCTGATAAGAAACCTTAGGTACTTGATACACAAGAATATCAAATAAATAAAGAATTTTTATAACTCAACAATAAAAAAGAAAACCCAATTTAAAAGACGTAAAGGACTTGATCAGATATTTCTTTAAAGAAAATATACAAATGGCAAATAAGCACATGAAAAGATGGTCAATATCACTAGTTATTAGGAAAATGCAAATGTAAATCACAACAAAATACCACTTTATAGCCACTAGGATGGCTATATTGAAAAAGACAAACAACAACAAGTGTTCTGAGAATGGGGTGAGACTGGTGGTGGGAATGGAAAACGGCAGTCACTTCGGTAAACAGGCAGTTCTTTAACATACCGAACATACAGCTTCCATGTGATCCAGTAGTTCCACTGCTAGGTATCAAGGGAACTGAAACCTTATGGCCACACAAAAGCTTACACATGAATGTTTATAGAAGCAGTATTTACAAGAGCTAAAAAGTAGAAACAACCCAAATACCCATCAACTGATAACTGGATTAACAAAATGCATACCCATAGAATAGAATGTTACTTGACCTAGAAAGTAATATGAAGTATAATGATACATGATACAATACAGATGGACCTTGAAAACCTTATGCTAAAAGAAAGAAGCCAGACACAAAAGGCCCCATATTCCATGATTCTCTTTATATGAAATACCTAGAATAGGAAAATCCATAGAATCAAAGTAATTGGTCATTGTCAGGGGATGGCAGGATAAGGAAAAGGGAGTGACTGCTAATGGGTACAAAGTTTCTTTCTGAGGTGATGAAAATGTTCTGAATTTAGATACTAGTGATGTTTGCACAATTTTTTAAATATATGAAAGCACCACAAAAACACAATAAAATGGGAAATTTTATGGTATATGAATTATATCCCAATAAAGGTGCTGTAAAAACAGGAGATAATGTTGGCCCATGGAACTTGTTAATTCAGTATCAACACAGTTTCTCTAGATTTCAATAAAAAGAGAAAGGAAGTAATATGAAAAATAAAACAGGAGATAACTGGACATACAAGTAGCAGCAGAGATACTCATTTCTAGTGTAAGCCTCACTTAGATAATAATGCCAAGTACTGCTGCTTGACAGAATCAGAGAATGCCAGGGCTAGAAGAATTTACTGTAAAGATGTACAGAAAAGAAAACAGAATTGCAAAGAGATTTGGATATGCATTCTATTATTTGGTTTACTCTACTTCACCACTTTGTAAAGAACACCGAAGAGACAGTTCAAAACCAAACAATTTCCTGTAGTGTTAGTAGAGTGACTTTCAAGGTTAATATAGTCCAGTTCTGTCCAGTGAATGTTCTGTGATGGTGAAAATGTTCTGGGCCATCCAATATGGCAGCCATTAGCCACACGTAGCTAATGAGCACTTAAAATACGGCCAGTATAACTGATGAATTAAGTTTCAAATTTTATTTACTGTTAATTAGTTAAAATAACCACATGTAGCCGGCAAGTGTAGGTAGGCTCCATAGAAATTACCAAAGTCATGCTTGTTTGGGGAAATTTTTAAGGTTCAAGTATGACTAATCAACATCATAAATTCTCTAATACCATCTGGGAAAATAACATCTGGAACCCTTTGGATGTACCAAAGGGTTTAAATATCTACCAATTTAAACTTCTACTATCTCTACTATACACAGGGTCTTAGGACAGAGACTGTAAGGTCCAGAAATGAAAAGCGCAGAAGTCACGTCATGCAGATGGAAAAGTATTTGAAAGTCTAGCAAAAGGGACCTATTTGGAGGCCGCTTCTCAATACTATGTTATTCTTAAACTATAAATCAGTCATAAGATACTACAGTGTATGTATGCATGGGTATATTATTCATGAATATACATGCACAAAAGTACACATGGACACGTACATACCTTCACATACTAACAGGGGACCTCTGCTTCCCAGGTGAGTGCTCATGGACAAGAATTACTAAAGAAACTAAACATTAACAAGCAGTAAGCTTAGAAAATAAACATACTTAAAGTCAAACATTATCTCATTCTGTCAGTTATTTTTCAACAAAAACAGTCAGAAGCCACTCTATATGATATGCTATGAAACAGAATATATCATTTTAATTTTTAAGAAGCATCTTCATCTTGACATTCAAATTAAGGTAAATTGTTTAGCTAAGTTATCTCCTGAATAAAATACCCCACAAAGACCATTGTTAAGAATGAAAAAAATCTATAGGAGGAAAGGGACTTTCTAAAATGCCTAGAAATTATTCCAGATTATAGTACTCCAGTATGTTGGAAGAAGCAGCAAAAATACTTCTCTAATGTACAAGTTAGGTTATCTCAAAACATTGGAAGAATTTGGGAAAGGCCAAGTACTAGCCACATACAAGGTATTATCACTTCACCCTGTAAAATTTATTAACTGGAGAGCATGGAACACTTATGTCATTCTCTCAACATCCCCTTGGGTCTACTGTTCTAAATATTTTAAAAATCCTACTCAAGAATGATCTTTACAGAACTACCTCTGAGAAAGAGAATGTGTGTACCTAATGGCCGATCACCTGGGAATGAGTGCCGTCCAGCTGACTTGATTGAAATTATCTGCTTAAGTTTTTGGTGTGTTTATAGGAACACAAGCTGCTGATGTCATAGTCAATGACCTCATAGGGGCTGAAAAACCTTCCCAGAAGTCCCTTGGGCACATCTGCAGCATGTTCTCTGTTCATACATAAAGAGAAAATCCCACTTGGGCAAAGATTGTTGAGCCTCAACTCATGGCCCACTTATTTGAATCATCATATGATACTATAACATTCTAGTCCAACAAGAGGGTGGGCATTTCCTTAAAGATGTTGTCAGTATTTGAGACACTACCGTCTCAGTGAGATAACTGACAAAGAATGGTACCTACCAAATTTAAAAAGCAAAAATTCACAGGAAGAAAACCTTGTCTAAGCTCTCTGGTCAAACTAATGCTCCACTAAGGTTCGACTGGGAAAAGGAAACTTTCCATTAAGAAATCAGTAGAGCATCCAACTCTGAGGAAATGCATTTAACAGCTTCTCCATTCAATTCAGCTTTCACATCTCCCATCAGCAGCATACCTCATCCACACCACAATTTAGACATGGGATTAGACCCTGGAGTGTGTGGCAGGGGTGAGGTGTGGAGAGCAATGCACTTTCAAGATGTCCATGAAAACCTCTCAGCTCTTTCAGATGATTTAATTTCTATATTACGCAATTCAGGCCTGGCAACGGTATATTTAATTTAGATTTTAAAGCAATCACCTAAACAGATGATGTCCAACTCAGCATTTCAAGTGTGCTAAGTCGTGTCTGACTCTTTGCAACCCCATGGACTGCAGCCCACCAGGTGCCCATGTGCATGGGACTCTCCAGGCAAGAACACTGGAGCGGGTTGCCATTTCCTTCTCCCAATACTCCAAGAACTCTAAGCAAAAATACCCCATTTTGACAAAACAACACACCAAAACAGAGAGAAATTAAATCTTTTATATTAAGTCCCCTAGAACAGATATATTAGTCTCTAGATGGCTAAACTAAGATCATGGCATCCTGTCCCATCACTTCATGGCATATTTGATGGGGAAAACATATCTATTGATGGGGAAACAGTGGCTGACTATTTTTCTGGGCTCTAAAATCACTGCAGATGGTGACTCCAGCCATGAAATTAAAAGATGCTTACTCCTTGGAAGGAAAGTTATGACCAACTTAGATAGCATATTAAAAAGCAAAGACATTACTTTGCCAATAAATGTCTGTCTAGTCAAGGCTATGGTTTTCCAGTAGTCACGTATGGATATGAGAGTTGGACTATAAAGAAAGCTGAGTGCCGAAGAATTTATGCTTTTGAACTGTGGTGATGGAGAAGACTCTTTGAGAGTCCCTTGGACTGCAAGGAGATCCAACCAGTCCATCCTAAAGCAGATCAGTCCTGGGTGTTCACTGGAGGGACTGATATTGAAGCTGAAACTCCAATACTTTGGCCACCTGATGCGGAGAGTTGACTCATTTGAAAAGACCCTAATGCTGGGAAAAATTCAGGGCAGGAGGAGAAGCGGACGACAGAGGATAAGATGGCTGGATGGCATCACTGACTCAATGGACGTGGGTTTGGGTGGACTCCAGGAGTTGGTGATGGACAGGGAGGCCTGGCGTGCTGCGGTTCATGGGGTCGCAAAGAGTCGGACACAACTGAGCGACTGCACTTAATTGAGATGGCTACAAGAATGTGATAATTGCTGTATGATACATCTCGTGGAGAATAACTTAATAGTACAGCTACTTAGATAAATGCCGCACAGATCTAAAGCAATTTTGCTTTAAAGTATTCACCTGGGACTTCCCTGCTAGTGCAGTGCATAAGAATCCACCTGAAAATGCAGGGGGCGCAGGTGTGATCCCGGGTCCAGGAAGATTCTGCATGCGGCCAGCAAGTACATGCCGCAACTGCCAAGCCTAGGCAACCAGAGTCTGTGCTCTGCAACGAGAGGAGCTATCGCAATGAGAAACCCGGGCACCACAAGGAAGAGCAGCCCCTGCTCGCCATAACTAGAGAAAGCCTGCAGGCAGCAACAAAGAATCAGTGCAACCAAAAAAAAAAAACAACCCAAAAAGTATCCACCTACAAGGAAATCACTGGCGGTCCAGTGGTCAGGACTGCATACTTTCATTGCTGAGGGCGCTGGTTAAATCCTGGATTGAAGAACTAAGATCCCACAAGCGGTGTGGTATGCCCCCCGCTCCCCGCCCAATTCACCCACAAAAGACCACTTTCTTTTAAAATTATATACATGTTACGGTTTTTCTTTTCTTGGTAAAAGCAAAGGCTCTATCTGATCATCTGGGACGAAAAATGGCAGGTCCCTCCTCTCTCCCCCTTGTCAGTGTCAAGAATGAGAATAAAACTACATTCATTCAGCACTGAGAATTGATACCTCTTCACCTGTATCAACAGGACATACAGAAAACACCAAAGCAAACTTGGATTGCACATACTGTCACAAAGAACAGGGAAAATGTTAGAAAACAAAGATGCAACGTAATCTTGTGCTTTGCCGACATTTGAATGGCCTTAGCCAAAGCACCCAAACCATGGCTGCACCCTGCAAGTGTGGAGCTAGGGGGCCAAGGAGGAAGGCAGGAGGCTGGGGGCCTGAGCTTTGCAACAGGACACACATACCAGTGCCACGCCCCACACCCTGACCCCCCCACTGATGATGCTGAGCATCTCCTTAAACTAGTGCTTTCCTCATAGCTAACATCTGGTGAGGACCACCAGCTCCCCAACCAACAGGCCAGAAAATAGCCAAGTGTGTGGAGCATCAGCTGTCTGATGGCAGGATCCCCAAATGCAGAGAGGCAACACAAAGTCCTGCAGTCACAAAAGGGGAAGCAGATCTGCAGACAACTCTTGAAAAGGACAAAATGAAAACAAGTTCAGCAATCAGTCTAACAGTGGCATCTATGGTACGCCACGTCTAGGCAGCACCCTTGGACCCTGCTTTCTATGAGAGGTCTAGAGTGAGAAGTTGTTTAGCCAAAAAGTAAACCTGGCCTTGATATTGGGCACAGGGTTCATAGGAAGTCATAAAGAAAGCGAAGAAAACTCTGCAAATGCAATGAACAAAGGCAAATGTTTTATCTCCAGTGACTGTAGTATAACAAAATGAGATACAGTATTAGAAGACCAGATCTAAGAAATTAAACAAACTAGAACAAAACATTGTAAACTTTTGCTATGTTTATAAAGAGTAAGCATAGAGCTTAAACATTTGTATCTTTTTTATAAAATTTTTAAATGTTACTTTTCACTTACAGGTATTACAAAACATCGGCTTTATTTCCCATGTTGTAAGTACATTCTTAAGCCTATCTTATACCCAAGAGTTTATACTTCCCACTCGCCCCTCCCACCTTCCCTCTCCCCACTGGTAACCACTAGTTTGTTCCTCAGAGATCTGTGAATCTGCTTCTTTTTTTGTCACATTTGCTAGTTTGTTGTATTATTTAGATTCCACATATTAGTGATCTCAGACAGCATTTGCCTTTCTCTATATGACATTTCAGTTAGCATAATGCTCTTCTAGCCCATCCATATTGTTGTAAATGGCAAAATTTTATTCTTTTTTGTGGCTGAATAGTATTCCATCACACAGACACTACATCTTCTTCATACATTCATCTGTTGACGGAGACATTTAGGTTGTAAAACCTTAGGAAAATAAACTAGGACAAAACATTCTGAGAGCTCCTAAGTTCTAGAAATACAGCAAATCACCATGACTTGAGATCATAAACAACAGTTAGACTGTGTTGTAATTTCTTCTTAGAGCAGAAATATGTGTCCTATTTCAGAATAATACCCCAATGAAAGGTCAAAATAAAGCTGAGTGCTTAAAAAACTGAGTTCTTCAGAGCAGTCATTTCCCAAGTGTGCGTGCACTCAGTCGCGCAGTCATGTCCAACTCTGCGACCCTCTGGACTGTAGCCCACCAGGCTTCTCTGTCCTTGGGGCTTTGCAGGCAAGAATACTGGAGTGGGATGCCCTTTCCTTCTCCAGGGGAGTTTCCTGACCCAGGGATCAGACCTGCAGCTTCTGTGTCTCCTGCATTGCGGGCAGATTCTCTACCTGCTGGGCCATCAGGGAAGCTCAAGTAAAAGGAAATTTTAAAAGTTAGGACTTGTATTTATGTATTTTATTCTATTCTTTTATGTTTTATGTTTACTTTGTAATGTTTATAACATACTGGGATAGTAGTACAGAAATAACATTTATACAGAAATAACATACATACCTGTAAGAAGAACGTTTTCTCATAGGGCTCCATGAGCAAAAGATTGGCAGCCCTAACCTAGGGATCCGTGCTGTCCAGCTACCTGATTCTCCCACCCTAACCAGAGAAGGAAACTCTGCCATACTCACGGTCATTCTCTTCTTGAATTTCAACATTAACCATATCGATACAATTCTGAATTTCATTCCAGCTTAAGCTATCTTGCCCTTGGGATAAGGCTTCCAGTTTAATGCAGAGAAGTGCATTTGCATAACTGTAGAAGAGAAAGCAAGCAAGACGCCTATCAGAGACAGTCATTCTTTGTTCATGTTACGTTTCTTAAATTTGGCAAGCATCTTAAGTTTGACATGCACGGCCCAATGTGACGTTATAAAGTTAGAGTAGAAAGGCAAGTAAAATTGTCTTGTGCAGCTTTGTCGACATAAACCAAGCTCATTTAGACTAATGATGTTGTTTTTGTCCTTAAAATATTTCCAGGCACAAATGTTTTTTAATAAAAAGTTCCTCAAATTCCAATCGTGTATTTATCTCAAGCAAAGAAACCTGAACATCCTTAACTTTGTGAAGTTACTAGTTTTTTTTTAGTAACTATTTTTCCTTCCCTTTGAATGTCTTGGTTCTGCTCAGACTCCAGACGACTATTATGATATAAAATTCAGAATTACCATGGCTTCTAATCTTTCCATCAAGGGTCCTTTTTTTTTTTCTCCTTCCTTTGACAAATCCAAGCCTTGAGGGCACCCCCCACCTTTTTTTTTTTTTTTTTACTGTAACCCTAACATAGCTGGGTTACCTTGTAGCCTAATACATACACCCAAATGACAAATAAATCAAATGAAACTGCAGTTCCAGAAGCCTTGGTGAAGATCATGTGTCTTCACTGCCTGTTTTCTTGACGAGGTGGTGCGTGAGCTGAACCAGAGTGTGCTGGAATCCCTTCCTCACCTGCCCACTGCTCAGGCTTCACACAGCTGCTACCCTGCTGCTGCGTCTGCTCCCTGTCCCCCCACTCCCATGCCTCAATCGGACCCCTGCCCCTCCTCGCCTTCTGGAAAACAGAACTCGGTCAATGCTCTGAATATTTTTCTTGTCTTGAGAAATTTGGGGGAAAAAGATAATCCAATAATTCACCTTGACATGTTACTAAGAGACTTTTGTTTCTTAGTCAGCAATTTTCCCACTTTAAATTACAGAAACAACGTTACAGCCATAAGCTAACATGAGTAAGTTATTCCAGGCCAAAGTATAGAAACCCAGTCGTTTAATTTGCTTGTGCATCTTTATACCAGAGAAGTAAAGACCAACCCTCTATGTATATACTGATTTACTTTGCAATTTGACTTCTGAATAGAACCAATAGATTTACAGCCGAGGTTCAAAGAAGTAACACTACATGGACTCTATAACTGTTTTCTCATTGTGACAGGTTTTCTCAAAGTTCTGCACACTCCCGGGTGGCACTGAGATGTCCTCCACTGGATGTAGCTTGAAAGAAAATTATCATTCAGAATAGGAAGTGGTGGGGAGGACTCATTTTCTGTGTCTGAACAAGGCATTACCAAACACAGGCTTGAAAGTATCTCAAGGTCCTGTGTGAGATTCTCATCTTATCAAGAGTTATAAACCTAAGAAAACACTTTTCTACACTTGCATGCATGCAAGTCACTTAAGGCACGTTTGACTCTTTGCAACCCTATGGACTATAGCCCACCAGGCTCCTCTGTCCATGGGGATTCTCCAGGCAAGAATACTGCAATGGGTTGCCATTTCGTTTTCCAGGGGATCTTTCCAATCCAGGGATTGATCTGGGTCTCTTTCATTGCAGGCAGATTCTTTATCATCTGAGCCACCAGGAAACCACTTATGAGTAGCAATATATAATAAATAACACTGACCACGATGATAATGGATAAACGGCAACTTGCACTCACTAGTATCCATTATAGATGGGGACCATTCTATAAGAAAGTGCAAAATCCTTTCAGGCATTTCACATATCTGACATCTAAATGCTGACACAGTGGGAATAAAATGACAAAGCTTAAGGATGAACAGAGGGAAAAAAGTAAAATCCACACTCACCCACCATTTCCTCATAAATGAACAAATACTAGCAAAAGGAAAAAAAATACGATGAAAACACACCAGAGCTCCACAGGCTTTCTGTATGAGAACTAGCCTCCAGCACTAAGATGCCAACTTTGGGTATGCTGTAGTTTACCCAACAGGACTATGTCTTCTCCCTTCCCACCTTTCTGAGAGTTCCCTTTGGTGTCTGCTATGGTTAGACTAGTAAGATTACCTTTCTAACACTCTTGGGGAACTTTGAAGAAGACTAAAATGTCAGCTTCATTCAGCAGATGCTTATGAAGTACAAACTATGGACAAAACCTGTGGCAGGCACTATAAGGAGACCGGAAGGGACAAGATGCAGCAATTATCTCAAGGAGCTTTCAGCCCATTGCGCTAAGTCACTTCATTTGTGTCTGACTCTGCGCTCCGATGGACTGTAGCCCACCAGGCTCCTGGTCCATGGAGTTTTCTAGGCAAGAACACTTGCACCACGTGGGGACCCTTTCAGCCCATTAGATAAGATGAAAAAAAAAAAAAAAAACTCAAATAGGGTATAACAGCAGAGCACGGGAAAAGTCATAAAATTAGAGGTTGTGCATACGAGTGGAAGTAACGGAGTTCCAAGGAAGGAGAAGGAGACAGAAACCCTTTGTGAGGGAGCACCTGGCCTGGGACAGGCTCATAAATGTTCTGCAAATACAGAGGAGGTGCTTTTGTGGTGTGTGAGTTTCTGTGCTTTACAGATGAAGAGACAGAGGCTTGGCTAGGAAGAGTCAAGCAGATTATTTTTGGTTCCAAGGCTATGTTCCTTTAACCACATCATGTTAGTTCTCTGAAGAGATGACATTAGCTGGGGTGGGAGAAGCATGGAACTCATGCCAGAAGCATCCTTGCTGGCAAGGACGGCTTGGGCACTCCAGAGCTGTGTGAGGTGGAGATGGGTGACAGGCACTGTGTCCCTAGTGGTGAGACAAGTGTGCTTATGAGCGGATAAGCCAGAAGGAGCAGAGTGTGTCTGGATCCAGCTTGGCTGAAGTGCAAAAGACAAGGAGGACTGTAGCTAGAGCTAAGGGCAGAACATCACGTTGAGGGTAATTCAGATGAGAACAGAGGACAGTCGTATGGAGGCGCATGATAAACCTAAGTACACTTTAGAACAATTAATCTGGGAGCACTGTGTGCCCAGAGCCAATGCCAACCCTGTATCACTCTTGTGAGAATTGGACAAAAGAACCTTTCTGGGAAAACAGAGTTCCAAGGGCAGAAGCCATGGTAAACTGGTAGAGACCTTGTAAGAATTCAGCCAGGTGGCCCTGCCCAGCACCCGTGTACAATGAAGGAGTTATAAGACCATAAAGGAGAGCTATAGTGTTTCTTAAAGTTGAAAACCTGCCAACTTGGGCTTCCAAGTACTTTGCTAAAAGCTAGCATGGAAACTGAAATGTTGAGGCTGTAGAAGACCACTTGAGACCAATGCAACGATCCATATAAGAACCAAAGAGGCTCAAGAAACTCCTGTTGGTATTGGGCCATCCAGGTGACCTGGAAAGTGCTAAAATTTGTGATTTTATTTTAAAATAAAAATTTAAAAGTATTTCATACAGAATATTTTTACTCTAAAGTTTATTCGTGTCCCCAGTTGAAAATCACAGGTATAAAAGTGGTTCTCAGATGGGGTGTGGGTCCATTTCCTTAATGGGTTATTTGTAAATTGAGAAAGAGGAAGAGAGGATTTTTAATAATCAAAGTGGGTGATTTGGAGGGAGGGGGTACTGTCATTTAGAGAGAGGTGGCAGGGATGCTCTGTGTCTTGAAAATGATCTCATCAACAAGTCCCGTTAGACCATTAGGTTTCATAAGGAAGTGACCAACCCTGCCTTCTCTAACACTGAGAAAGCAGAAAAGCACAGTTAGAAAAGAATGAATGAGGACAGCAAAGACAGATCAAGACCAATTTGGAGGTCATTTCAAAAGCAAAAGTAAAATGTCTAAATGAAGTGGTCACTGGGAAGTGGAAACATTATGCAGAGGTACTGTGCACACATACTGGCTACGGTCTGGGAAAAAAGTGAGCAGGCTATTCATAGCTCAAGGGTGTCTCACAGAAGGCAGAGAAAAACTCAAGTTAACTGGAGGTTTCTAAGCTTGCGGGAGAGGAGGGTGCCATTAATATAAACAGTAGAATTTGAAATAAACTACCTTGGAAATAGACTCTAAGGAGTTATAGAAACCAAGTCATCAAATTAAGTTGCCTAAGAACATCAGTTTTTCCAAGATGACCAAAAACAAGGGAAGCCCACTGTTCTACTAGGGCTTCCCTGGTGGCTGTTCTATTACTTTGGGGCCGTTCTCTACATAGACAAGTGGTCAAATACTATTTAAAAAAATCTAGCAAGTCTTTATTTCTCCTGTATGACTGTACTTCACTCGAGAATTAGCTACTTCAGCAATTCCAGAACCAGACAAGTGCTTTTGTCAAGATCTATGCAGACATCTCCCCCTGGTGGTCACAAGAATCCAAGATGGACATTCACACTATCTTGGGCTTCTGTCTTAACCTCTAATAGGTCTCACATCCAGAATGGCAGGGTTCACTCTGGTGACATCCACCTCTGTATGAGTCTTCCTTTCCCTCTGTCCCTTTTGCTTAAGCAAAGGAAGCTGCTCAAAGATAGTCTGAATCCTTGATCATCCATAACTGCTCACTTAAAAGTAAAATGAGGGTTTCCCTGGTAGCTCAGCTGGTGAAGAATCTGCCTGCATTGTGGGAGACCTGGGTTTGATCCCTGGGTCGGGATGATCCACTGGAGAAGGAAATGGCTATCCACTCCAGTATTCTTGCCTGGAGAATCCCATGGATATCTGCTGTAGTGTTTTTGATTCTATCAACTGTATTATCAAGTAGCTTATTTCAGGAACAAGAAATGAAAGACATTAAGTTGAGATCGTGACCCACTGTCATAAGCCACTGGGGCCTCTGGAGTCCGGTGGTTTAACCATCAGAAGAATGAGGTTCGAAGTTCAGCTGCCCAACTTTGGGTCCTCAAATCCAGATTCAGTTTCCTCACCAGTAAACTAAGAAACCGATTATTAAGGCTGCTTCCAACTCTTCTACATTCTGTTATTTTCTAAAGAAGCCCAAGGGAAGTTACGCATTCAACATTTATTTTATTTAAGCCTATCAATTTTTGCTAATAATATAGACAGTAAGGAACTGCCACGGGATGCTCCTTCTTAGACTCTGTTCCTATAAAAGGAAAACTGGGAAGAAGGATTCAAATATTTAAAAGGCTCTTAGAACAAAGTAGACTAGCTTTTAAGAAAATGAGCATGGCAAAAAAAAAAAAAAAGTAAGCATGGCTATATGGATTTCTTGAGAAAGGAATAAACCGTTCATCTGTGAGGTCTGCCAAACACACATCTTGGCACTGAAAGGAATTGAAAACGTCACCTTACCGTTCCACACACGTCTCGTCCAGATTGTTAAAGCCTATTGTCGGGCTTCTAAGTTGATTCTGCACAGACACAAGATCGCTGCTCTCCAAGGCCTGGTTGAGTAAAGCTACAGCAGATAGCATTTCCACTGCAATCAAGAGCTCCTCATGGGCCAAGTAGTTCTGTTAGGAAACATATGGTAATATAAGCTCCCCACATTCACACACCGCATGTATGTGACGGGGCTTCAGAAGGTTCACTTCAAAGAGTACAGAAAAGTCAGAGGTTGTGAGAACCCAGGACAAGGAGGGCTGCTTGGTCATCTATTTTTCATTGGCTTTCAAGAATAGGTCAGCAGCTTCTGGATTTTCCTTAGATGCTTGTCTGGGGAACTGAGTTAATTACCATCCTTGGTTATGGCTCCATAAACATCTGCATGGCCGCAGCCTATTCCTACCTGCAGCTATGGCTGCCAACAGGCTTAGTCTTACCAAAAATTAAGCCACCGGTTGGATAACATCGTTACTGTCTAAGTGCAAAGTAAGACATCAGTATAACTAACGACTTTCAGTTTTAACTAAGGGTAAGGAAAAGGGGAGAATTTTACCTAAAGATGATAACCCTGGAAAAGTAAATCAAAGTCATCAGGCAGTATTGATTTTAATTTTTAAAAGTTAGTCTAAGTCACATTTTTAAAAATGGGTAGAAATTTTACACATATTCTAGGGTCTAGATATTTGAAGAAATGTGACGCAAATCTTAATGAAAAGCAGGTAAGGATTAGGCTAATTTACAAAATACATCTCAGGTTACAGAATGCCCCTTTCACCATTCTTTTCCTTTTAACCATTTTATACCAACTTGGCCCAGCTTCAAAAGGGTTATTTCTTCCATCCTATTGAAGGAACATAGAGGAAGCATGAAAATAAATTTTTTAAAACTCTGATATCTATCTTTACATTTAGGATATTGTATATTTCGTATGTATAATATTTACACCAAAATGTACTATAGCTTTCTGGTTCTCCACGGAAATTTCACAGTGAATTGATTTCAGATTAACAAAGACCAATTTTATGTTCCAAAGCAAATGGGAAGAAGGGTTTTTATAGGGAACATGTAAGTTTTATCCAAAGACCTTTCATTAACTGTGAGTTTAACATAGAAAGAAGGTATCAAATTACAAGTAAAAAGCAGAATGGAATCATTTGAGATTCACCACAAATACCTAAAGTGGTATACAGCCAAAAAGATGAAGACAAATAAAGAAGAAATGGATGAATGTGCTAGAGTGTAAGTTGCTTTAGGCCTCAGAGTTAGAGAAATGGGGACAATATTAACAAGAGAACCTATAGGCAGTTTAAAGAAATAACTTATTTTTCTTTTATTACAAAATATAGTTGACCACTGAGCAACACCAGAGTTAGGAGCGCTGAACCTCCACGCAGTCCAAAATCTCCATATAAATTGTTGTTTAGTTACTAAGTCGTGCCCAGCTCTTTGTGACCCCATGGACTGGAGCCCACCGGGCTCCTCTGCCCCCATGTAAACTGTTCCTCCATATGCTCATCCTTCTGAATCCTAGTTTCTGCATCCTCGGATTCAACCAACTGTGTATCATATTGTACTATAGTATTTATTATTGAAAAAAATTCACATACAAGTGGTATGCACAGTTCATACTGTAATACCTATTTATAAAGCACTGTAAGTCTTAATAAGCAAGGATAAGAAAACAAACCCTACTACCCAAGGCCTTTCGTGACACACACTTTCGTTAATTTTTAACTCATGCAAACATTTACAGAGACTTTGGTTTTTTAAACTATTTTCCTTTTCTGATTGCAAAAAACAAGATAATGCTATATATTTCAACCTCATTTTCTCCACTTAATAGTAGGGTGTGCAGCCTGTTACTAGTTGAACATATGATTTGTTTCCTTCTCTCAGTTCTATAGATAATACTGTGAAACATCCCTGTATATTTGTGAGTTGCCTGTTTATGCTTCATGCTTTCCTCCTCTTTGTTTTTTGGCAGAGCACTACTGTTTTTGATTTTAAGATCCAATATCCTTCCATGTTTTTTCAGAACTTTAATTTTTAAATGATTTTTTACACATAAACTTTCATATTGGAAATGTATTCTGTTATGTGTAGTGAGGTAATGTTTTCTTTCCCAAATGATTAAATGCTTTTAAGGATTTCATTTCTTTTCCCATGTCTTTGAAATATTAGCTCCTTCATACATTAAGTTCTTGGCACTGCCTTTAGTATTTTTCACTCTGTTGCATTGCTTAGGTTAATCCTGTACTAGTAAATATGCTCTTATTTACTGTAACCTTATATGATTTTACTGCTTAACTCCATTAACATAGGAAGAGCAGACACTGACAAAAATCAAGCCATGGTGCTAATGCTCTTGGTTGCAGATTTCTGGAAATCTAAATCAAGAAAGTTACATATTTAAAAAAAATTTCAGTCTGTTATTAAATTATACCAAGTTTTTAAAAAATCACACACAAAATAAGAACAACTAGTTTTCAATGTGTATTTGTGTAGAGCCCTGACTGCATTTCCTAACTATGCTCTCAGATTCTTTAAAGGGATGAAAGGCAGGAGTTAAAGAGGAAGGTGGTGTGGAATTGGTACAGGGAAGCCAATGAGATCAGCGACTGTACAAGTTGAAGACACTATACTCCCCCTCACCTTTCCTCAGCAGCACTCCTAGTTGCTAGGACTCAGAATTAACATCTCTGGAACTGGGTGTCTTCTGACTTACCATGGCGTTCTGCTTCTGGAGGTTGAAAAGCTCATTCTGATACATCACAGCAGCAAAGGGATAAACAACGGGCAGCTGGGCCTCTGGTTTCTGCAGCGCAAGCAGTGTGTTCTCAGGGTCGCCCTCCCGAATAACTGCATTGATGTGGTCCACTGCAGCCAGCCCTGAGGGTCGGAGTAACACTTTGTCAGAATCTGTGCCTGTCCCACTGCGGCCTGACCCCAGCAGCCCACACGTCCAAGGATTAGAGCCTAAGCAGCCACTTTCCATGAACTCTGAAAAGTTGCATTTGGGTGGTAAGCAAAGCGTTGGAAATGGTAGCTTGGAATTGGAAAACAGTCTAATTCTTGGAGCTAGTCCCTAAAAGAACCAAGCATTGGTAAAGCTGGAGTTATAAGGTCATTCCTGCCTAGCATGACTTCTCTGCAAAATTCTTCCTTTCAGGACCAGCACTGGAACCATTTCTCCCATGAAGTCCTCACAGGGCTTCAGTTCCTGAGAATTTCACACCTTGGGAACTGTTATAGTATTTAGGACTGGGCCACGTGTATCCCACCGGCATTGCTCTTTAACACTCTTTGTGTGTTAGTTCTGCCTCCCCAAGGAGATTAAAGACACGTGAAGACCAGAAGCAGGGCGTGCCCTAGGGCTCTGTCTTCCCTCTGAATGAGCACCGTGGGACCCCGAGGAGACACTCGGACACACCGCGGTTTGATCTAGAATGGTTATTAAGTCCCCAGTCTCCCTTATCTTTTGTGTTTTGTAAAAGATGGTTTTTCAGGGGAACACAATTTCAGATATGTTTAAAAAAATATCACAATCAAAACTCACATGAGTATATAGTTCTACATTGAAATGGTGGTCCCCATGTGTTAGTATGGTTCCAAGAACTCCCCTGGATGCCTGAAACCATGGATAGAACTGAACTCTGCAGGTATTTTTTTTTTTAACCTATATATACACATCTGTGATAAAGTTTAATTTATAAGATAGGCATAATAAGAGATGAACAATAATAACTAATAACATTCTTAGGACTTTCTTATTTTATACTTGTGGTGTGTACCTCTTAAACATCTTAATTATTTCTCCCGTCCCATCCATCTCCCTTCTGGCAAAAATTAGCTTGTTCTCTGTGCCTATGACTCTGTTTCAGTTTTATTTATTGTTATTTTACAATTTTTCTTGTTTCTTGAAATAGTTGTGTACTGCTATATGCTTCTTTCTTGGAGCTGCTTTTGCTATGACCCATAAGTTTTAGAAAGTTGGGTTTCCATTTTCATTCATCTCAAGCTATTTTTTGATTTCTTCATTGACCCACTGGCTTTTCACTTAAAGAAGGCACTTAATAGCTTCTCTTGGGCATCTCTGAATTGCCAGCATCGCTACTCTCGGGCTTTGGGGCCACTGTTAAGTAAAACAAGGATGGCATGGACACAAGCATTATGACACCGACAGCCTGGTGGCCGAGATGGCCACTAAGTGACTCAGGGTGGGACATCCTGGACAAGGCGACGGTCCACGTGCCAAGGGGGGGTGGCATGAGAGTTCACCATGCTACTTGGAACAGCGCGGAACTGAAAAGATAGGCGTTATTCTTGGAAATTTCCATTTAACATTTTCAGACTGCAATTGACAGCAGGGAACTGAAATTTCCATCAAGATAACTGTGGATAAGTGGGGAGTGGGGGTGGGGGAGGACTACTGTTATCATTTAACCACCTTCCCCCCCAAAATCCCTCATCACAGAGATGCCTTGGTTTACACTACCTGATTCAATCAGAAGCTCTGTGATGTCTCTACGAGTTATAACATTCAGATTATAAAGACCTGAATTTTAGTGACCACATGGAGGGTACCTGGAACAGTAAATTCAGTACAGTTTCAAGAAAACAGAAATGGAATTGCTGACCAAATGGAAGAATGAGTGATGAACTCTGCTACCAGGCAACAGAAACTGGATGGAACCAGTAGGATTTTGCCTTATAGAGAAGGTTTCAGGTTAGTAGAAATAACACAGACCCCTATATTTCTAGAGTTTTCAAGGATTAGTCTGTCTCCCTAACACATGATTAGACTATAGCTAAGATTATTCTAACCCTTTTTAACAGATAGGAATTTATCTTCTCTACCTATATTCGCAAGGAGCCAAGCTCAATAGCTTTTCTACTGAGATACCTCATTCAAGAACAGGAAATACTTACAACTAATGCAGTCTTTTGTGCCACACCCCAGAACACTCACACTTAGAATAAGTTAGAATAATACCCTAAGAACCCAAACACCTTTTTCTATTCTTAGAACTAGTATGATAAATGAAAGAATTCCAGAAAAGAAGGTCAGTGTTTGGCTGTCGTGTTTGATGCTCTGTGAAGGTTATCCAAGGCCTTTTGGTTGTGTCTCTACTTATCCTGAATAGAACTGTACTTCACCTTTGGAAACTCTATTATATACGTTTGGAAAGCTGGATGGTAAAATATTACAAGAAAAAAATATATCATTTAAAACACTCTTAATGAACCATTTCTTCTAAAAAATGCATACAAACTAAGCTTAACCACTCTTTTACACTCTGCATTTAACAAAGTCTCAAGCCCTAATCTTAACAAAATATATGTAATGAATGGAAAGCATGTACCAAACTCCAAGTTGAATGACCACAGTCCAAACAAACCTGAAGCCTCTGAAAACAGACCTGGTCCCACTACCATCAAAGCTGTCACTTTCTGCCATTACCATGGCTGCTACAAACATACACACCTTAACATTTTAATATAACAAGCTCAATGACTGGGAAAAAGCTTGTCAAGTAGTTACACTGACATATTTTAAAGCATACCATTGTCTCATTATCATGTCACTGGCTAAAATATACTTTGGAGAATTTTTTCAAGACTAATACTGGATATTTCTAGTATTACTATAAATTTTCCAATGGGGAGAGATCAAAACCTTCAGAATAATCATGTTCCAAGCATTTAAAGCCATTAAACACTGCAATGTCTTTCATAATGTTAGCTGGTTATACATTAGTGCAAATCATCTCATGCTTTTTACTTAAAAGTGGAAAAAAAGTATAGTCGATTTGGCATCAAATTTGTGGTCAGGAAATTGTGTCATTCAATCAAGTAATGAAACATTTATATAAGGTGTTATACTTAACATGAAAAAGAAATCTATTCTAGTGGTTATAAACATTTCAAAAGTAAAGGATGGCACAGAGCTATGGAACCATTTCCCCACTAAGCTTATGAACCTCAGATGTCTTGCTGGCAATATTAGTTTCTTCCTATAATCCATTTCTGTCAAGCATAATGAAATTCTCAGCTTTCAAACAGAGCAGAAAGAGAAACTTGAAATTGTACTTCATGTATCACCACCAGCATGTTCAAAATTTAATAAGAATAAAAATAGGAACACACATCTCAAAATGTCAAGGTGTTCCTTAAAAAAAGCAATCCTAGTGCTCTCAGCACTTGTAAGTGGAGGCAAATTCTCACACCCACTCAGTTGTTACCTCCTAGACATATCTATCAATTCTCTCTGGGCCTCCTTGTTTGAAGCCTTTAATATATGTCTCTACCAGCAACTTAGAGGAAAACTCTTGAGTAACACCTATAGATGCGCATTTCCTTGAAAGCGCTAAGAGCCATAAAGAACACTCAGAGCTCATCTAGGAGGTTACCATGAGGGTTTAGGACTACTGGAATTAGTGGACACTCAAAGTTTAAACTTGGCTGAAGTTCACATGCCTTATTAAATGGACTAACTAGTCTTTGATGTATTCATTTTGGGGGTGTATGTGGGTTATTTAGGTTGACCTTGGGGACATAAATGCCAAAGAGAATTCCTTACTGCTTCAAGTAAAAATAAATTTTATTAGAGAAACAAAAAAGACTAATAAAGAGACTAGTGTATCTAAACTTGCACATGCTTATTTTAATTACCCCAGTTTTCTGTTCTTTATAGTCACATAACTGAACTAGGTACCAAGGAGAATTGTCCTGTGTGACTTCATGGAGTCTCAGGGCCATGGGATTCAAACCTGCCATGATGTGATTTATAGGTCTGCCACATCTTATTCACTTGCACCAAAGCTACACAAGCGCTAAGAGAACAATTCTTACACACTGCAGACTAATAATTCAGAAGTAATAAAAAGCAGAGGTGTCAACAACAGCTTTACAATTCCAATAAAATGTTATCATATAATCCTGGGCAAGGAATGACAATCGTTAACTCATAATCTTTACTAAAAGACCTTAAGGTTAGCCCAGTAAGGGATAGGTTCAAAAAATGACATACACTGTACCTGTGATGAAACAGGAAGGTATAGTCAAACTAGCTTCAAGATGTTTTGAGATACTTTGCATGGACTGGGGACAAGATGGCCAGAAAAGCTCCATGGAAAACTAGCAGATGATGCACCAGATTTAAGAGCAACACTTTCAGTGGATCTGTCACCATATAAGGCACTTTTATGAGGATATATGTTAAGAGTTTTGCTGAGATTCAGATAAGAAAAATTTGCATCTTATAGAAGTATCCATTTCCTTCATATGATCCATTACTCACTGTTGACTTTATTGATATTGCCTTGGATTTCTGCTTGTGTCAGCAATTCTTCATATGCATCTCTTTCTTCTTCTGAGATACAGTTATTCTGCAAAACAAAGGCTTCTTTGATTCTTGAGGTTAAATGTTTCCAAAACTTGATATTCAAAAGCAAAAACTTAAAGAGCGCTAAAAACCATTTGCTAATATTCATGTGAACTCAATACAAGCATTTAAGAGTGCCTGCTCTGCGCAGAGCACCAGGGTTAGCTGTGCCAGCAAAGGTTACAAAAATGAACAACAGACCCAGTGACTCCCTGTAAAGGCCTAATTGTCTAACATGGAAAACATTAGGTTGGACCACTTGATATTGCCATTTTTTGTAGGTCAAAACCAGCTGAATATTGGCCATTTGATTCAGTCTAACAGAAAAATCAAGAACATAAATAACAAATATAGCCGAACAAAACATATTCTAGGGAAGTAGCTGGGTGGAAAGAAAATTCTAAAGAGAGACAACAACTAAGGAGGGCCTGGAGGAAGAGGGGGCTTCCCTGGTGGCTCAGATGGTAAAGAATCTGCGGGCAGCCAAGAGACCTGGGCCAGGAAGATCCCCTGGAGAAGGGAATGGATGCTCGTTCTGGTATGATTGCCTGAAGAATTCCATGGACAGAGGAGCCTATGGGGTCAGATATAACTGAGTGACCTTCATCATCATCATGGAGGAAGACAGCAATGTTCAAGGCAGAGGAGAGAGAGAAGGATGCAGACAACAGGATTTGATCACAACAGTGAGAAACCTTGGTGCGTCAGGGCTACAGTCGGATGTGTGTCCTGGGTTAGCCAGAAAGATGGGGAGGCGAGTTGGGTATTCTGGGACCTTTTGAGGCCAGCAGAAGGACCTGTGCTTGACTCAGTAGGCGGCAGAGAATCGTGGGAGGTTTCTGGTGGGATGACATCAGATCAGTAGCTAAAGATCAATTTTGCAACCTGGAACTCGGGAGAGGGGTTGGCTTGGAAAATGATAGGAAGCTGGGGAACCCAAGGGGAAGAGCCCTGAGACAAGGTCAGGAGGGGCAGAGCCAAGACAGGAGTGGTGAAACGAGAAGGGGGGTGGATGGAGGTCAGCCCAGCAACAAAAGGCAGCGCAGGGTAGTGATGCACAGGACACAGAGGGCATAAAGGAGCTCTGAAACAGCGTGGGAGTCATTCCAAGGGAAGTCAGTACCAGGCACGTGAAATAAATCTAAAGGTGAGTCACCTAATACAAGGTCTGCTGGTGATATTCAATGAGGGAAGATCTTTAACTGCTCCTTCTACACCACCTTGATAAGTTTTCAACATGATCTTTCATCCTTGCTACCTGTAATACTCATCAAAAAAGAAAACCTAATTTCCTTACAGAGGGCATGGTCTCATTTTACCTTTATACTTCACCCAAACCAATAGTCTCTGGCTAGAGAGATCACAGCCAGTGGACTTAAAAATATCCCTCATAACATTAAAGCTTTTTCAAACTAGCAATGCATAACCATACTTATTACTATATTGACCACTCAGAATCTAACTGAATACCTTCAGCCTTGCATTTTCCTCTTTTCTTTTCTTGGCTTCCCAGAGTTCCTTCTGATATTCCTCTGCGAGATCATCATCCACTAAAGTCAAAACTGCATTTGGGTTTCTTAGAGTTATAATGGTCTGCTCAGCGATTCCTTTTTCAATAGCTTCATTAATGGCTATAACCGCAGCATGCACTACAAAGTAAAAAGACAAATAGAACTTTATCAGCAAAAGACAACATGGACAGGTGTACTGACTGTGCATAACTTAAGCAGTTTTACTTTCTTCCGTGGGGTCCAATCAAGAATTCAAACAACAGAACCTCAGGCACATCACAGCACATCCCTGTGACAACCTCCCCACCTGCCCATTTATCTCAGGTCCTGTCTCAGCATCTGTTATAGAATTCCGATTCATTTATTCATTGCATTGAGTGTGAATCAAACACTATGGCAACCAGTGGGGGTTTGCAGGGTGACACTTTGAAAGTATCATGTTGGCTTCAAGAGACGATTGCGGTTTAACTTGCGACATGGAAAGATTCCCAGCAGTGAGTACCCTGCCACTGAAATCTAAGGACAAAGAAAGCAGAGAGATGTTTGGGAGAATAAAGATACTTCTGGAACTTCTTAAATTGCATTGTACAAGTAGATGTCTAGAGTCCAAGGTCAATTTTTTGGTTATATTCTGATGTGCTCAAATCAATTACCTATAATACATATTATAAACAAAATTAGGGTGCTTATAATATCTTCTAAATATTCTATTTCTTATAACCAAAATCAAGAATAGATAAGTCTCATGTCATTGACAAGTTTGAATCTTAAGCAGACTCACATGCAGCTTCATCCACAGACAGCTCATTAGCCAGAATACCACCTATTTTGCTAAAAGATGGCATTTGTATTCCATATTTCTCAAGCTCCTTTCTCATATTACTGATTTCCTCCTCTGAAAAAGAACAACCAAAAAAAAAAAAAAAAATCAATGAAAGCCACAGAGATGGGGGCAGGAATGAGTGTATTTGTGTTAAGAAATGTGTTCATCAAGAACATGGGGTCAGCTCTAAAGAAGAACCTTAGAAAGAAGCCTCAGCTTCTCATTTCACAAAGGTGAGCAAATAGAAACTTGGCAGAGTCTAAAGATAATTAAGTTTTCTCCCCTGATCAATATAAAGGGAAAAAGGAATCAATATCAAAATGAAGAAAAAATTGCTACATTTTCTTAATAACCACACTGTAAAAGATTATCAAGATAAAGAACAGTACCTGTGAAGTCTACTTTGCCCAACAAATCCTGGATCTGGGGTGCAATTCCTAGTTTGAACAGATATAAACTGAAAGAGAAACCATAAAACTATCAGAAACTTCATCACCATAAATCTTAGAGCTAGAAATTACATAAGTCTTCAGGGTCTTTTTTATTTGAGAAACTCCTCAGAGATCCTCTTATCTAATCCAGGTACCTTACAGATGAGGTAACCATGTCCCAAGGTGAGGCAGGCCCTACTGGGACCAGGACGGACCAGGACTAGAGGCCCAGTCACTGTCCGAAGTCAGGTCTGAACTACACAGCACATCCATAGGCGAACTAACCTAATCATCCAATCACAGGGAGGCTAAGGGACACAACACAAAACAGCAAGTAACAAACAGAATAAACACTTCTTTGGATATTACATGATTTTATTTTGCTTAAAGTATAGCTCAAATTATATGTTCCTTTCCATACCTATATATGCCTCCAAGTACCATATACCCCCTTGAAGAACTATGTTTTATACATCCTGAACCAATAAATAGAGCAGTAAGACTACTGGTGGATGGAAAGATGTTAAAGACAAACCACAATGTGGATATATTACTATGACATGGATATATTTTAAAAAGTGGAAAATGCAGAGAAAAGTGTACATATTTTTTAAAAGTTCAATAGGAAGCAATGATGGTCACAACTAACCTTGTAATCTGACAAAAGAAGCTAGAGTCTGACATCTAAATTCTACCAAAGACGATGGAAATATTTAGTTATGTGACTTCTCACCTCAAAAACATTGAGCCATAGTTTCTGAACTACATGTATTTTAACCTTCCCAGTCCCCAAGATCAACTCTACAACCCAACTAAAAATTCTTTATTCACTTAATATCAGTTCTGATAGACTTATAACATAGAAGATTTTAATTAGACATTAGAATTACAAATACCATATATGGGAAAATGAACTGAGAATGATTTTGACAGTTTGAAGGATTTCAAGACTCATTTCAAATGTTGATATGAGATATATCTGAGTAGTTTATAAACACAAAATTTCATTAAAAGAGTTCAAGATCAAGCCTTCTTAATGGAATGAAAACTCTTAAAATGCATGATTAATCAGTGTAAGCAGTATGCTTTGATATTAAATTTTTCGATCTTTGTAAGAAATAATCACTTAGAAAAGCAATATGTGATCAAAGTTAAAAATTACTGATCCGTGGTTTCAAAAGAATACATAGAAAATCACCATTCAGAGTTAAACAGTAAATACTCTGATATAAATCATTTTAATATTGTTTCTGGAAATATCTATTCCATAAATTCACATGAAAAAAGTGAGTGTTAATCACTTAGTCGTGTCCGACTCTCTGTGACCCCATGGACTGTAGCCCACCAGGTTCCTCTGTCCATGGAATTCTCCAGGCAAGGATACTGGAGTGGGGAGCCACTCCCTTCTCCAGAGGATCTTTCCCACCCAGGAATCAAGCCTGGGTCTCCCACATTGCCAGCAGATTCTTTACCTTCAGAGCCAGCACACAGTATTCTATAATATGAATGTACTATAATTTGCTTAACCAATTGCTGAGCATTTAGACAATCATTAATTATCCACTATGATAAATAATGTTGCAGGTGAACCTACATATATAGGCACATCAGTCCATGGGGGTCACAAAGGGTCAGACACTACTGAGCAACTGAACTGAACTGTGCATATATCTTACTCATCACAAAAATTCCTACAAAGAAAATCATCAAGTTGAAAGGATATATACATAAAACTTTTAATATATATTATCAAATTGTGTTCTTGAAAAGAGATTATACTCATTTATTCTCTGTGAGGAAAGAGCTAATGAAACTCCTCTCCCTTCTGCAATAGAAAAGTGTCCTCCTTCAGTTCACTTTCAAGCTCCGTTCCCCCAGGCACCCAATAAATGTATACTGACAACCGTGTTACTAAGCATCATTGCTTAGGGGAAAAATAACCCTTGATTGGCAAACTGCATCTTGACCAGAAGGAATCATAAATACCTAGGAGGCTTCACACAGTTTAGGTGTTCCTGAGTTCAGTGACTCTTGTACTTGGCACACTTCTTGCAGGAAACTGGGAAGCCATGCTATGGGGCTGCTATCACAGATACTGGCTCCTGGGGACTGAGGTGCTCAGCCAGGCAGCCTGCAGTAACTACCGCTGTTAGTTTCATTCATAACTTCACACCCAAGTTATCACCTAGGGCACCAAAGAGAACAGGTTCTAAATGGCTGTGTGGACAACTACGTGGAGTGTTGAGAAGCCTCCCACTGCAGAGCAAACGCTTGATGCCGTCCTGCTGGCAGGCTGTATTTCCTTCTGAGCATCTGCCAGTCAACATGGTTATGGCACACGGTCCTGAGTCTGAATGTTTAACTGAACTAAGACCCAGGTGTTGGGCATGGCCCCACTCTACTAGCAATCCATGAAAATGCCATTTTCTTTGTCCCCTTAAGAGCAGAGGACTCTATCCATGACAACCTCACCAGTCTGATAGCCAAAAAATGTCATTAAAGTTTACATTTCCTTTTGTTCATTGTGAGAGTAAGCATTTTTCATACACATATTGGTCATTTCAATTTCTTCCAGGAAATGCATATTAATGAACTTCTGAATTTTAAAGGTTGTTTTCTGGGGGGATTTATCTTTCTCGGTCTTTTTTTTTCCCCCCTTCTTTTCCCTCAAAACAACAACCAAAGGACAGATGACACTTTAAACATATGGTATTTTACTACTAAATTCCAATATATTTGTATCTTATTCACAAGGGAAAAACATATTAGACTCTGAACATCGTTCAAAGTAAAATAGACATAATATCTATTGTGTTCATAATTCAAAGCTAGAAAGACGGGATACATTCCTTAAATTCTAGGTCTTTAGAGATTACCAGGGATATAACAAGTCATTATAATTAAAACTAGGATGCTGACATTTCCAAAACCATAATATTTTATGAACCAATTCTCAATTTATTACATAATAAAAAATATTCCAGGTAAAAGGGACCTCATGTCACTTGGACCAAATAAAATGTCAACCTAGTGACACACTTCTGACTAGTAATAGAAACAACAAAATTCAACAGAATTAAACAGACAGGGGTGTAGTTACAAAAGAATTCTAGGAAAGTAAAATCAAGCAATATTTGAAACAATAAAAATAGATCCATAAATGATCAAAAAATTACCACTGTATGCATTCTTTCATGGTTCCTGATTTTTAGTTTTATCCCCTTTCACAACTAAATAAAAAAATACAAAAAAAAAAAATACACCTGAACAAGTTGACCAAAAAAAAGGTATAAAAGTAATTCAATGGGAAAAACTTTGAAAATGTGACAGTAAATTTAACTAGAAGTTTCCCATAAAACCTCTTCTAATAAATTTTATGCATAAAATAATTTCATATGTAATGTGTATATTTATGTATATTACATTAATATTCTGTTAGTTTTAACATACTTGAAATTTATATTCTTGCATCAAAGGCTAAGCTAGTGAATATCAGTTATCCTTCATATACTTCCACTTCTATCTCCCCTCCTATGTAATGTTGAGATAATCTGGAATTTTAGATGCATTTTTAAATTTTCAGATTATGCAATAAGAGTTTAGGTAAATAAATTTTATTAGTTTATTTTCTAATTTAATCTGTATCCAGTTTTCTTCTTTCTTAGTTTTATCTTTGGTTTTGCTATTTATAAGCCTATTTACTAAGCAGACAAAATGAATGACTCACTAAGTGCACGTATTTTACTATTTTCATTTGTTCCCTGGGTGTTGGTTCTGTTTGTTGAATGTAATTCCTCTTTCAGAGCTTTAGTTTCCTTCAAATGTCTGGCATTTCCTGATTTGGGGCTCATCTTGAGGTCTGAGACCTGCAACTGTTTGTCACTGTTGGCTGCAGGTCCCCATGCCCGAGGCTTCCCTGGTAGCTCTGTTCGTAAAGAAACTGCCTGCAATGCAGGAGACCTGGGTTCGATTCCTGGGTCTGGAAGATCCCCTGGAGAAAGAAATGGCTACCCACTCCAGTACTCTTGCCTGGAGAATCCCATGGTCAGAGGAGCCTGGCGGGCGACAGTCCATGGGGCCACAAGAGTCGGAAAGGACTTAGCGACTAAACCACAAGCATCCCGTGACAGAGGCCAGCCTTAGGGAGACGGGAGAGGAACAAGGAGGCTGGCGCGCAGAGGATGCTCACTGTCTTATCTTCTTAGATGGGGGTTCCCTGTGTCTTCTTGGGCACTGGCGTGCTACCCTGCCATCAGCATCTCCACGTGTTGCCTTGGGGAAGGACTAGCAGGTTCAGCAGGTCTAACTAATCCAAATTATGCTGGCTGAGGGCTCTCCTCTTCCCATCTCTGCTCAGACCCAAACCCCACAGCCGCTCCAACCTTTGCTGTACAACTCAATGGTTTCTGGGCTGTGGCCCTCTGGTTTTTCAGCCAATCCAGTCCTAGCTGTCTGCCTTCTGTCATGAGCTACTTAATTTTCTGGTCAATGGACAGCACTCTTTCTTACTACAGATGATTAAAACAAACAGCAGGTTCCCCTGGTGGCAAAGAATCAGCCTGCCAATGCAGGAGACACAGGTTCGACTCCTGAGCCATGAAGATCCCACACGCTGTGAGGAACTAAGGCCATGCGCCCCAAGTACTGGGCCTGTGCTCTCTAGCCCAGGAGGCAAACTACCGGGCCGATGCTGCAACTCCTGGCGCCCTGCAGCTCTAGGGTCGGTGCTCTGCCCCCGGAGAAGCCACCGCCGTGAGAAGCCTGTGAGCCGCAGCTAGAGCAGCTCACCACAGCAGAGAAAATCTATGCAGCAACAAAGACCCAGCACAGCCAGAAATAAACAAATCACATTATATATCAGAGGAACTCCTACTACTTCAGTTATTTCACGTCAGTTTTGCAAGGAGACTAAGACAACCGTGACCGACGAGCTTGACATAACTGTTTTCACTGTATCTCCTTTGTGTATCTGTCTGGTCATTCGCTTAATTACTCTCAACTGTCTGTCCCTATAAGGTACCCAGGC